ATTATAAGCCAGCAGGTTTGTTCATAGTTTCACAGAATTCACAGATTTACATACATTGAAAACATTTTATAGATGGAAATATATAAGGATAAAATTCAATTTTAATCACCTGGATGATTTCTCTAATTTTTGGAAGCCTAATTTAAAATCCTTGTTAATATGTATTTTGTATGAGAGTTTTGTATTTTTGACGGTTCTGAAAAGTTAGTGGCTTAATGTTTTCTACTAATTTTTCACCTTCAAGGAAAACGTTTGATGCCAATACGATGGATGGCACCAGAATCGTTGATGGATGGTAAATTCACTATGAAATCGGACGTCTGGTAAGGATTTATTGTATAAAACTAAGATAGATGTTGAGTACAGGTGATACGACATAATATAATAGTCGAGAATAAGGAAATTTTTATCACCTCCTTAGCTCCTTATTTGGGAGATTTGAAAGGATCATTTGAAGACAAAAGCAATATCTTTTTAATCATTGATATGTTGTTAGAAAGAGAAAAGTTATAATATAACATCTTATAAACATGTTGATTCACTTGTTTGCCGATTTAGAGATTTCATTTTCTGATCCAATCTCTACTCCTTCGGTGACTTTTAATCCTAAAAATTCTTCATAAATCACTATTCTCTGCTGAGGAGTAAATAGAAAAAGTATTGAAATGGATAGGGATTCAGAATATTGATGAGAATTTCAGTGCTTTTGAAGTGAACCCATACACATGTAAAATTCAGAATATCATCATTCTAGATGAAATTAACAAAAAAGTTACATTTACAAAGTGCACTCCCATACAGGTCTTATGGTATTACACTTTACGAAATGCTTACGTTGGCTCAACAACCATATTTGGGTTTAGCTAATGAAAGTGTTTTTGATTATATTGGTGTGAAGAAGAAAATATTGGCCAGACCAACTGGTTGTCCGGACTTTTGGTATGTTTGCAGATTTTAATGCATTTGTTTCTTAATGAAATATTGTAGCAAGGAAGATTGAACTTGCGACCATTTGGATAAAATTGCTTTGTATCTTGATAGTAAATCTTCCGTTAATTCGCTTTTAATGCCATCTCTGATTGTAAAATGATTTAAATACCATGTTTGATACTTTTAAGGTATGAATTGATGAAGCGATGTTGGAAATACGATCCCCGTGAACGTCCCACTTTCGCCCAAATTGTTGGAATTCTGTTGAGACACGCTGAAGATGGAACGCTTAATTTTCCTGACGATGAATTTCGCGAGGTATCTTTATTTGCATGTATTTTATGGTTTCTTATAAAAAGTCATTTTTTTACTCTTGGGAAAGTACGTTTCCGACTCTTTTGCCCCTATGTAAAATGTTTTCCATTTTTCATCTTTATGAAAGTTAATGGACCAAATGGACCAAAATATTGAATTTATAAACATATTGGTTTTTCTATGAATTAAAATATTTGTAAACAAGAATACAAAAAAATTTAAATACGAATTAAAATATATATGATGAAATATGCATATCATTTAGATGTCATTCGTACTGTCCAATCAAATAAGTATAGATGACTATCTGGATGAAGAGTTATTTCCAGTTAGTGATAGCGCTGGGCTTATACGAACTACTAGTGCAGGACATATTGATCAGAGCGAAGTAATATTATTTTTTTGGTTAAATTTCGGCAAATGTTAGGATTAAGTTCTCATGATTTACTAAAGGTGATACATGTTAAAATACAGCATTTATTACATTGCATTCAAGCATGGACCGTAACGTTTGGCTATTTCTGCTAGCGATTGATATGCACTGTCAGTGCTTTTTTTTCAGACTTCGTTCATCAACAGACCGGATGAACAACGATCAAATCATTCCAACAGTAGTGGAAACATTCGTTATTTATGGAATAATAATGGAGCAACTGTTCAAACGAAGGTGCAGCATTGATTTATTTCTGATTATGTTCACTTTACTGATGTTTAAATGATATGGATTTTGCAGGAACCAAAGTTTTAGACTGTGGGACGCAATAGCTCGTTTCCGTGTTTTTATTGTTTCATTGAACCTATTGTTGATGGCGACTTTTGCGATAACAATAGCTTTTTGCAGACTATACTTAAAATATTATGTTTGTAGATTTTCTGCCTGTAACAGGCTGTTGTACTGAATAACTACATAAATTTGATAATGTTTTGTTAATGTTAACTTGTTTCCAGCCATTATGCTTCTCGAACCGACGTAATGGTGCCTCGTCATGGCGGAATGTTGACAGTTCTGGTCATTTTCGGAGCAGCAGACGTAAATCAGAAACTGACATTAGCTTAACGCGGTTCGATAGAAACGAGGATGAATTTTAATTTATAGCATTTATCAACCACAAATTCGCTTTGTTACGTATTGTTTAAATTTATAGATTATTGTCGAATGAAATTGACAACGAGAAACGTTCCGGAGGTTGAGTACTAAGAAAGTTGAAGAAAGGATATTGAGATAGAATCGTCTTAGAAAAAAGGATATCGACAAGTGAAATCTTACATAATTTTCGAGATCATTTTTGAACATTTCATTACTATTTGCAAGTACATCCTAAAGAATTTAGTCTTCAGGATATACTCAAGAATTGTTAACGGAATAGGACTGCTATCAGATTAAGTAATGATGCCTTCCAGACTAAACAGTTGAAGCTAAATGTTGAATGTTGATATTTGGAAGTGTATCTCTTATCATTATAGATGATGTTGCTGTTATTGTTTATAGCTCTAGTATAATTTTTTTTGCTCAAATTTCTTGTTTTTCTTCTTGTTCACTTTAATAATTTTCTTCCTCTCTATTAAAAAAGGAGAAAAATTCAGCCAATTAATTTGAATTCATTTGTTCAACGAGAAAAAATTTCTTTCCTTTCCATTCTTATGCCCCAAAAAACACTTCCTTGTCATTTTTTGTCTTTTTGTGATTCTCTCTGTACAAATATCTCGACTATGTATATTTTGCTTAAACTTTCTAAAATTTACTTTTGTTTGTTGATTCATTTTGTTATTAAAATGTCTTATCTTATTTTTTTTTACTTCTCCGTATTTGATCTTCAAAGATATCATGGCGGTTTCTGTTTTCGCAGATTTGATTTCAGTATTTCAAAAAGCTATATTTTTGTGTTATTGGAAATAATGTCAGCAGTCTGCTTTAATGTACCACCTCTTACTTTTTATCGCCCTGTTTCTGCAAACAATGACGATCAAATAGTCAAAAATTTTAATTGTTACACTGCAAATCTATTATTGTTTCTGTCTTTTGAGAGAACTGTTACTTCTGTCATCGTTCAGATACCACCGATTTATTTATTCGAACTGACTTGAAATAATTTTTAAATTTTCTTACGAAGAGAAGACGACTGGATTGGTAATAGAGAGCAGCAGATTATTGTTCTTTGGCTTTCTTAAATTTTTTATAGATGCTTGCCTTTCAATGTTTGTGATAGTTAACAAAGTATTTTGCTATTTCTTGGAAATTGTTTCTTAAACTTTAAGACTAAATTTTCTTTAAAGTTTATTTGAAGAATATTTATAGTTTGCGTTAAGTTCCGATTGTCTGTGATTATAATTTTCAATAAAAGAACCGTCCTCAGTCATCATTTTTTTTATGTGGTCAAACATAAAGAACCTTTTACTTCGAATTTAAATTTCCATTATTGCTAGCGCAACTATCACACCACTTTCGGTACTGTACTCTGCTGATGAACGCAACTACTTTCATTTAACCTTCCATATGCATCTAACCGCCATTACTTGTAATTATAATTCTTCTACAGAATTAAAATTCTCGGTTCCAAGCAAGCTACCACATGATCACATGATTCCTTCCAAGCAGAAATAAATTCGTAATGGTATAGAGTTTTACAGTCCCTCTGAAGGGGCGCTAAATTCTCTCATTTTTATAACCAATTCACTTGTGCTGAATTAACCGCGGTCATGTTGGACTTCTTGAAGTTTTTGTCATAACTCCACAAGGGGATATATCTTACTATTGGTTTTCCTTATTCGCTGGTCCTTTTTTTAAATTCATTTGCATTACGGGAATAGTGTGAAAAAATTTAATCAGCAAAATCATCAAACGTAACGGAAAGACACACTGTATGAAATCGTGAATAACATTCTAAATGTAAAGTGGAAATAAAACAAGAGGCCGCAAGTTCCACTTATAAAATGGTGGAAGCAATTAAGATACTGCTAAGTGGAATATGTGTCGTAACACGACTAAGTTCATTCTAAAAGTAAAGATGAATTTCTCGTAAGATGTCAAAAAATTAGATGGGAGACGTTAGAGCTTCGCGGATTCCTATTTCAAATATAAAAGGAACTGAAGTTCGTTGTAACCGCCCCCATTGTAACTGAGTTTAATCCTAAAAATAAAGCTCTTCATTCAATGATGAATCATTACCAAATCTTCTCCTAACAATGTCACTTTAAAATATTGGTAAAAATATAATTCACTTGCCAAAGCAAACAGCTTATTCTTACGGACCACAACAAGTCAAACATCGAGAATCACTGAATGAAGCATTTCATGGCGATCTTACATTTGTATTAAATTTTGAATAATTTCATTTTTGAAGAGGAACTTAAGCAATATAAACTCAAAAAAGCCATTTAATATTTGAAAATAGATTAAACGAATGACCTCTCACTATGTGTATTTGCCTGCGGAATTCAACATATAATTTGGATTAAATACATTTTATCTAAAAGATTCTTCTACTTGATATATTATCTATCCCCAGCATTTGAGATTCCATATTAGTAAAATATAGTTAATAAATCGTAGCAAAACAAGTTGTCATCAATATGAATTCTCTGCAATGCCTACGTAGATGGCTTTTTATCAGTATGAATTCGCTCATGAAATTTAATTTATGCAAACATAATTCGGATTAAGTATATTCCACTTCAACGATTTTTCGTCTTAGGAAAATTCGCTTTCAGATTTTTACCAAAGACAAGCACGGCACTCTCCAGCCATAGTTCAAGCATTATACTGACATGAGATCTTGGATGGAACCATTCCAACAGTTGCCTTTGACATCAACAAACGCTTTTTGTTTGCTTAAATCCATTTGACCGCTGAGAACACACAGCATCGCTTTCGATTGTTTGATACTTATATCACCAGAAGTCTTCACTAACAGAATATATTTTGCTAGTTTCTTCTTCAATAAAACATCTCTGAATGCCTCTAGCAAGTACGTGTCGGATAATTTAACTAACTTGAGTTATTACCCAAGTTTGTTACCCAATTGAGAAAGATCATATATTCTTCCGAGCATTTGAAATTTCACACCAAAAACATATGGCTGATAAATTGCAGTGAGATGGTTTGTCATCAACATCTGCGATGTCTAACTGGACGGCTTTCCACCAGTATGAATTCATCTGCGAAATTTAATATTCTGTCGGCATAATTTGGATTAAATATATCCCACTTGAATGGTTTTTCATCTTTACATATATATTATTTTTCAGCATTTGAAATTTCACGCCAGCAAATGTTGTTAATAAATCGCAGTGAAACGATTTGTCATCAATATGATCTGCGATACCGCAACTTATCACCGATATTCCAATATATATATACATAATATACATAATTAAAAGGTCACATTTGAATGGTCGTTCGTTTCTATGCACTATTTCAGCATTTCGAGATTTCAGACTACCTGGAGTATAATGAAATAACTTTCCATTAACAGTCGAGAAGAGTCAAGTTTGACGCCCAAAATTTCATTATCAGACGAAATTAAAATACTGGAGGTTTAAATTTTGCAATAAACATATATTAGTTGATTCCAGCTGTCTAGACTGCCCAAATTCTATTTGGTCTATCAGTATAAACTCCTCCTTAACTTTTCAAACTTCTGCTTTGCGTACTTTAAAGTTATAAATAAACAGTTTCTTACCAGCAGAATTCGCTTATGGAATTTGATCCTGTTAACATACTGATCAAATCTCATTTAAATAGTCTTTCATCTTGATGTATTCATCAAATCGAAAGACCATTTAAAATCTGCAGCATTCGAGATTCCAAACTAACTGAACATGGTTAATAAATAGCAATTAATAGTTTTCCGCTGATTGATTGCTGATATGAATTTTTCTGCATAGAGACTGCGACATCATAAAAACCTATGCATTCCTTTGGTTATATAAGAACCATAAAGATGAAAATGACGTGAAATGAAAAATGCGGAAACTTAATCAACAGACAATATCGAAATAAAGCGTAACTTTCGAATTCTTATCCCGTATTACCTGCAGATTTGATGTTTGCCTAAACCATTATAGATGCACGAATATATGCTAGACATCTCAAGTAGCAAACCAAACTGCAAATCGGGATTTTCATACTTTTGATTACCAAAGAGGTGACTTTCCGGAAAAACAAAGGATATTTCGAACTACTCCGGTAACAATCCTCTATTTTGTTCCAAAATCGCCATCATTAATTAATTGAACGAATAACATAAGCTAGTCTTTTTTGTTTCCCGACAAGAATTTCTCGTAGTTTATTTCAGAATAATTAATGGACAATCACGACGATAAAATTATCCTGCTTGTCTCATATATGGAGAATTCATCATTTTATCAGTTCAGCTCCAAATCTTAAAATAAAAATTAATGTTGAATTAATTCAACGTAAAAGAACCTCTGAATTTCGAAGAAAAAATGAAAACAAGTATCACATGCTAACTTAAACTTAAAGATTACTCATTACAGGTGTACAGATATGTGCCAGATATCATGAATAAAAAAAATCAAAACACTAGCCAGGATCGTCATAATTCTGATTATAAAAAGATCTCTTTCCAAGAAAAAAAAATAGCGAACCAACGTGAATAATAATTCAAGGATCAGGATCCCAATTCCTCATTATTAATTCATTAAACGAATATCACATGTCGAATTATTTTTGCAACCGTTTTTGTTTTCGTAATAAAAACTTTTCATTGTTAATTCTAGAGAATAAAAAAACCATCATGATGCTACAACGATTCCACTTGTCCCATGTATGGAGAACATTCATCAGTTCAGCTCCAAATCCTAAAATGGAAAAAGAATGTAATTATGACACAAATCAGTAACGTACGAAATTCCAGCGTGACAGAACCTTTGAATTTTGAATAGAAAAAGAGTGACTGCCAAGTTGAAATTTACGTTTATTCCACTTAATATTTTGAAGTTTGACGTCATTATGTGATAAAAATTTTCTTCTAACATCTTTTTCATTTGTCAATCCAATCTATATATCATTAAATAAATAAACGAACTTTAAACCGTCTCCAATAAAAGACTTGCAAAAGAAGCAAATGATATATTTCTGTTTACGAAATATTCGCATCCCAAATAATATTGTAATGTGATGCAAAGAGTGAAAGCTAAGTGTGGAGACGTACGAAAATTTACACTTCAAATTATAGAGTTCACATGACGTTTGGAACATACATATTCAAATAAGGTAAAAAACAAAAGATAACGTATGAAAGATGACATTTATAAAACGGCTAATAGCAATCAAATCGGCAGGCCACGTTAAGAACGATCGATTGGCTCCGTTAGATTTAGAAGCGTTAAATATAAATTATTAGTTGTAATTGCTGTTGAGTAATTGGATTTACTTATCAAATTTTGTTTTGTTTCAATAATATTTCAATTTAAGTTGATGAGTTCACTCAGCTTTACCTTTTCCTTAATTTTTGTATCTTTTCACACGTTACTTATGTTACGTATTACATGTTTACTTAAAAGTGTCTTTACTTAAAGGTTACTTAAAAATAAAACCTTGATTTACATACCATTATGGACGGAGTTGAATCTTTCCTGTCAGTTTTTTATCCTGAAAAAGAAGAAGGAAAAAAGATTTTTTTTCGTGTTAAACTTTGTACTTGAAATTTTTCTTAATAGACAGATCTTCGTGACAACTTTTAAATACTTATTGACACTTCACTATGAGAAAATTTGAAAGCAGAGTAAACTAGTTAGATCTCTGTGATCACTTCCTGGCCGAAAATGCATTGCGAGATGACTTACTGAACAGTGAAGCCGCATTCCTGAAATTCATTTACTTAGCATTTTCATTCACAAATGAACTAAGGAGGGATATTATCGGTTTTTTTTAGCATTTAGTGTAATGTTTTATTTGTGTAGCGAATTAAAGTTTAGAATTGAAATTTCGCACTATGCTTTTGTCAATTATTTATAATCTTTTATATAACATTTCCTTTAATTCTAACTAGCTACCTTTTTTTATTTCACTCATCTCATTAGCTTTATTTCAGTACATATTAATGTATTGAAGAATTGACTGTATCGTACGACAAATTTTGCGTTAAAATGGGTGAATTACCACCAGCGACTTCATTGAATGACTTGTTGTCGCAATTAATGAGCATATCGGAGCAATCCCTAGATGACCATACTCAGCAAAGGTTTTCCTTTTTTCATTCGTATTACTTTTCTAGTAAAATAAATATATTTCATTCGTAGAGTAATTTGTGGTATTTGTTAGAAGTGCTTTTGGTATCTTAAATTATTAAATAACAAAGTATCATCTCTAGATTACAGTGCAGTAGTAGTGACTGGCAAGATTAATCAGTAACGTAATATTTACATATGTCAAATATGTGGAGATAGAAGCAGAAAGCGTAGAAAACAAAAAATAAAAACTTTTAAGCTTGTAAGGATTAACTAACCCTGAATAACTAATGATAAAAAAGTTTATAAGCAAACATTAGTCCTCTTAATAATTTTAGGAAACAACAATTGCAGAATCATCGCATGAAGAATGCTTTATTTGAAGTTTTATGTGAAATTAAGGAAAAGACAGGTATGTTTTCTTCAAGATATTTTTTTAGTTGTTTTGTTTTGAAAAGTAATGAAAGTGACAAAAGTTTTTAACATTACGAAGGGAACAATCATTATTTTCTCATTTGCAGCGCTTTCCATCCGAGGTGGTCAAGAAGAGGCACCAGAAGATCCACAGCTTATGCGACTAGATAACATGCTGGTTTGTCTTATAACGATAATTGGTTAAATTCAAGCAGCAATAATATTATCATACATTTATTTTACCGGTAAAGTTCTATTGTCCCTGACTTTTCAGCATATTTTTAGGTTGCCGAGGGTGTGGCTGGTCCTGACAATCGTGGACCAATTCAGAATGATACTAGTGGTGGTGATCAAGCTGATTATCGTCAGAAACTTACTCAGATTAGATTGGTATATAGTGAAGAGCTACGGAAGTATGAAGAGGTGAATTTTCTCACTTTTGGATTTTTGAAGATTCACATCAAATGCGAATGAAAAGTGCCAGTGAATTTTATAGATGATCATCATTTCTGATTTACAAGAGACAGTGATTATTTTTCAGGCTTGTCAAGAATTCACTCAACATGTTGTATCATTGCTGCGTGAGCAAAGTCGAACTCGACCAATTGCAAACAAAGAAATCGAACGGATGGTTGCTATTATACAAAAGAAATTTTCCGGCATACAGGTAATTAATAAATAAAGTTCATTCCTGAGCTACAGTACTTGAAAAATTAAATGCAAATTTTGACTGAAAATTTTTCGTTTCGATTTTGTTGAATAAAAGGTGGATTTACTTCGATCGATAATACCGATTACTGGAATTATTGAACTATAATGAAATAATGAATTTATTTACTGTAATGCAATGGTGATGATTTTGATAAATTTGGGTTCATGAAATTCAAGCAGCAACAACTTCCAAACTTTTACATGTTATTGTGGTTAAATTGCTGCACGGATGGAATTTAATAGATTTAAAATTCGATGGTTTTTTTCTAGGTACAACTGAAGCAATCAACTTGTGAAGCGGTAATGATTCTTCGTTCGCGATTCCTCGATGCTAGGTGACTTTTGCAAATCAATTACAGATGTAGATCACATAGAAAAACTTCCACATTCAATTTCCTTAGAGATATATTCAGGATCAAATTTATGCTGTAATGAACATATTATGCTAAATTATTCTTTTCTATTCTTCACAGGAACTTTATTTTTAAAATTATAGGAGAAAGCGGCGAAATTTCAGTAAGCAGGCTACAGAAGTGCTGAACGAATATTTCTATTCTCATTTAAGTAATCCTTATCCCTCAGAAGAAGCAAAAGAAGAGTTAGCACGGCAGTGTCAGATTACAGTTTCACAGGTTTTTTAGTTCAATTTTCTTCTCCTTCTATTTGCTCATAAGTACTGTTTCATAGTAGAACTGTCAGAATTGGTTTATATAATGAAAGTGTATTTCCAAGTAACACGATGTTACCATCAAGCAAATTTGTCAAACCACACCATCTGGTTAAGCTGTGAACCATTCAATTCGCTAACATCCAAATTCAGAAAGTGGTGCACAACATTATTGTAACGCTTAATTTAGGTATCGAATTGGTTTGGCAATAAGCGAATACGGTACAAGAAAAATATAGCAAAAGCTCAAGAAGAAGCTAACATGTATGCTGCTAAAAAAGCTGCTCATGGTGAATTTGATTTCATTTTATCCCATTCTAGAATTTTTAGGGATAATTGATTCCCTTATAATTTGACAAAAAACATTTCTGTTGAATTTCTTAAAATGAAAGCATATGACAGTCAATGCATTAGCTGAATCACTAACTCTTTAGCCACCATGTCTCAAGTCAAGTGAGGGTGTAATTAATCTCCAAAAAAGGATTTATATTTTTTTGGAATCCCTGAATGTAAACCAGTTGCAGAAGTTGGTCTGAAATTAGGAGACCTCATTTTTAACATAAAATTGAAGTTTACAACTATTGAATTTTATAGCTGCGAACCAATATGGTATGTTGGCAGCAGGGACGTCAGCAGCCGGAAGTATGCTAAATTATCCAGCAATGCTTCCAGGACAAGATCTGGCTCATCACATGACAGCTGGTCTTGATTTCACTGCCGGTTATAATCCTCAGCTGGTAGGTGTTATTCATCCAATGGTTCGGAATGGTCCCTTCAGTGAGCTGTAGCATTAGCTAATGCTTTTTGTTATCTCGCTTGTGCAGCTTATGCTTAATTAATTAGTTGCTTAAAATCCCTGTAACTTTGTATCTTTTAAATGAAAATAAATCGAAAACTATTCATGAAAATAATTAGAGAGAGACATCAGGAGAGCCTTCAATTATTGCATCGGCTTGCTACGAAGAAACGCTGTAAATTCATTTACAAATTATTTTATTTTACTGATCCACACATTTACTGATTAGAAATTATCGGTTTACTTGTATGCTATAAGTTGTTCTGATCTTTGGCTTCGTATTTGAAACAGATAATGGTAACTTTTTACACAGACATGGGAGTTTTCAACTTGGCAGATTGTCAAATTCATGATAGCATCATAATTTGGTTTTGACGAATAACAGTTTAGGATAAGTGATTTAGGTTGCACAGCAGCCGTTTTTGAATAGTTTGGCATTCGCAGATGGTTTATTTTGGATAAGCTAACTTACATAAATTTATATATAAACAAGGTATTATTTTGCATTCGCCTTTCGTATTTGAGTTTAATTGAAATTAACAGAAGACTGCATGAACTTGTTGTTACGATTTCCCTATTATCTCCGTCAGCCATATTGTAGTATTTTCTTAATTCTTTGACTAAAAATTTACATTTTTCATTTTTCGTATTGATCGTATTCAAGCAGAAGTTCTTCGCAATTAATCGTTATTTAAACTCTTTGTAATTTCCAGATGTCCACAACTTACGGAATACCTCCACCAACCAATTCGTCACCGCAGTCTTAACGTAATGCTTACTAACTTCTTTTGTTGTTGTCGTTATGAAGTCGTAACGCTTACTGCATTTGTGCCCTGATCATTAATAGTAATAGAGTTATATTTGTTTTATCCTGACTAATGGGTGCATTTATCAAAATTGCGCTTCAAGGGTTCATTGCGTGCATTGTATGCAGTAGACATGTGGCGTACAGTTGTGCAATTTTTAATTACATGCCGTGATCTAACTGCTAAATAAGATGATTCCAAAGTAGGAAAATAGATCTCGAAATTGCTGGAAATATACACATTTCTTTCACAGCACTGCTGCATTTGCCCTATCTTTTAAAGTAACCTCTTCTCTGTTTACTTTCTATTGTTTAACTTCAGATACCAAATGAAGTTTAATAGAATGGGTTGGTGAATGAAAAACAAATATATTTGCACATAGATATCTTTCATGTGTTTTTTCTAGTCTTGAAGAACAAAATGCAACAAGTAATCTATATTGAAGTACAATATTCTTTTAAAAACTTAGAACGCTGTGTCTATGATGCTTTTGATGAACAAGTTGAGCATTGACTACTCAAAACTAATTAGTGAAAAAAAAAGATTTTTTGGCAAATATTAACTGCTGCAAATAATAAGCTAATTATTCCAACGACTATTGTAAACTGGTTAAAAATTACTATCTGGACGTTGAATTTGCCAACTTGTAAACTTGGAGTAATTATTCTTAAAGTTCATTTTTGATTTTAATGAAGTTTCTTTTTCACAGACACTACCCACGGTAAGTGGTGAACCACCAATGAAGAAGTCGAAAAATGAATAGTGGACAAACCAGTCAATTGAGCACCTCAATATGCATTTAAAATAAGCAAAATTATTGCATGAATTTTTTTTTGAAGAGTACTTGTGATATTCGCTAATTTTGAATGATTTTTTCACTTTGTACTATTTTTCATCGTTTTTTACTTTCTCTAAGACAATGAATTAAAACTGTTGCAGAATTTATCACAACAACAAATCATAATCCTGATCTAACAGTATAATAAGCCAAAAAATTGATACTTTACACTTTTCATAATAGTGCGAAAAAAAAGAACATTATCACTTTGCAATTAACTTTATTGTTGCAAAGAACTAGTAACTTATAGCCATTTCAATTTTCGATCTCATTTTTAAAATTACAAATGCAAAAATATTCAGGAATGAAATTTATTTTATCTCCCATTATTATCCTTCTAGAAAGATGGAGGAAGCACCATAAAATTGAAAATCTCTGTCGTTTCAACGCACTGTGGTATAGAAAATCCGTACTATTGTGATTTATTATCGCGATTATTTTCTTTAATAATTTTTATCAATTGAATATCATTTGCGTCTGAATTTTTTTCCAGAAATACTTTGTACCTGTTTTTTTGACATTTATGCTTATTTCGTTTGGTTGAAAATGTATAAACTATCGAAGTCAATAACATTTTTGACTTTTTGAATTTATTAGTTGATTCCATATATTATTCATTAATAAAGCAACTGATAATTGCTTAAAATTAATAACGAGCAGCCATAGAAAATACAGTTTCAGATGTTTGAAGTCTGGATACTGCAATGTCAATGCAACAATGAATTTAAGACTTCGTCTAAAAATTATTTTCCAAAGACTTCTGAACTTTCAGATCATTTGTTTAGTCGTTCTGTACTTGAGAGGAAAAAGTAACAATTGAACTCGACCGCTTTTTTAGTAGATTTCTGCTAAATCACTTATCACGATTGCCACTCATCTAGTTTGAAATTCTCCCTTGCTATCAAATTTATGACATCCACGCTGAGTACTACATTTGTGACGCGTAGGTAGTGCTGAAATATATCGTGAGGCATTCATTTTTACTATTGACGCCGTCAAAGTGGCATAAGAACACAAATGAGTGGTTTATCACAAACGAATATACTTGAGATCTAAATAGCATGGATGAATGTTATGGATGAGTACGTCTGCGGCGCGGGTGATTTCAGTTTTTGGTGTTAATAATTACTCTGCTCAGGGTGCACTCATTTGCCTAACATATATGAGATTTTTTTTAGAAGTCAATAATAGTTTGCACCAGGACGGGAAGTGTAAGAATTATATATTTTTTTATTGCAATTTCAACGTTTTTTACTTGTTGTATATCAAGAAAAAAATTATAAAACGGTTGAATTTCATTATATTCCGAGAGTCTTACAAAAAAGTTTTAACAATGCTAATAACCGAAGGTGAAAAGATGAAAAATATCGCATTATCAGTTCTGCGTTCAGCTTTTGTAGAGTTGAGGGATTAATGTATTTTCCATTTTTCCTTAATTTATATGCTCCCGTAGGTCATAGGTAGGATAGCCACTGATAAGTTGAGCAAACACTGTGAACGTGCTAAAATTGCATGAAAATTATGCATTAATAAATGGTAAAACAGAGGAAGCAAACTTCGATATTAATAATAATGACGAAGAAGTTAATGAGTGCACATTTCGCTGGTGACGTATCAAATTTAAGCAGTTACTTTAGTGTAAAGTATTTATAGTTCACTTAAACCTGTACGCAAATGCTTATTGAGATTTTGTCAGACATTATAGTATAACGATACACATACAAGGGCCACTAATAGCAAATTGTTAAATTGGAATTTTCTAGCCGATAAATCAATAAACTTAAACAAACCATTGAGATCAAGTTTCATATCAACAATTACAAAAGTTAGAAATTAAAAGCATTCGATATAAGATCGTTCATTCATTTTATTATTGGTACTTGCTTACTTCAGGATTTCTGACATGTAAATTTTAATCAAGAATAATCAAATAGACATGGAATGTAACAAACGATACCGAAGAAATACAACAACGAATAGGCAAAAAAAATATATATCATCAAATGATTCATTTGGTATTTATCATTCTTTTTTTCCAGAGATCCTAACATGTACAAAGCTGTTAAAAGTCTTTATAACAATTTGTTAAGAAATATTAGAAATATTTCAGAGAGCGAACCATTTGTTGTCAGATCAAATATTTATTGATCGAAACTTTTGATTTTAGTATTTTTTGTTCTTTTATTGTTGAAATGTAGAGAACTACATATTAAAATGAATAACTGATTTGATTTTAAGTTTTTGGGGAAGTCAGTTCGAATGCTGAACAATTAAGAAGGAAAAGAAGTCGGAATAATGCTATGCGAAGGTTACTCTTATCCTTCAAGAACGATATAAATTTATATCATTTGCATTCTTTTTTTTTAACTGTTCATTCATACTTTACCAGGATTTATTTATCATATATTTCATTCTACTATGTCCTTCTGTACCACACTGTTTTAAGAGTAGAAAAGGATTGAAATAATTCGTTAACCGTTAGTTTATTTACAGTAATCGTAATCGCGATATGAATGAAGTTAAGCGTAATCGTGGTATGAATGAAAGTAATCGCGGTATGAATGAAGTTGATCATACAACCGATGAACAGCAATCGTCTCATGGTAATGCAATTGTTGAGGAAAGTGATATACCAGGATTCGCATATGACAGTGTAACTAAACGCTACTATAGAGTTCAACCGCAAGCTAGTGGTCCTGTGAGTTTTCATGTTTTTACGATTCTTGGCTATTATACATATGTATGCTGGTGTAGTTTCGAATTTTGGGAAGCATTTATTTCTTCAAGCAGAAGGTTTTATTTTAGAATATTGGATTTCGTGAAAGTGATTTAAAAGGCAATCGGCAACATAATTTATTTATGGCTGAACGTGAACGATGTTGTACAAAATCGTGCCCTTCTGTTTCGTGGTTACCAAAAATGATACGGCGGAGAGAATTATACGGCAGCAGTATGTCCCGATTTACACGTTTGGTTGCTGAGGGAGCACTGCGTGGCGTCCGAAAAGAGCCCAGTTACGTTCAGAGAGTTAGTTTTATTCGATCTTGTTCAGACATCATTTTTACATGACAAACAAATATGTGTCGCAAAAGCTATAAATATAACAGAAAAATATATTTGACACGTTTTGGTAAGTGATTAAGCGAATCAGTAGAGTTTGGTTATGAAAAATATGTTCCATTTATTTATAGTTCCATCAGTGGGTATTGATGATATTGATAATTGTTTCGTGCTACGAATTGGACTGTTATATTGGTTCTGAACTGTTCACTTATTTTTAATGTAGGTACGTCAAACGACGTCCAGTACTTTTACGAATTTTACATCCTTTTACTGAACTCTTTATAACTAATATGACACATCGCTTATTCTGCTGAGATGGATGTACTAATGCACATAATAATTTGCATAGCTAGAATTATTAAATCTGAAGAATGAATGCTGATGACAATCCTTATTCAGGGATATACCGACATTGAGACATTGCATTCCTGTCATTATGTGGACATTAGTGATGATGGAAAAACCATTGTTGGATGTTGGTCAGTGAGACATCAGCGGGGTGAGGGATGGAGAGACATATGTGGTGCGCGATTTATTTGTTTCAAAGTTACAGCAGGCCATTATGACAAGACGTATGGTTTTTTTATTTTCAACTTTTTTATTGCGTTTCGTCTGTGTATGTTGTTAACATTGCGTAGAAACGATTGGAGGTGTAGAGTATTGACAGGAAGATTATTGGAACTCAACAACAGCAGTCATAGAAAATTATTTTGAATCAGAATATAATTTTTTCCAAATATTTCAAATTCACTTTGAATAAAACAGTGATTTATTACCAATTTAATATGTGAAAAAACGGGATGATTCTAATATGATCACTCTTTTTTAGAAGATTCATGTATGGCGCTAGCGTTGAAGCGGGTGTTTTCGATGATTCAGTTAAAAATATATGAGTTGATTTGTAGGGAAAGTGTGTATTGGAATAAGTTCGGGTTAAAAATTCGAAGCAGTACATATGGTGCAAATCTGGTGAAGTCAAATTTAATGGATATATGTGTCGAGCCGGTAAACGACAATGTCACATGTGCATTGTACGTTACGACGCAAACTATTGTTACTATGCATAATCGATTTTCAACTTTAAGTCGAGTTTGCATTGAGCCAGTAGCTGAATTTTCCTCAGTTTATGTAAGTTATAAAATTGGTTCTAGCTAAAATAGATAATATTCATAGATATATATGCATTCAGAAGATTGCATTGATACATAATTAGAAACCAAAACATGGTTGATGTGTGGGCAAAATTTTTATTTAATGCCTGAGAGTACAGTTATGTTTTAGGATGCAACGGAATTGCATTTACCTTCATATAACATGAGATGGACATGTCAGAAATATGTGCGTGCAATAGCTTTCAATAGAAATCGAATGGGAATTGGAATTGGTTAGTTATGATTGTTTTCTAATGATCGGGAATTCCAGCTCAGGCTTTAGATTCAGTCTAGGAATAAATCACGCTTGACCATTTAGTAGTAAATATTTAAGCCAATTATCATTTATTGAGGAATGATACTTATATCATTTTTTTAAATTTAGCTTTGTTGTTTAGTTCGTTCCAAAGTAATGGAAAGTTTTTTTGCATTCTGAAAAATGGACCTCAAACAAGGAGAATTAGAGAAAAATTAAACAAATTGAGAATAGCGAAAATACACTATTTAGAATAAGTAACACTATGAACTTGTTAATTCAAATATATGCATATAATCGACAGGTTTGGAAGAAAATGCAGTATTTTTGGACATTTCGACGGAACGAACTACTCGTATTAACAGTCTGGAAAGAGGTGTCATGAGCCTATCTTTTAATGCGGTATGTTTTAGCATCCATTTCTATATGTTTCTTCGAAATGATAGCAAAAATGATATGTTAGATTTTATTTCACACTTCTTTGTTTCTTTGTTGTAAATATTTTTTAGCACTGCAAAATTTCTTTCTTTATGCTTACAATATAAAGTAAGTAGGTTAATATGTAAAGTAATAGAATTGATATAAATAATGGACTCAGACATTATTATGATTATTGTGGAAATTTAAAAATATAACTTTTAGTGTTGGCTGAATAAAAATCAAACGAAAATAGAACTTACGATAGCCAATTAGGATATGAATTTCATGATTTTAGACCATTCGTAAAAATTAATTAAGATTTTCAGGATGGAAATTTATTGTTTATGGGTTTAATAGGTAATAATGTAACTTGTTCCGATTTGCGAATGAATAACCGAGAGACTGTTGCAACCTACAATGATACGGAAAGTGTGGGTTGGCTGAAGACGTTGCGAACAAAGCCTGATATGCTTGTTACTGAAGATCATGTTGGAATTGTAAGTCTACTCTTAAATTTCCAAATATTGGCACATTTTTCAGATCTTTTAAAATAACTGAAGTGAAATTGAGTCTTTCATCTTCTATCCCATGATTTAATTTTCCAATAAATTTAAAAGCGAAAACATCTAGAAGCAATGAATCGACCTCTATGCATGAAATATGTTCTATTAGTGAATATTCTTTTTCAGGAAAATCTTTTGTATGTTTCTTCTTGGGCATAAATCCTTTTTGATGATGTCTGTTTCAGATAAAATTTTGGGACATTCGAATGGTTAAGCCCCTGTTTAGGATTGAAGATAATATAAATCCTTATAATAAAACGCCAATGCATCTCGAGAAGGATGAAAGGATTCTCTTCTCAGGTTAATTTTTATGTTTGCTGTCATTTAGAAAATAGGTTTTACATTTGTTGAAATAGAGTGCATCGACTATGGCTTAATAATAAAATAATATTTTAATTGTAAGAATCTCTTTATCTGCATAGATTTATAGAATTCGTTACAGGCGAAAAATCTATGAAAAAAATGGCGTAAAATCCGTAAAGATAGTATTGAGAAATTTATAAGATGCAGATTATTCCTTTCACCTTTTCATGAAAATTAATTGTTATTCTGATTTTAATGAGAATGATCTTGAAAATAAAGTTAGCGTAATTCTTCTAGTCTATTTCTTGCCTTATAGATGTTTAGAAAATGATGAGAAAACTAGGGATGGGGCATTATAAAGAATTTCATTGCAGCTACCGCAGACGGAATTACACGAGCTTGGTCAACTTACAACGGAGAGAAGTTATGTGAGTTCCCGAGTCATGATCCGAGGAATTCATCGCGGAAACCGAAACTTGTTTATGCATCTAATTGGGGTGGTTTCTCCGGCAACGCTGCTATTCTTGTAGCTACTGGAAGTGAATTTCATGTTCATGAATTAGTATTATAATAATTTTGTGCCTTATTGCGAATGCTGTAAATATCTTTTGTTTTCCACTCACAGTTCAAAAGTCATAATTTCAAGTTACATTCAAAAGTCCATTTAATACTTAACTAATAAGCACTTAAATAATAACAATTTCTGAATTTTATTAGTGTTATCATGTGTGGAATGTAGAAGGCTTGCTTTACAAGCTATCAATTTTATAATCGCAATAATTAAAGATTCAGTAGTGTCTTTGATTGATCTATAATTATAAAGTGGACAAAGACAAGCCCCCTTTTCTCATCAGTTTTCTTTTGGCATCATCGAATATGTATGGAATATTTCTCACAAAAATTCATTGCCACAAAATTTTCGACTTACATAAATATATTCATCCGGCAGTAGTCTTTAGTGTGACGCCATATTTGCATGTAGAAAAAAAGCATTGCAACAAATCTTTCTAATATCTTGAACGGTGATTTTGTTTGGTCCCAAAAGTTCCAAAAATCGTGAAAATTCTATACATATTGTCAAGAATGAGAAGTACTGCGGGACATTTAATGCTGTAAATATTATGGTAATCTTTTATAGGTCTCAATAACATAATCTTACGGTACGGACTGCTTTTTTTATGAAATTTATAGTGTTAATTTCTTCACATTTTTCTGTATTGCTGACTTTTTTTTTTATGTATGTTTCTTGATAAATTTCGAGAAAAAAGGTATTACAGTTTGGTTACATTTCTACAGATATCTCATATTTATACCTTTGTTCCCACATCTTTAACCATATTTTGTATTTTTTCTCTTATAACCCTTAACGACAACGTCTGCAATAAAGGATCTGTCATAGCGACAGAGAACGCCGCCAATATAATCGATGGCAAATCTAAGACAAAAGGAAGTATACTCATTTCCGAAGTGAAATCTGTAGATTTCTTTGACATCAATGTTACAGTCACCAAGTCATCTTGATTCATGCTTGGAATTGAAGTATGCTTTCTAGATCATCAATTGTTGCGGTCATCAAAGCTCTGAAAATAGAGAATAGTTCAATTTAAATATCAGGTCTATGAAATTGTGCTGAATGTTGTTTTCTCATGGCATTTTCGGCGAAAGCTTATACAATAAATTTACTATAAAGAGAAGTTGGGGGAAAAGATGAATTTTTTGGAAATTGTTTAGTTGAAGTTTTAGATTGATGAAAAATGCGAAGATATATGATCAAATTACGATAAGATTACAATTTTTGTTTATAGAAATTAAACCCATAAACTATATATTTTACCTATTTGCTATACTATCAAGATAATAAATATGCATAAATGATAATTCAAATTTTTATATGAAATAACGAAATTTTGTAAGAAAAAGAAACCATTTGCAAAAGATGATATTTTTGGTATTCTTCGGTAAAAAGAAGTATGAAAAGAAGAAAGATTGGGAGGGAGAGTTCGATAATGATTGAAAAAGATAGGAAGAGGATGAATGAACGATCGATGATAATGATGATCGACCGGCATATGGGAGCTGTTTGTTTTATCTTTCAGCAAGCAGATATATAGTTGATACATCTTTTGGAGCAAGCAGACATAAATTGATTCATTTAGTGGAGCAGCTATTGTTACATTATGGTCCTTTCTCCATTTTGGTTTATATCATTTATTTTACATTTGTCTCAGTCAGTATTGTTATTTGAACGTCAAAATTTCGTTGGATTACGTGATCATACAATTATCGATAACTCAAAGAACAATTTTATCCATTGTCAACAACATGTAATGATTACTTCCTTTTTTTTTCGCGGTATTTTTACATTATCATCATTACTTTTTCTTCTAATTATGTAAAACTATTATCACATTTATTCTAATTAATTTAGTTGTTTTTTTATCGGTAACAGTTTGTCCTACTGTATATATTTGAGTAGAATTGTAAATGGAAGAAGTATTTACGAAGATTTCATTTCAATTTCACGTAGAATTAAGCATGATAATAAGGTAATAAATAAAATATTAAAAATAGTTTAACAAATAGAAATAATTGTGATAATAGAATAGTAAATTACGAAGAGAAATATTTACGATAGTTTTACATAATTGCAAGCAAAAGTAGTTGTGATGGTAAATGAATGTGAAAATGACTTTTACGATAGCTTTACTGTAATACTAAATACGAAAAATTATGATGAATTAATAAATAAAAGCGATTTTGCGAAATCCAAAATACCTATTCAATGGCTTTTGATTGCATTATTTTTTATATTTCACAAATCAAACTATTTCATCAATCTTTAACTATGCTACCCAAAAATTTCGAATGAGAATTTTGATTGATGAATTATGATTAACTTATGATCGTTTCTTTTTTAGGATGATTATTATGAATATTTAAGTGCGTGTCGTAAAAAGAATAGCAGGATATTACATACAAATAGTGGTGTAAAATGTGAAAAAGGTATTCAAGTTGCTTTGGGACGATTCCGTAATGCTGTCAACGAGACAGGGTGAAAAATTATTTTAAAAGAAAGAAAAGAGAAAAACGAAATATCATAAAATTTATTGGGGAAGTAAAAAGCTTAATTGATTGTTTAGAAAAAATAATAAGCTAATATATTTTTAGGGGGCTAACTAAATTGATTAATTGTAGTTGAAGAAATACTTATCATTCATAGACTGAAATTTTAATTTCTGATATTATTCTTGATGTCAAAAGTTTTAGTTTCATCCTGAGATGGTAGTCTAAATATGTGAGCTGCAACTGTGAAGTTTAATGAGAATGACTTTTATTCTAGGTGGGGTATCTTGGAAGTGGAAACATTTAATGGTGTCGATGAAATCACTCAGTCATTTGCTGCTGGACTTCTTGAAGGTTAATTTTTTTGTGATAAAAAGATGAGAGGGAGGAAAAAATGTTGAAAAGAAGAAGAAGAGAAATTTTAGCCATATGAACTTTTTTGAAGCATTAGTATTTATCGCTGTTAATGACGAAATTCTTGAAATTAGCTCTCTTTTTCTTATATTATCAATGCGGAATATATATATATATTTATGTTTTTTTTTTCAAAAGAAAAGAAGAGAAAACAAATGTATTTTTTATCTTTTTAAATCAGAATTTAATGATATAATAAGAAAGTGAAAGAAAGGCAAGTAAATAAATTTTAAAGGTATTCTAACGCGACAATTGATAACATATCATTTTCGTAATACGATAGAAGAAATGTGTGATGACGAAGAAGAATATTGCAAGAAGCTTTTTGCCTATTTATCCAAAAATTTAGAATGGATCAAAAAGTCTGTGATAAGTAAGAAAACAGAAATGGACCTCTACTGGAAACAGGTTAATTTAGCATTTTGTGTTTACACTTACTACTTAGCAGTAACCTTGAAGTATAATTGACTATTAATAGATAATGGTGGAAATTCAGCCATTATTTTTCTTTTAAATTTCTTGATTGGAAAGATGGGAAAATGATTATTGGAAAAAAAAAATGTACCACAACTTTATAGGTGAATCTAACATTTGCTCAACTAACAGGAATAAATTATGGATATTTGAAGAAAACATCTACCATGTATAAACCGATAGTTTCGTTTGAACTTACACCAATTTAGTAAGTTTTAATATTGCCATTTGTTGTGACAAAAGTCTTTTGAATTAAGTTTATGAATGTATAACTTTTTATCAATTGTATATAACTTTTAGTTAATTTTTTCAATATATTGCCATTCTTCAAAAAAATATCGTCAGCAATCTTCCATGTATTTTTTTGATTGCAAAAATCAAATTTTAATTTAGAAAAAAATTTTTTTCTTAAATTATGGAGATAATCTAATTTTTGCAATAGAAAAAAATTAATTAAAATTTAACTTTTGCAATAAGAAAAAACTAATTTATCATAGAATTTATCGAAATCTTCATTTTTAATATTTTTATAGCCTGATTCAGCTTTTTGGTGACTTCATTGATTTGGGAAAGATGTTTGGCAAAAATAAAACTGATGCAAGCCATTGTTCCGGTTTGGTAAAATTAGCTGCCGATAATGCTGATTTATTTGTCGCTCATGTTACCATGTCCGGTTATGAAACGATGAATCGAATTCTTAAATTTTACAAATTTGCATTTGGTGAAATTTTCATTTTTTTTCTCGAATATTTTAATTATTAATATAATAGTAACAAGTTTTTTTAGGCAAAAAAGTTGTCATGTGAGGAAAAAAGAACTTACGACATATTAATTTTGGTTAATCAATTAAGCTTTTTTTTAACGGGAGGGAGAAAGAGAGAAGAAGGAAAATATTTAGTTTAAATTACTGTAATTTCCAAATTTTAGTTTTTTCGAATATAGGATCAAATTATACCAAATGTAATATCACAATTTATTAAAGAATACATTGTAGAAGAATTGCTAAAAAGTAGTCATTATTCAATCTTGTTTAATGAATTGTGTATTCCCGGCAAATACTATATTGACGTAAATATTGTATGCTATATTCCTGTAAATATGCTATAAAGTATATTGCCGTAAATATATGCTTTTTGTAATGTATATAATATCGTAAATATATGCATAAAGCGTATATTACGATAACGTATAAGATAGTAATGAAATGATTAAAATAGAGAATTAAAATAAACATTTATTACAGATAAAAAAAAAATACCCGGTTATGCGACATCTTTCTCATCATATCCTGGTGCTCTTACTTCATTGGATGACTTTGTCCTTGCAAGCTCTGGATTGGTATTATATATCCTCTTTATTTATCTATTATTTTATTAAAGTATTATTATTGGTATAAAAATGATCGAAATTTTCCATAAAATTTTAAATAAAAATGGAAAATTTCATTTTCCATTTTCATTTAATGATATAATTGTATTATATATATCAGGGAATAATTGAAACGACAATAAGTATATTCAATCAATCGTTGTATGATGCTGTCAGAAGTGATGGACAATTGCATTGTTGGATTCGTAGTTTTATTGCTACAAGGCTTGCAAAGTCTGTTCATTTTTCTTTTCCAAGAAGAATAGAAAATAATCATTTATCTGATTTTGCCTTTTTACCTTAATCTTAATTGCCGTAATTTCTTGATTAAAATTATGCTTATTCAACTTTTTTTAATTTTGAACTGTTTGATCAATTTATACTGTAATCGTAATTCATTTGCTAAGAACAATGCATTTGTTCTTTCTAATCAATTAAGTTTAGTTCATTCATTTTCTTCAAATATTATTTGCATCATTTTAGTACCGCAAAACAATGGATGCAAATATTTGCACAATATAACTCGGGTACTTATAATAATCAGTGGACTGTAGTTGATTATAAATTGTTCAAACCGAAGGAAGAACTTCCGACTAAAAATCTTTTATGGGTTTTAGAACAGGCACCGTATGCAGTTTTCAGTTTTATTCTGTCCTTTTTTTATTAAAAATTGCAATTATTGTACACCATTCAATGGCTGGATAGTTTCAGTCATTCAGTTATGAAAGTTCCATGTTTCTTCCTCATATTTTCTCATATATTAATTTGAAAATTAAATTATTTGATCAAAATATATTTAGGGGACTAGTGATTTCTCACGATATGACATGGTTCTTGAAAAAATACACGTATTGGCCAAGTTATAATATTCCGTATTTTAAAACAATCAGTGAAATAAGTGGTTTCGAACAAAAGGGTCAATTATCAGATTGGTATAAATGGGAAAGCAGTCCACGTGCAAAAATTTTCAGACGTGACCACGACAAAGTTACGAATTTGGATAGTTTGCAAAAATTAATGAGGTACTGAAGAGAATTTTTTTCTCTAATTTCCTAAAACAAAATGTCAATTCCGAGAAAAAATTGGAAAATTTTTCGACAAAAACGTTTTTGTTTTTTGAAGTTATGAAGAAAAATTACTCATTTTTTCTATCTCTTTTCAGATACAATGATTATAAGCATGAAAAATTCAGCAAATGTAAATGCATACCACCATATTCAGCAGAAGCAAGCATCTCAACACGTGGAGATTTGAATCCACGCAATGGTACATATGAAATTAAAGCAATGGGTCATCGAAATCATGGGGGCATAGATTACAAAGTGATTTTATTTTAATTAAAGTTCAAATAATTCCATCTGTTTATATTTCATCTCATGAAATTCACACCCTTAATTAAAGACAAATTAGATAATTACTGATAATTACTGCAACACTGTTTATTGTGATTAGATTGTCTTTTTTTTATAACTATTCTTATAAGAATGCAATTTTTTTCCATTATAAGTTTCGATTATAAGTTCTAGGTTTTTTTAGCAGTTAGAATTAAACTAATAGTACTAATAAATACATTTAAATGAAACGAAACTTTTTCAGGGAACAAATTATCAATTGTTCAAGAATCTTCGTTTTAAAGCATGGGGTGGACCAACTTATGATCCTCTTCCTGCCTTCAGGTGAAATTATCAATTGTTCAAGAATCTTTGTTTTTCTCTATAAAATTTCTTTTATCATAACAAGCTATCTTACCACATATTAATTATTATTAATGTTAGTTTTTTTGAACTTTCATTGCCAGTAATATCCCTCACTTCGCAATGAAATTTATTCAGCAAAAATTTATGATTTTTAGCTGGGCTACAACAGATATTCAAGCAAAGCATTATGGTCAGCCAACGGTATGGCAATTCAAGGAAATGGAAACACAATGGAAAACTACTCTACCGTAATTTCATATTTAAAAAAATGAAACATAAAAGTTATTAACACAATTTTTTTTCCAAAAAATCTGAAATCAAAAAAGTTATTTCAAAGGAAGGAAGGAATTGCCTTCCTTGTTAAATTATTTTAGCTAAGCATAGAATGTAGAATGGAAGTGAATTTCAAATTCCAAATTATGAATCAAAGAATTTAAGCAATGTTTCGAATATTTTTAATGATGTTGTTCGTCTTTAAACGTTTTCCATCTCTCGCATTCCCGTAATTCTCCTGTATACAAGATGAGAGATTCAACCTGTCTATATGAAATGCTCAGTTGATATCTTCTTGTTTGTTTCTTCTTTAAAATTAGTTGATTTTTCCTAAAAAACAATATAAGCATACTAAATTGCACAAAGCTAATGAATCTCGTTGTGCCTGTACATCGTGTTGTAGCTAATGAACGTTTCCCACTATGTTTAATTTCATCACAAAATGGTGCTAGCAAAAGATTTCTGGAAAATATTTTTAAAACGAAATATTTGTGACTTTAAAACGATAAAAATAATAATAAACGAAATGTCCCTTAAAAATCATTCTTTACATGTCTCTGGCAGTTGGAAACTCTTAAGATTTCTTTTTCTTTTTTATATTCTAATGAATTTCTGAACTATGAATAGTGAAGCATTAGAATTGTTTGAATTTCTTGTTTTATATAAAAACGAATTTTTAACAAATTGTAATATGCGAATGAAGTATTAACAAATGAGCGCTAATCCCTGTTTTGATTCATATTTAATCGCCGTATAAGCTAAGGTGGAAAGCTGTCAAAATTATCAAATACATGAAAACAAAAATGGAGAAAATTGTGAATAACGAAATTGCGTCAGATCAAAAGTATTTGCTGGACTACTGACTATTCAATTATGAAATTCATCAGCGACCTAAATAAATCACCGAGATTTTGGTAACTTGAATTGCAAATTTTTCTGGTAAAACTGTCGTGATAACCATTCTTCCCCTCAGAAAAAAAATTGGAGAATACTGCAGCCACTTCAGTATATCTCTGTACGCTCTTAGCCTCTTAGCCGTTAACGTCCAATATTCCCCCAAATCTTCCTTATGTACTCGTCCAGGTATGTGCATTCTTCATCCTAATAATGAAATCACCGCAGTACACTTACTCTTAAATTTATACCAGTGCTTACGCTCGTTATTTTTATGGTTACTTTTTTTTATTGAAATATCAGCCTTCTATATGGAAAAATCAGAAAGCTAAGCTTAAAACGTTTTATTAATAAAAATGGGTGTATTATTTGTGTACAGGAATGAATTCTGCAAGTTTGCGGTTTAACCAACACAAGTGATCAATGAAGACATTAAAAATTAACAGACTTGAGAATGCTTAAGTATATACAAATTTATACGAATTACGAATTAGGAATGAATTCAAATTTTAAAAGCAATCATTTCTAAATTTCTCTCTTTTTTCATCTTTTCTTTCATTAAACCATATTTTAAAAAGTCAATTTCAGCCAACAAATGAATAATCATTTTAAAATCATCTTCTTCTACTTGTAGGCATTCCCGTAATTTGTTTGGATCGGTGTATTTGGCCAAATATACGATTGAGCACAAATCTGTTATCTGCGCCATAACGTATTGAATCAATGCATAATCGGTCGGAAATGAGTCACTTCGTTTAGATGATAAAAAGCTTAATAGTTTACCTGAAAATATTGACAATTAATAGGTGACGACGAATTAAGTCTTGCAAAGGTTTAAACAAGTATAGTGAGGAGAATTGCATAGAAACCATAAAATATACCACCTTGAGGAAACCATCTTACATGTAATATACCTTTATAATTCCTACATTTAAGCCACCGCCCTTCAACGTCGTACACGCATAGCGTTGCGTCGTTTGAATCGTGTACGGTTGTTTTACGTGGGACACTTTCCCCGAACAATTGACAATCTTCAATGCTGCAAATTTTTTGCAAAAAAGTGAATAAGAAATATAAAATGCTTCTTTCTTTTTTCTTTTATCATATAAATTAAAAAAAAAATTTGTATCACGGTATCATAAATCAGAAAGTACAAGAATTTTTCCATCCTGTTTACATCATCTATGCTTCTACTTAATATTACTATCACTGACAACAAAATGCACAAACAACATTAAAACGACAACAAAGATTATCACCTACTTTTTATGTTCTGTCTTCCACGACGCATTTTGCTTTTGCATGCAAACCCGTAGCAAATTCAGTTTTTTGAGCAAGTCTTTCCCCAAACTCTTCCTCTCCTCTATGGACCAAAGCGCTAATTTTTCACCACTTAGGAGAGCAAACAAAATCTGTAAAATAAATTCAAGAAAATAAGAAACTTATTTTGTATTTCCAAAAAAAAATTCTAGTACAGAAAAACTAATTTTAGATACTATCTTCATCATTATTATTTTAGCAGGGCTATATTCCTACCCCGAAATTTATTTTCATTAATAACATAATTCCAAAAAAACGAACTGAAATTCGGAATTCTCAAAACTTCAAAATTTCCAAAAAACGAAATTCTCGACACGAATTCGAAAAAATTGATATACGCTCCCTCTAAATGTATAGTTAATTAGTCTTACCTTGTCCAAACCCTCTACAACAGTGGTCAGATTTCTCGTATAATCATTTTCATCCATAAGATTCCTAAAACAGTACCAATTAAGGATCGTGATGAAATGATTTCAATTCAACCACAAAATTCACTTTTTAATTGATACAATGAACGTCTTCTCCTAATAATACTTTATTAATACTTTATGAAGCAATCTGAGAAAGACAATTGATTATTTTATGCTACGCAAATAAAATATTATCCGTAAACTATATTTACGAAAAACTAACATGGACGTAGAACTGTCGTCATCGAAGTTATGATTGTTACAATCTTTCAACTTTAATACTGGCGTTGCAGCGCAAAACAAAGTTCCCGCATTATAAGAATGGGCAGCTCTGGTAAGTTTTTCATATACTTTTGGAATCGCTTTAATAAACCTATCATATGTCTGGAATTTCTTATAAATTTGCTTCATAATTTAGTGAATAAATTAAGCTTATCAAATTTTACTCCTAAATTCTTTCACTTTAAATGTAACCCGGGTATTGACTCAGTCTTTTATTCAATATCGACTCCTTTTAAATCTTTTCTCCAACTGTTATGCATGCAAAAGGTATGCATGTCACTCTTTTGTTTCTTCTTCCCTAATCTTCTTATCATTTCTACAACTTGGTTGCCTGTTTTACGTGTAATTTACTTCTTGGATTGTTCCAGTCATCCTCCGGTGCCGATAGGACTCGCATCATCTATAGCGAAAATTGTCTCACATTCCAGTTAAAGTTAAATTAGTTAAATTATTCCAATAAGTTCGTTTGCAGGCTAAATTGCTGATAGTAATTTCTCGAATAGAATTGCAATATTTGCTAAAACAGACAAGGAGAAAACTAACACATGGTGTTAAAAATTTCATTTCTTGCAGTGACAATGGAGGATCCTCAATTAACTGCTCCAAAATTTTAACGCCATTACTTATTGGCTCATGTCCACTACAATGTACAGAATTTCGCATCGTCTTTTGCACAGCATCGTTTTCAAACCGCTGCAACATATGCTTTGCCTGTAAAAAAGATAAAAAAATATTATAAATGGGATAAGGAAGTATTAAATTTCATTATTATTTAACCCTTTAAATGTGAATTTAGGATTCATCTTTAGTACAAATGACAACAGTCAAATTCTCCAAATCTTTGCTGAAATTTAGATAATATCCTTCAAAGAATCACAAATAAGGCAGTTGGTGGACGAAGAACCCAACCTCTGCTGAAATAAAAAAAACTTTATTTCTGTTATGAGATTTCCTTTTTTATAACCATTTTTTATGCGAAGAACAAAATGCTACTAAAATAAGAATGAGAATTACAGACAAAGATGACTTAATAACAAATCTCTCCATTGTTTTTTGCATCACTTCCACGCTAAGTAATAGAAGGTTTATTGAATCAAACAAAAATAAAGAAAGTTTAAAATGTTTTAGATAGCAAATTGTTAGTATTTGCAAAGCGGCTTAAAATGATATAAACGAAATAAAAATACCTGATCAGATATAGATTGAATTTTAGCCCTAGCAGATTTTGATACGGATGTAAGGAAATTTTTATTATCTGACGTCTTGAGTTCCATTGTTTTAGTTAAATTAACTAATCGAACAAGATGTGACCTTCAAAATTGATTAATGCACTATTTTTTACTAAATTTAAGATATAAATAAAGCACAGCTTTTTTTCTTTTCTAAATGAAACACTTTAAAATGATTGGATTATAAGATCAGAAGGAGTACGATACATTGATAAGTAATCAGTACTAATATTTTGGTTTCTTTCCAGGGTTATGTTTTTATTTCAAACATTTTATTATGTTTTTTCCTTTACATTTAATGATACCAAAAAGTATCATTTAAAAAAGGGAAAAAAGATCGAAAACGAACTTGAACAAAGTCTGGTTGCAAATCAGTAATGGCAAAAACACCTGCTGACTAGCCTCAATAAATTCCTTGAATACCGCAGCTGTGGGTTTTACAGGAGTTAATAGAGCCAAAGATATTGGTCGCTGAAACTGATTGAATAATATATTTCAATAAGTCAATCAGACGAAATACCATCGCTCATCACTTTGATGACAAAGCGCGATATTTGCGTCTTCAATTACGAGGAACTTAAGAAATTTAAGTACTGTTAAATTCATACAACATTTATACAGAATATTTCTTTCTTCCTTTCTAATCGGGAAATACCAATCTAAAATTTGAAATGATACCACTGGTATCAAAAAATTTTCTCAATTGAAGCTCTTTATATTGCGTCTTTTCCTTGCACAGCAAATTTCAGATTTTATAAGCACTAGAATTAATCGAACAACCTGAAATGCTCGAGCTCGCAAATCGAGTAAAGTTGAATAATGAACACAAGCATAGATAGCCATTTGTTGATTGTAAACTATCACACTAGAACCATTAATAACTTCGGTGCTCATCAACCAAAGAGCAACATTATCCATGTCAAGATGTGGACCGCGAATATGAGCAGGGTATGAGTATAGTGGTCGTGGACCTTGTTCCTATAAAAGAAGCACAATGAAACACACTTCGTATTCAAATACCAAGGATTTTGAGTAAATTGAAAAGTAAATTACAAATTTTTGAGTAAATTAAAAAACTTGACTTTCTGAGTTTCATAAAATGTCAAGACAGATTTGCCTTGATTTATATGAATTTCAACTTTTTTCTGTAGATTCTGCTAAGTGTTGTACTCATCGCTATGGATTACAAATGGTGATCTCCTAATGCTCAAATAATAGAGTAGCATGAGATGAAATGAAATTTAGCACCTCAAACCTTATTACACACCAAACGATAATCAATAACAGTGATACACATTTCAGAAATACATTCTTAAGGTGTTAATTCCATGATGACAAAAAACAAGATTCTTGATTGTAAGGACTGAATCTTCGACCTTAACTTGATGAAATCAATAAAATATTTAAATGGCTTAAAATTAAAGTAGAGTGCGTTCCCGTCTAGCAATAAAAATTCTGAGGACATAGTCAGCATGACTCGCGAAACAATACGGATGTCACTTACTGTTCAAAAACAAGATCGTCAAACGAACAACCTGACAAAATTCAATTACAGTGAAAACAGCCTCCGGGCAACAGGTCACCCGATGCCATGGGTCCGCACTTCGTTTGCCCCAAACAACGGCTTCATCAACAACATTCATTCTGTTTCTTATCAAATAGCTTCCCACAAATTGCAATCTAACTCCTATTCCTTATTATAGATATTTCCACTGCCTGGAAAACATGATGTTGCTGATATAGGAACTTACTATATACCGTTTCATTAGTTGCATGAACACAAATGTAAATAAAATCCGTAAAATCTCTTTAAAATCCACTTAAAAAATATTAAGTCTTTATATTCCCCATTCGCATAAATTCTCCTCCTTTCAATAGCCTTTTTTTTCTCAACCAAAATAAGCCATCTTGCAAGTATATAAACTACGACAGTATCAATCTAAAGAACATCTCTAGCTGAGATTACTTTAACTTCGCCTTATTATGTTTAAATAATCACCTTTATCGATTATATTAATCCGTTTCTAACAATTAAGAAATATACTATCTTTGAGACAAACATGAACGAAAACATCTACGATGGGAAATGGATTTTCATCAGTTGCATACGCTGAGAAATTTTGAAGAAACTTCAGTTCGAAACTTCTATCGCATTCGTAATTTTGATATAAAAGTGAGAGAATTGTCAAAATAAAGTCAAAAACATAATGGAAAAAATATACTAACATCTATCACAGCCGCTTTAACAATCGTGACATATTTTAAAAGAACAAACGTATCAAAAAAAACCTTGGGAAAATACAACTCGACCAAGACTACTGCCAACGAAATAAAATATTAAAACCACATACGACAAATAAGTGGAAAATATAAATTAAAGAGATGAAGAAATCTAGTACAATACTATTTCCAGAAACAAAATACTGCACAAAAAATCAGACGAATGAATTTGTTGAACACATAACATCTAATAAATAAATGAATAAATAAAAACCATTTTGTGATAAATACAATGAACCTATATTTGACAATTAAGCATACAAATTATCAAATTTCACTACTTTACTGGTGCCATGTACTAATTCGTCTTGTTTATTAAGTCTATTTTATGTTAAAAAAAACCTTGCTTTTTTATCCTTATTGTATTGGTTACACATATCATTTTCTAGATGCTTAATTCCAACATTATGAAACAAAAACAATTAGTACATGGCACCAACAAAGTGGTGTTATGTACTAATTCTTTTTGTTTCATAATTATATTTTACTGGCTCACTTTCATTTATTAAAAGAATGTATGATGAAAAAATCATATAAAATACCCGGAAAGACAAAAGTATGCAAAAACCGTATGAGAAAAATGAAAAGAAGAAAAATCAAACTACAATGATAAGTAGATGCTGCGCAAGGTTCATCTAGCGGCATATCTCCTACATATTCGGGAATTTCATGTTTATTTATTTCCTGACAGTAACCAAATTTGTCGTTCAAAGAAAAATGTTCTGAATGGCAGATCTCTTCACATGGTGGACAAATGATCATTCCCTCACGTAACCAGCCATTTATAATCTGCAATACTAAGTAAAGCAAATAAAAAACTTCACTATTTAGAATTAGTTCAAAAGAAGGTAAGGAACTTCCTTCATTGTTTAAGGTTATTTGCCATCCGTTTCAAGACTGTAGCTACAAGCAGCATGAAAAAAAAATCTTTATACTGCAAATAGAAGGCTTAAACAAAAAGAAAAGGGAGTTTTTCAAAAACTATTGATTAAGAAATTACTTCAGTAACGACTAATGTGCTAATTTAATGCTTCGTAAACAAAAGAAAACCTTTCGAATATGAACATATTGGCCAGTAAAATAACACGGATAGAAAAAAGTTTCATTGAACAAACCAATATTCAAGCGACCTTCACTACATTCATACTGAAGTTCAGTGCAAAAATAAGGATATAATAAAACAATATGAATGTATGTACAACCCTGACTATTTGAATCCTGAAGAATCAATGTATAACACAGTATGACTCAACCTTTGTTTTATGCAGGTCGCTACTGAATTTAGATTTCGACTAATCAGTAAGTAATCTCTGACACTGCTAGAAATATTCAAACGAAATTGTCCTTCTAGAATAAATTGAAGCTTGATAAAAATTTACCTGATAGCACCCGGCTTTATACTGAAGAAATGTCCGAACACGACCACATTTTCGCTCGCTCCAAAAAGTCGCTAAATCGAAACATTTTGACTGATTACTATATACTTCCAGTATTGAATTTGAATGACTAGGTGTAAAATTTCCGTCCAATTCGCACCTGCTATCACGGCGTTTCGATGAATTTAGTGCTTTCCATTCAAATTCCTATATAAAACTGATTGAACAAAATGATTAATACTAATTTTATTTTTTGTTAATTTATTGAGCAAGGTAACCGTCAACAATATTATCATTTGACAGAGAATGAAAAATTGGAAATACTAATGTTTAGTTTCATATTTTAGCCCGCTACAGTAAATGTTTTAGGGACGCAGACTGCAAATTTTTTAATGAAACTATATATAATAATACAATAAGCTTTTAATTGTTTTTCTTCACAAGGGATAAAGCTTTATGCATTGCTTTTAACAGAAGTAATCAACATCTCATCAAATTTCGAAAATTTTAAATCTTTTTCAAAGAAAAAATTTTAAAGCAAGCTGTGAGGAAAATGACAGATGCTTGAACGGAACCAATCCTAAATAATAAACAAACAAAGGAACAAAAAGTAATGGGCAACCTGATTATAAGGACAATAATCAGCAAGTTCCACGGATCCACCATAGTACATGGCGCTGTCATCTTGTACTTCATTCAAGAAAGCGAAATTACGATATTCCAGTGGAAGTGGCTTTTGGTATGGTATCTAAAATTAAAATCATATACAACAAGTTCCAACTAACAAGCTCGTTGTGAATTTAATACCACCATCTCGCGGATGTCTTTACTTTTACGTCAAAATTTAAGACAAAAAGATAATTTTTGATCTTAATTTGCAAAACTTCGTATACAAATAATTAAAGAATTAAAACTGCACTTACCAAAGAATTGAATTTCGAAGTATTCTGATAGATATGTGTAAGGGCTCTTGATACCTTTTTTATTCCTTTTTAATATTAGTTGATTTTTTCTAGCAAACAAAATAAGCATACCAAATTGCACAAAGCTAATGAATCTCGTTGTGCCGTACACCTTGTTGTCGCTAATGAACGTTTCCCATCATGTTTAATTTCATCACAAAATGGTGCTAGCAAAAGGTTTCTGGAAGTAAAATATATGTGATTTTTATAAAATAATAAACAAAATGGTCCTTTTAAAAAACATTCTTTACACGCGAGTTAAAAGTCGTGCAGAATATTCTGCAAATTACGATTAAGCAGTGTAACGAGGAAACAAATCTGAATCGAAACTACATGCTTGAGTTTTATTTCTTATTCCTTTGAATTGGCAAAAGAAAAAGAAATCTGCAATCATTTGTTTCAAGAATGATAAAAACATAGCATCATGAACTTTATAAGAAAGAAAGATTGCTCAATCAGTGGCATGAAACTAACAACCAAATTCAAGAAGACAAAAACTATTAGAATCTTGGTTTCATTAGGAAACTTTCGGGTAATATTCAAAAGAATAAGGGATGCACTGTGTTTACTATTCGGAAGACTTACTTTTCTCGTCGATTTCGGATCCATTCGCCACAACTTTTTTTCGCAAACTCACAACCAAGATGATGACCCCAGTGAAGTTCTTCAGCTGCGCTAAAACGACTTGAGTTATCAATTTCAAAGTCTTTGTGTTTTTTTTTACTTTACAATTAATGGTACAATCGCTTAAAGTATTTGTGTCCTCAAAAAAAGCAATCTAGTGATGCTAAGACGACAAATTTGAGATTTGAAGCTCCTGAATTGTAATAAAATGTTAGAATGAATTTCTAATTCATAAGAATTAAAATATGTGAATATGCTAAAATGTTATGAAACTTTCTAATCATAACCCTAAGTACGTTCCTAGTGATTAATATTTCCATGTTATACTGATATTTCAACCAAATCAAATTTAACCTGTAATTCGCTTTGTACCATCCACTGTCCTCTAAAAGTGCAAATGTTAATCGAGAGTATACCGGATTTTGTGTATGAGTACCCGTCATTGCTTCATTCTGGAATGTTAATTAGATTATTACTTCTGTAAGTTGGCTGATTTCGAGCATTACTCTTACTACAGGTCACTTATTTTAAAGTAAAAACAGTATCAATCTTACAAGTTGGACAATTTTTTGAATGCTCAAGTTAAGCAATAGAAATAAATCTCACAATAAAATGTTAATAAAAAAGGATTTCGCACTCTTCCAAAAATTTAGAATTTGGAAGCTAAAAACAAATTTTAAAGCACGCAGAAAAGTTCAAAATAATGAACATCAAAAAATCCCACCCAATTATCTCACAAACAAAGACGATATAAAAAAATTCCAATTTTGAAATCATTTTTTTTATTTCAATTTTCATTATACAGAATATTTCATATCCGTAAATTTACTTCGAAAAGACGCTTCTCCCAATGTGTAAACGCGGTACCATCACCACCTTGATTTTCCAACTCAGCTCCTTCCAAATCCAAACAGTTAAAATGCTGTCGGGCTTCTTGTTGTACACGCGGTGTTACCATCACGTGTACCGGATGTGGTACCTACAAAAATCGGACTTCTCTTTCTTTTTCTTTCTTTCTAGGACAAGAATTTTCAGTTGACCCTTCCTGTCCCAGCCAGCAAAATATTATTATCAGTCCACGTCATCAAATTTACTATACAACTAAATTAGTTGCATACGATTACGTCATCTTCACCTATACCACTATCCAATTCAATAGTCCTCAATCTCGTCACATTTTCCAATTTTTATTTAATTCTTACCATTCCTTCTGCTGTCCACCAATCATTCCGTATAATTGTCTGTATGGTGCTTGGATCCCAATTATAGTAACCGCGGTCTTTATTCAACGAAATCGGTTTATTGTAACGATTTCGTCGTGTTCGTGGATTTCCATTATCGTCCCGGAAGAATGCATATAATCCTGCGGAAAATCCCAAAGCATGCAAAATTTCATGTTTTACCGTTGAAAGTAATACTTCACGATCGTGTAGTGCAGTTGAAAGCGCATTTGGACATAAATTAACATGTCCAGCAATTGGTCTGTAATTTTAAAAATTACTTCAATAAATTGGAAAATATAAACAAGTAAGTAAGAGTATGCAGAAAAAAAAATGGTAGTGCAATCGATATTTAGCTTCAATAGTACTCTCTTCTGCCCCTAATTCCATCATCCATTTCTCTCATTCATTAAGCTATTTCAAATAATTATAAAAATTCTAAACTCTCTCTTAACTCCTTCTAAAGTTTAAACTTTCCACTGCTAAATGATTAATTGCTTAAATTAATTGAAGAGAAAAATGAAATGATCTAACCTATCGAGATCAGCTTCTTGTTGACAATGCGCTGCATATGCTACTGTATCAACATTTTTGCAACGTTGTGACAATACCGCAGAAACATAAAGAAGAAAATCAGTATTTGGTACACCAGCTCCATCGGGAGGTCCCATAATACCACAATTTTGAGATTCTGGTGATGTGCAATACCAACATTGCTAAGGAAATAATAAACACTAAGATATTATAATTAGCTAAATACATGATTATTACTAAGTCAATACGATCTTTTCTATTGCATGTGAAATATAAATTTCTTTTTTCCCCGATCAAAATAAAGAAGAAAATAAACAGGCCGAAAATACGTAATATTTTGTTATAATCCGTTATTAACATTTTATCATACATAAAATTTTTGCATCAAAAAATCAATTTTTTCAAATAATAATAAAAATTTTTCAATCTAATGATATATAATTCAATAAAGAATACTAAAACTAATTGTAATAATATCTTATTGATCGAATATTTTGTTTACATCCAAAATTATTCGTTATCAGATCTTATTAATTAAATGTCTTTGTTTATATAATAATAAACATACATATAAGTGTTCATCTGGTATGATTACTTCACCACAACTTGTCTCTTTTTTACAGCCTAATACACATGATTGTCGTTTCTCATATATACGCATGTAATATAAATTTGATACACATTTTCTAAAAAGAAAAATCAAATTTCATTTCGCAACAAATTTTTATTTCATTCTTAATTAATTTCAATTAATTAATCCCATTTTCTTCTTTATCGAATTATACATATTTCATCTCAATTTTTCCTTCCTTTCTTTTCAACTAATTAATTTGTTGTATAATTTTTAATGTTATTATTGAACGTTTTGGAAATTTTTAGGTTAACATTAAAGCATACTGAAATTCTTTGGTGCCAGCCATTTTAGAGAATTCATTTCGTGGAATATTCGTAGATTAATTATTTAGCAAAAAAAGGAAAGAAAAGAAATTTAAAAGTAGAAAATGAAAGAAAAAGATTAATAATATATTTCATTTTCTTCTTTCCCATTTTTCTCTTTTCAATTATCTTTTTCATTTTATTCTAAATTTAAACTAATGCATTCATTCATTTATTTGTGTTTATGAAAGGCTGTCCTTAAATTTATCCAAATTACATCATCCATTTAGTATTTTGAAAATAAATGAAATAATCTGCCTATTAAGTCGTATTGGTGCAGTTGTTGGACGTACTGCTAATGCATCTTGCCAGTAATTTACTGCTTCCGGTAATAAAGATGTCTAAAAAATATATATTATATTGGAATAATTAATAAAAAAACAACTTCTATACTTCTATACTAGGTGACCTCTTTTTCCACTTATATTGAGAGCGTAAAATTTCATGTTTTATTATCTTTCATTTTATCAATAAACTATATCATTGCATATTTTTGCTTTCAAAACCATAAAATAGCCGTAAATCTTTTCATCGATCCGTATCCGCAATCGGAAAATGAATTGCACTTTATAATTAACCGGAAATTTTTCCTGATTTACGATCCGATTAATGTCCGTCTTTTAGTTGGAAATATATGAAAAAAGGAAGAAAGTGTAAAACGATCATTGCATCCAAAAGTTAGTAATGTTTTGGTAATATTCACAAGTAATTAATTGCAAAAAAAGTTCATTTTTTTTTAAAAACATAAACTTCTACTAAGTGACCTTTTTTCCATTTGTGTTGAAAGTGTAAAATTTTCAGTAATGAAAAAAAGACTGTGCAAAATGAGGAGATGAAAGGATGAGAAGAGAATAAAAGGTTCTTCCGGTTTTATAATTCCTATTTACTGATTATACGCTTCCGAAAATTTATCTTTAAAATGACAGACCCATTTGAACTGTCCTAATGTAATAGTATGGTAATAATAATAGTATAGAAAATAAGAAAAAAAAATTTAAATGTGTTAATATCAGAAAAGTATATTATCTTTCAATCTTCCTTATACATTAAAAATTTTATAATTTCAATTATAATTTTTGCATTCATTAAGCTGTCATTAATAAAACAATGAATTTGTGCAACTTTTCCTTTGAGGAAGAATGAAATTTCAGAAAAGAAAGGTGTGATAGGAATAGGAAAAGTTAAAATAAAGTTAATTTCAAAACTTACATTTATAAAGAATTGTATGTTTGTCATTAATCTGAAATCAAAAATGAAAATAATAAATTAAAATAATGAATTTCTTACTTTTGTTTATTTCAATTTTTTGAATAAATAAAATGAATAATGCAAAGTTTCTTTTTTCAATAACAAATTAGCTTATAGAAAGCAAATTAACTTCTACAAATTTCAAATAATATATTCAACTTGGAAATATCAATTGCTTATATTTAAGATTTCAGAATAACCAAGTAAATAAGTAAATAATTCGGATGATAATTCGTAAATAATTCGGGTGAAAAGGCGCATTTTCGAAAGCTTTAAAAATAAATAGCAAGAAGATATTTACAATTACCTAATGAAGTACAACAGCGAGAGATCTTACTTGACCCCAATTCGGTAATACAATAATTCTCGGATATTCTAGAAGCTAATGAATGATGATTATAAAGACTATCAATATAACTTACTTGTCAATGCTAACTTTATCATAATGAAGATGTATTCTTAACGGTTGGAAGATATCGTTATCTATATGATTTACGTTACGTGTCTTCCGAAATCTAACATTATCACCTTTCATATCATCAATGTCCATGATAGCAACATCAAGTGGTACATCAAAAACAATATCATCCACATTTGGTACCTATGAAAAGAGAAGCTAAAATTTAATCACAATAATTTAATTAGATTATAATTAGTAATTAGTTCTTCTTTAATTACTAATGATATTATCGTTAACAATAATTCTTCTTTTGATTATTTTACAATATTAATAAATCTAAACTTTTATAATAAATTACTTTTATTACCTTTCTAAAATATATTAATGTTTCCTTCCATAAAATTTTTTCAACAAAAATTCGAAAAAAATTCAAAACCAAATATAAACTAATAACAATCAGTTACTATTATCGGTTCAATACTTTGTTAAAAAAATTTCAAATAATTGTTTGATAAATAATTATTTTGTTAAATACCTTATATGAGCATGTCGCACCATTTGTAGTTGAAATTACTGTCGAAAATATCATCCATAATAATAAATTGAAATTTGGACAAATAATAATTACAAAATGTTTGATATGAAAATTAATTTCATATTGTTGTTGCTGTTGTTTTGGTATATTTATGTTGCTTAATTGTATACGATGACGATTGTAAACGATCATAACAACTAATAATAATAACGATAATAATTAGCAGTAGCAGCAGTAATATTTAATATTTTTTCTCTTATACTATTATCAATTATGATATTTAAATAAAAATTATAGCAGTATTAATATTTGAATATTACATCTAATAGCAGTAATAATAATAATAATAAGAATAATAATTATTGTAATTAATTAATTGATAGTAATTAATTGCAGTATTAGTAACACATTCTGCATGCGTACAAATGCACTAATATTAACAAATGAAAAGATGACTTTTTATAATTTCATCATTTAGACGAAGACGACGAAGAAGAAGAAGACAGAGTGTAGAAAAAACAGAGAAGAAATCAAAATTTCCAGTGACCATTTCAATTAAATTTCATGCTGTCATCATTGGTACAATATAGTTATATCCATATATTACATATACATACATATATGTATATGTAATATATACAACGTATATCAGTGATCTGAATTTTTCATTACATTTGTCCCTGAAAATAAACAATTTCTTTTATTCGTTTGAAATGAAAATAAAACAATCGTTTTTACGAAAATTTTAAATTAAAAAATTGGTAATTATGAAATGAAAAAGAAGCAAATAATGCATAAAAGAAGAATTAATTTAAATAATTTATAAAGATTCGAAATGGAAATGAAAAAAGGAAATGATTATGTATACAATCAATTCGTGTATATAATAACTGAAATGAATTAATGAAATTATCATTACATTTTCAGATAATAACAAATTAAATCAATGGAATAATTAACTAAGAAATTGAGATATTTATTCCTTTTGAATTAATTTCAATAATTACATTATTATTTATTATTAATATTACTTTCTTTCTTGTTATCACTAATTATTTATTCATTTATTATCATCATCATTACTACTATTATTATTATTGTTCTCTTTATTCGTTATTATTAATTGATATCTTAATATATCAACCATATAATATACTTTAAAATAAATAATTAGTAATTGAATTGATAATTAATAATAAATATAATTTTTGATTTATTTAATTTATCGAATAAAGCGTAAACAAAAAAAAAGCACAAATAGAAAAACAAAAAAGAAAGGGAAAAGAAATGTAACAAAAAAAGAGATGGGAAAATATAATGTGACAATAAATTACCACAGAAATAAAGAAAGCAATTATTATTACTACTTTTTGTAAGCACTTATTGTTTTTGTAAATACGGTTTTTGTAATAAAAAATTTTCTAGTATTTTACAAAATAATCTTTTACACTATCAAATTTTTCTCATTCCATATTACAGTACAGTACAAACGATGTAATAATTATAAATAACTGTTTACAACTAAAATTCCATTGATATTTTTGACGATCTGTTAATTTATTCAATTTCATCCTGAAATTGAATAAAATATTAGATAAATTACTGTAGAAAGAATAGGAAAATATATATTACTGTAAAATTTCTAAAAATAAAATATATAAATAAAATAAAATAACATAGTCAAAAAATAAGCATATGAATGATACACAAGCTTCAGCTTAAGAATCATTTTCTATTTTCCATCAACAAAAATTGTTTTGTTAAATAATAAACTTCAATTAAGATATGTGACCAGATGGTTGTATGTATTATTAATCCGCTTGTTGCAACAGGTGACAGATGCATCTGTTTTAAATTATAAAACAATAGACATTAATTTGTAATTAAATATAAACAATAGTAATAGCATAATTAAATATAAACTAATATTATCAATATTGTCATTTTTTTAATTGTTTATTATTTGTTTGTTTTTTTGTTTACATAAATAAAATGAGTATTTTTTGCAAATGAGATATTCTTTATAAATGAACTTTTCGTGCATCTATTAGAATGGAAATTTCAATAAAATCAACCATCTCATTTCTTTATTTGAAAAGCTATAGAAAGAGGATATGATAATTGTTATGATAATTTCAGGATGATATGGCAATTATTATATAATAGTTAGGAAGATATTACAAGTATTATGGTTTTAATAAAAGAAGAAAAAGAATTATAATAAAAATCTTTGCCTCTAAAATCTTTTGCAATCATTTAAATTATTTAAACAAAAGAGTAAGAAAATAAATCTATCTATCAATCATATAGGAAGTTATTCTATATTTTACTCGGGAATTGTTGTAAACAAAACATTAGTAAATTTTTGTACAACGAATGAATGAATGAATGAATTTTAATCACTTCTTCCACCCCCCGCGAATTCTTCTGCTGGCATTTCCATCGAACAGAAATTTTGATGTGAAGTGAATATGAGAAGAGGAAAAAAGCAGAAAAATAACAATCGAAAAATTTTTCATCATCCATTTTTTCCTTGCCCAATAATTGTTAATTTGAAATTTTCATTTTATAATATAATGAAATCAATAAAGATTGTATCTCATAGGCCTAAATAAATCGATTTGATATGTTCAGCCTATTATCCTCTTATCTCATATCCTGCAGGCATCTTAAATGAATTTTCATGCTTAACATGCTCAGCTTATTTATTACTCTCTTATATCTTGTAGGACAAACAAATCGATTTTTCTTCACTGGATATGTCAAGCCTATATTTCTTGCAGGCTCAACAAATCAATTCTTTCGTAATTATATGAACATTCCTTTATTATAGGGATATGTCTAAACCGATTGGATAACCCTGTGGCATGAATTAATAACAATACATGTTAGGTGTATATCACTGAAGGATAGATATCAAAGACAAAAGTACGACAACAGGAAAAGGCCGTTGTGATGATAGCAGCCACACCATGATGAACTCTATTGAACCAAACTAAACTAAATAATTGCTACCGCACATACCTACACACACACACACACAGACATAGACAGACAAACATACACATGCATATATATATCTCATATCTTCAAATGTTTGTGTATTACGAGAGCTCTGAAAAGGTTGACAATGAAGAGGGTATGACCTTTCATCTGAACTTCATTGTAGTATTCCTATTCTATTTATTTCGACTATGTCGTAAATTATTTGCAATTGATTCGAATGATTCCTTGGCTTTATAGCCATAGTAATTATAAATACTATTCATTAAATTCTCTTTATTTTAGGCTATTATGTATCATCGATAATTTAAAGTTAATAATTTAAGTACAAAAATTTCAATACTTTAATTTTTTTGTTTTAAATTATTACAATCATTTTAAAAGAAAAAGAAATTAATTTATTAATTTAATAAATTTCATTTTTAATATAACTTTTCTTCTTTTTTGTTATATTCAAATTGATATCAAACAAATTTAACAAATTTTTTACAAAATATTTGCATATATTTAACATTTAATCAAATATGAATATTCAAATTTTGTTAATAACAAACTGAAAGAAATGAAAATAAAATGAGAACAAAGGAGAATTAATTTTTTATGAAGGATGGTTGTTTTGAAAATTATCACTTTGATATCAATTAATTGTCCAATATTTGATACATTAAATTATTTGGTATTGATTATCACTATTATTATTACTATTATTATTTATAATAATAATAATTACTATTATTATTACTGCTATCATTACTACTAATACTACTATTACTATTACTATATTCTTTTTGTTTACTAAAATTGCAATATTTTTTTCTTTGTTTACTAAATGGAATAGAAGGATTAAATCATTTTAGGAAAACTCAAATATTAATATTGGGAATAGTTTTGCACAACAAAATGCAAAAAGTGAAAAGGATGAATTGAACAAATTACCAAAATTTTATAATCAATCAAATAATCTACCTTCCGTATGTTATTAATTCTATCATTTAATTATTTTAATTTCATATTTGAAATGATTAATTAAAAAATTACAATTAAATTTTTATCTTATAGTATCATTAGGCTTATATTTCCAGCAGGTAAACGGAAAAAAGAGAAGAAAAAGGTTGCAGCTTTTTTGAATTTAAAGTATTTAATTCGAAAAAGTTCTTTTTTTGATTACTTTTTGACTATGACAATTAGCATTTAATCAGACATAATTAATTATGATAAGTGAAAGACAATATGTTATTAGCAGAATATGAAAAAAATAAATCTGAATGCTTTATTATCAACAAAAAAAATCTGGAATGAACTTATCAAACTTAATTTAATGCTTGAGTAAAGTAATATTAAGCCTAAACTTATCATGGGAGGAAAGGTCAAATCTGGATTTGCTATCACTAGATGAGTTGCGACTTACCTGCATCAAACTTAATGATAAATCCTATTACTAGGTTGATCTTAAATCTGCCAATTACGAAAATTTCAAGGATGAATATTTCCTCTTTGTCCGACCAACTTTGGATCTTCAGATTAAATTGAGAGTGAAGGATTACAAGAACTTGATAACGTTGAAAGTACGCAAAACATATATCACCCTGGTTTAAAAGAGATCAAGTGCTAACATATTTGGTTTAGGCTAAACAATTTAATTAATTACTAGCCTAATAAATGGGTTATTCAAATGGGATAGTTAAAAGAATAACGTTATAAAGGTTTTTTGAGAAAGTTTTTCGAAAAAGATATAACCATATCTGACTATAATCTTATGCATAATCGTATCCGGCATACTGTTACACTGCTATCATAAAATATAATGCAAACTATAGCCGTTAAATCTGACTGCCTCGTGATTCTTGCTATAGTCCGCTTCTTGCTACTGGCAAATATGATAAAATGAAATATCCAACGCGACAAAGTTAAGCAATGAAACCTTAATTAATTAGGAGGGCAAATAATCGGTTTAAAGAAAAATGGATAACTCGGAAGGCAGGAAAGTTAAATGAGAATTAATGGATAATTCATCAATAATTAATTTAAAAGTAGAATTGACGCAAGCAGAAGTAAAAATAATATTAAAGATTGGAAAAAATATCAGTAATCATACATAAAGAAAATATAAAATAAAGAAATAATAGGAATTCATTATAGCGCTTGAAGAATTACCGGAAATCTTTAAAATATGCAAATTTACGGGATCACTGTAGCGTTGGAAGAATTTCCGGAAATCTTTAAAATATACAAATTTACGGAAAATGATTTAACGCTGCTTGTAAATATGAAAAAAGATGTATGTAAATGATCGATAATTGAATGATTATACTAAATGAATGAAAAATTAATTGAACTTTTTCATGCAATCTTTTTATAAATAAATAAATATGAATTATTACAGGGAAAATCAAACAATAATTTAAATAATAAAATAAAAAAGGTAATATTGAATACAAAAAATAATTCCAAAGATGAAAGAAAAAAGGGTGAAACAAGTAATGACACGTCTTTTGAAGGACGAAAATCGAATAGGTATTCCATTTTAACAATATCACAATTGATTAATTAATCAATTTGAATTTATTAATCAATCATTATAACTGATAAAGTCAGTTGATATATGATAAAATATTTGAGAATGTTTAAATTGTACTGATTGAAGTATGATTTATTTTCTTATTGCTAGCAAAATTTTTAACATTTTTAAAAGTTTGTTTTATTAAATTATTTGTTTGAAATTTTAAAAATATTTTTTAATTTTTTTTTTTGAAAAAATTTTATTTTATATAAACAAATGATATGTTAGATCGAATGATTCATCGATAACGGAGAATGGAAGTGATATTGTTGTTGCTACGATATCCCAAACAACACCTCAAATGAATATAACAGCGGTCTTCAATGAATCTAAAATATCAGCTAACTATAGCGAACAACAACAATTGAGCCGAGGGAAGACTTTGTAAACATTTTATTTACTTCATTTTATTATACAAAATTTTATTTGGAAATTTCTGTTAATGCTTATATTTATAAGTTTGATACATTAAACATAATAATCTATTGAAAAAAGCAAAACAAAAGTAATAAATGATTTCATCAAATTGCTTGATATTTTAATTAGAATTCATTTACTGATTAATAAACGTAAATATATATATATATATATAATAGATTTAATTTCTAACAAATGATAACAGCAGTTATCTTTTGAAGATGATAACATATGATTTAAATGAATAATTTGAATAATTTAAATCAATATTGAATTATTTGTTCAAAGTTTTAAACTTATATTTTAAAGCATTTCAAAATAAAAATTAACAAATTTATTAGTTATTTGTTTATTAATATAAATTGATTAAAATGATCGATAATTTTGATTGATACAATCATTCTTACACAAATGATTAACACAACAAATGAAAAATTTTTTCATTTCTCAATGCATTGAAATATTCATACTAGAAAATATAAATTAATTAAAATTAAAATTCAATGATAGCATAATATTTAAAATAAGTATTTTATATTATGGATGAATTTTAATTTTTTTAAGAGAAATGAATACGATGGATGGATGATTTATATAATTTATATAATATTGAAAAAAGAGATAATACTAAGATAATACTAGGAAAGTAATAATATTTCAAATAATACTAATAAAAGAAGGTGGTAATTATAAAAATGAAAAGAATGAGAACTTTTTTGATAGGACATTTGTCACCAACGACAACTTCATCCATTACCTAAATCTCTACCGATCCTTTCTTCTCTCCTTCTTTTCTCTCTCTCTCTCTTTCTCTTTCTCTTTTTTCTTTCTCATTATTCTTTTGATAAGAAATATTTTATGCAAATCGTTGATCCCAATCTCAAAAAAAGACGGGAGAAAGTTATTTCTATCTCTCTTTCTCTTCTATTTTATTTCTAAATATTAATTTTAAAATTAATATTTAAGACTTATAAAATAACTTTTTGAAAAAGAAAACTGAGAGGCTTATTTTAAAATTTATTTTAAATCGAACACAAACAGAATTTATTGGAAAAGTTTGAAATGAAATTTTTGCTTATTGCAAAGATTTTAAGAAAAAATTTATATAAAATTATTAGTTATTTAGAAACAATTCACCTAATTAGTTTTATTTTAATTAAAATTATTTGACAAATACCTTTTTAACGAATTGAAAATTTTTTCATAACAATTTTAATATTAGCGAAATTGATTTCAATAATTTTCGATATATTTTGCAAATCTATTTTTCTTTAATTGTCATCAATTCTTAATTAATAAAAATTCGTTTATTTCGTAATTTATTGTTTACAGTTTATTACAGTACAACGTTATCATTAGCGGAGGAAATCGAATATCAATATAAATTTCAACAAACTGATAATGTAACCATCGGTTTGGTAGTTGCAATTAGCATTATCGTCTTTTTAATTATTGTTATCAATTGTTTTACATTTCGTATTTATTTGAAAAATAATAAAGGTATAAATTTTATTTTTTTCCTCAAAAATATTTTAGAAATTTTTAGAAAAGAAAGAAAAAATTTTAATTTTTGTTTAGTTTTTATCAAAAAAAAGATTTTCCTTTCTCTAAAATATATTTTATTAAATTTTTAATTATTAAAAATTATGCTGAAACTATAGGAAATAATTTATAAATTTCATAAAATAATAAATGCAAAAAGGAAAAAACAAAAAACAAATAATATCATATATACGATGAATCATTTCAAGATGATATCACTGAATCATCCAGTAGTAGGACGACAGATCGGTATCGCGCTGGTTATTCGCCTCATTTTCCTTGCCAATTTTATGATGATAGTATTTAGGATGAAAATTATTCAATTGTTTTCAATTAAGTGATAATTCAATTATTGTACCATTGTAGATAAATTGTGAATATAATTTATCGAACGATTTTCCTTCATATGTTAGATAAATCGTTTGAATTTTTCTCATTTCATTTCTAACAATTTTTGCCACGTCATCTTAATTGCCTATTAATTCGTTCGTATGGCAATTACCATTATATCATCCCAATCAGTTTATATGACAAATTTCATCATATAATCTTAATTTTTTTTTGTTGACATAAATTTTTATTACTATAATTAGAGAATAATTAATGGAAAAAATTCATAATGAAAATCATAAAATGCTTATTGCAAATTAGCATTTTAATAATAATTTATAATAAAATTTATATAAAAAATTGATTTTTATTGTTAGTTAGATTTTCATATAATTAATGAATAATTAATATAATAAATTTATAATCAGAAAAGAACAAAATTGAACGAAAGTAAAAACTAATAAGAACAAAATAAGCAAGAAATTTAAAACTGCCATTAACAAATATGAAAGTGAAGTTCGAATGAAATTGATCAAATGCTTGCAAAAATCGAAATTGCATTATTTGAAACGATTAATCATCGAAATGTTCAAAATAGAACAAAAAAAATGGAATACATCTTTTTTTGACCTTTGGAAATTACAAGAACTTTTCTGATGCATTCAAATTTGAATATATTTATTTCATTCATCCCACATTCCCTCTTCAACTTCTTTCTGTCGTTTCAATACATCTCGTTCTCTGCAAACATATAAAGAAGGTAAAATTATTAATTGATTATTCACCATCTAAATTAATGAATTGATAAATTAATAATATATTGAATTTTCTTGTGTTAATATTTTGATAATATCATATCTTCCAGTATTTTGATCAATTAATTCATTAATATAGAATTATCTTTTAAATAATTTGACGAATTAATAAATAATAATAGATCAATAGATGATAATGAATTAATTGTTTAGTAATAATATTTTGCTATCATATACCTTCTTTCACGTTTTGCTTGTCCCATTAATTGTTGAAATTTCTCCGCTTCTTCTTCCGGTACCCAAGCATTTTTGTCTGGAACTCGTGGATCTAATTCATCTTTCCAATCGTCTACAAGTCTATCCAGTTCTTTTTCCAATTCATTCACTTTTTCCACATACAAACACATTGCATCGCCTTTTGATAAGCATAAAATAAAAATAAATTATAAAAAATTTCACTGATAATTTATTAAAATAAAAAAAGAACATTTATTAAAAAAAAATTAATAAAGCAACTTTTAAAAAATATTACAAATTAAAAATTTAAAACTCTACTTAAATTAAATATAAAACAGAATAATTTGAAATATCAAATATGTTATATAATTTAACCTTTGCACTTATTCCATGCATGCCATTTACGATTTCCCTTAATCCATGACCACATATACGACATTTCATTTGGATCGCGATAATTTATTTCTACAACAACAATGGAGATATTATTGCATGCATTAATGATTAATATTTTCAAAGAATTTAAATAATTTTCTAATAATTTTCTTACAAAAATTTGATCAACATTTCTAAACAATTTAACTTTTTGTTCTGAAATGCTAAATTAATGATTGTTTTAAAAAAATATATCGAGATTTAAAAAACATTCTGTAAGGTAAATAAATATTGCATGCAATAATAATTTGATAAAAGTGAAATAATTAATAATCAATGATAGATTTAATTTATGAAATCTTTGTTTACAAATACAAAGATGAGAGAGAAATCTTTTCTTTCCATTCTTGATACATATAAATATATATATATATATATATGGATGTATAAGAAAAATTAATTTCATTTATTTCAATCTAATTAAATGCTAGCTGAAAGAGAGAAAGATAGCATTGTCACCGTACTCGGCACATTTATGTCACCAACTATTGCTTGCTGATATAATCCAAACAATTCATATGTATGTTCATCGAATTTAATCAGTAATTCATATTCGTTTTTTAGTTTTTGCCGTTGATCAAAACGTGCTCGCATCTTTTTGTATTTTATGACAGCATCGTGAAATTCCTAAATGAAATTATATCCATTAAAAAGTTCAAATTATGACTACTATCAATTACTATTATTTGCTCTTGCCAATAATATCTATATTAAGAAGCAACAAGTGGTAAATTTATTCTATCGTTAATTGTACCAATTAATATCTTGAGTAATCTAATAAGGGTTTAATTACGTAAATTAACATTAATTTATACCACAAGGTTTATGATTTAATTAAAATTGAACAAAAAAATTTCGAAAAATTATATTACCTCCATAAGCAAATAATTCATTATCATTTATTCATTTTTTACAACCAACTTTAAGTGTAATTTTTAATTAAAAATTTATTAAATTTACACCTCATGTAACTTTGAAATGAAATTTTAAATTCCCCAGTAATAATTTCAATATTATCATAAGTCTACAATTATTTCAAATTTATTTCAGATTTTTACAATTATTTTTTGGTCATATAGCGTTTTTTTTACCTGTATTTATTCAAAATACATTGTAATAAAGACATAGAAATAATGCTTGAATGTAAGAAATAAAGACAACAAACCTCCGTCATAGCACAAATCATTGCTTATAATAATGAAAAGTGGGAAAATGGGATGGGACGATTTAATTCAGCTAATTATTAAAGAATTCAATAATTACCTGTATTTTGTAAAAGAGCAAGCAAAATGAGTATATTGAAGAATAAGAAATGATGAAAATTTGATGGAATTAATCAAATCTATTATCACTTACACTTTTTTCCTCTCCAACGAATAAGATCCAAGAAAAGGAAACTTCGCATATAGCACCATCAACTTCACGAAAGATCCCAATACGAAGAGTGGGATAGAAACTCTCACAAGCATGAGTTGTTTTTTCCTTTTTATTCTTTATATGTTTTTTTAATACAACAATGAGAAATAATAAAATAAAATCATTTGTTTCTAATTTTTACAAAATAAATCAATGAATGTCTTATGTTACCGACGTATTAAAACAAACAAAAACCAGTAAATTTATTAATCAAATTGCTATAGAAATCTCTTTTACTTTATTTAATGCTCCATTTAATGACTACATTTATTATTATTATTGTTAACCCATTACCTGTCATTAACGACGATCTGTTATAACCAGCATAAAGATTAAACTAAATGATTAAATGGCCAATAATGTGAGAATAATTCGGATGGCTAGTGATCAAAGTTGTGGTTCAGAAACCAACACAGAAGGCGATTCATTTCGGGGCAACTTTTACAGATTTCACTTGTTTTAAATTCGGACTTATTAGAACCAAGAATCGAAATGCTTCAGAATCTGTATGATGAACGCCCAAAAACAACTCATCGTCTGATTTTTATTATTTATAAAGGAAGCACGACTAATTGCGAGCCAATCTCTTTGTAATACTTAAGCTATGGGTTGATTTAACAGCAAAAGTTCAAGCATAAGTGATGAATAACTGCCTTTACCACATAAACTTGAAAGTAATTGGACAATTCGTTTTTATTTTGATTATTTTCCAATTACATCAAAAATATATTAACATAAATCAAAATTCAAACGTTAAGAAGTTTTGAAAAAGTGAACAGTAAGGAAAAATATAAGCTTTCAAATAGCTTGGTTCGGGAATTCAAACAATTGCATCACCTTTTCTGAGAAAACACTTCTACAAAACAATACCGGGACTGATCAAGCCCTTATCCATAAAACGCCTTCGAGCAAAACACATCCACCACTGCAATTTATAATCATTAATGATTATAAATTTATAATAGTGTTTCATAAAAAATCTCCTGACATTCGGAATTGTTCTACCTCATCGTTTCGTGCTTTCATTATTTTCAAATACAGAAGTCAGCTTCGAGAATTTCGAAATCATCTCATTAGTTTTTAAAAATTCATCCTTCAAAATAATTTGAATATGCAAGAATAAAAAATTAGTGAATTTGTGAAATTTTAACAATTCTGTTTTTATAAAATTTATGAGCCTGATAGAAAACAACTCACCTTGCTTGGCCTTTCATTATTCGACTCAAAGACATGTTCTAGCAAACGTGCTCCTAATTCCTGTCTTAGCTGCAGGAGATACGAACGCATAACGTCTGAAAGGTCGATTGGGTCAGCAAATCAAAAGAAAAAGAATGAGAAGCTTGAACTATAAGAGAGAGCATGCGGGTTTATTAAAATGTATTGCTTTAAAAACCAGCGCCTCAATATGACATTGATGGGCTTGCTTTAAACAAAAACTTGAACAGCCAGTACTATGAAGTATGCGACAAGTATTGGGTTCTTATTAAAACATATTTCTGAAGAAACGTGCCTATTTATTTAATATTCATCGATTGCTAGTAAACATGGCTACTTAGACACAAGTAACCTAATTTTAAAGCTGACTAACAATAGCTTCACCTTCTTCGTTTCGGTTTGCTGGAGCCTTATACATACTATTTAGTGGAAAAGTTGCTTCTCCAGGTATTGGAAGATGCTGACTCAGTGCCAAAACCGATAAATCTTTTACTGCTTGTGATCTATTTGAGCTCTGAAAAGTATATATTTTGAGCCCACTGCATAAATACATAATGATATTAAAAAAAGATAAAGGGAAACTAACAGAAATTAGAACAGATATTTAAAAATTCCTTAATTAGCACGAAACAAAATAACTTTTCTTTGAAGGAGCTATTAATTATGAAATCCTTATTTTCCATTTCATACTCTATAATGTAAAGAGACTAGAAAATTTTAATGCCTGCACTGTCAACAATAAAGTATTATTAAAAAAATTTACCTTTTGTAGCTTCCTTAGACATTCCGAAATATACAATATTAGGTAGATGAGTGTTCGGTCAGCAGGACTTTTGATTTCGAACTCGCGGAAGAAAATATTTGGTTTGAAATAAGCGAGGGCTTCATCAATTATATCCTCACCATCATCTGAAGAAATTCGTTTAAATGTATACATTCTTTCAGGTTTTAATTTCGATTTATTTATACAATATTATTTTTAAACTTCAGTATTTTAACATTATTGTAAGGCTACTATATCAAAATCAGAAATGAAACAAGAGAATTTTTCGAAATTATTAATAATTTCCTAAGCTTCTATGCCACTGCATCACAACTCAAAGAGGAATAAAATAAGCTGTTGACTTATTTGAATAAATTGATTTTATATTTAACAAATAAATATCACTGTAAGGACGATTACTTATTTACGAGAGAATATAAGCATATCATTCATGCAACTTACCAGTTCGTGGAGCTGGCCCTTTGATATTTGATCGTATCGGAAGAATTGCCATGTTTCCAACAACCACTGTAACATCAGTAAACTTCGAATGATATGCCTTAAAAGGAACATTATAATGTAACACTCCTTCTACAACGAAAAGATTGATTTCCAGCATAAAATCCTACGTCTGTTACCAAAAAATGACATAAGACATAAAAATGACAAAAATGACATAAAAAATGACATAAAAATGACAAAAAATGACATGACAAAGAGCAGATTCGTAAAAGCTAGTAAGCTTAAATCATGAATATAAAAAAAACGAAAAATTTACCGGCATCCTCTGCCCCCTTATTTCCAGAATCCACAGTTCACACTCTAGCCCCGAATTTCCTAAAATTTATTTCATTCGTAATTATTGATTTTACCACAATGCATTTCATAATTTACGATTAAATCGTTAACATAAAGAAACAAATATTCGAAAAGTTTTCATTTTCTTAGTTAATCCGTTTCAATTTTTTTAATCCTTGTCTTAATTCATGCACCTCATCTTTTTTAACCAATGCAATGAACCAACACATATAGAAAAGCCTACATAAGTAGGCAGAAACTGAGGTCATGAAGAAACACACCCACAATAATATTATAAATAATTTATTAAAACTATAAGAAAATAAATTTCAATGATTTACAGGAAAAAGAAATAAAAACGATGCTGGATTTATCAGAAAGGCTTCACTCATAGGAATCCACCTTTTGTGCCAGGTATCAACCATTGAATTTTTGAGTCACATTAATCATAAAAATATTTTATTCTTCACCATATCGTTTTCTCGTTTTACCACATCACAAATTTCTTAAAACCCATAAATAACCAGACATACCTAAAAGTTACAAAGAATGAATGTTTTTAACTTGCATGCTAATGTCCTAATATTGTCATATAAGAAGCTTGTATGATAATATTAGGACGAAAAATTCTAAAACATTTATTTATTCGAGGAGCTATACAAAAGCAAAAGTAAGAAACTAAAAGATGGTATTTCTCACCGGTTACCACAAATTCCGCAAAAAACCACTTAGCTATCAAGTAATACATTATTTTATTGCTCATTATTGCAGTATTTTGAAGGACTGCCATCAAAACAAAATAGTAAAATCATCAAGAACTAGTGAGCTAAGAATCATCAAGAAATAAGTGAATAAAAAATTTTCAGTTTAAGATTATGTTTTTTCTTCATTGTCATTTAATTGTTCCAAGAATGATTGTTTCGTAATCGTAATATATTCCAATGAAGCAACCGTTAACGACGAAATCCATCGTTCTAAGGCCTTCAAATTGTCCGCAGCAAACGTAAACCTTCTCCCAGTCCTGAAAATTGAAGTATTTCTACCAAAGTTTTCTTTATCTTTGTTTAAATTTTAATTGCATTTTAAACATCTACAAAAAATACGTCACCACTAAAAATTCAGGGAGATTATTTTTCCCTGAATGTTGACTAAAATTCAGGGAGAAAGTTTGAAGCCTGTTATTTTTCATTCAGAAGTAAATTCTAAAGCAGTGAAAATTGATAGCAAATTAGGCCCTGAAACTGTATGAACCAAAATTATGATGGTTTTGGAAATCACATACGTTTTCAAAATGACTTCAAAAGAATACGATCGCTTTGTTGCATTATCATCACACAGTTCCATATAACAGTCCTCCAAAATCAGAATTATACATGGAGCTTCAATTCCCACATTTTCTGGCTGGTTGAATAAAAACAATAAATTAGCTTTTAATAAACCGTGCAGCGATCGCCAGCGTCCATCCTTTAATCAATCTCCCATAAGTGTGAATAACAGCTGCTAACTGTATAATAAAGTTCAGTAATAACAAAGATCCTTATAGCACTTCATTCCTTTTGTTGGATATTTCTGTATTTAAATAATGATTAAAGCATCAAATATATCTGCAAATTAGACTGTAGATGCAGTTCTAAATTATTGATTTGTGAATCATTGCAAACAAGTTGATAAATTTCATATATTTTCATAGTAATATTTATATATCTTAAATTTTTATAATTTCAACTTTAATTTGAATTTCGAAGTCTCGTTAAATAAAAAAATAAAGACATATATACGACTACTGAATAATTCCGTTTAAAATATCTGCCGTTCTATGTGATACGACAAAAACCTTTCTGTCAACGGTCATTTATGGATAGCATAAAATACCTATGTTAAAATACAATCTCACCATTTCACCAATGCTAGATATCAAATCTTATCTTAATAATAAAGAACAACCTGCAACAGGAAGAGAGTACCGGAAAGTTTCGCTTCATATGACTCATCGGTGCATAACTGCGCCAAAGCTCGTCCATTTACTAGCATTCAGTTTCCTTGAAACTAATTGTGAACTGAATGTACGACAATAAATAGTGTGATTAACGCATACAATGCTTGTACTGAATGCATTTACGTGATTTCATAATTTTCGAATATTCTAATGATCCAATAATAATCAAGTAATTTCCAATCCTATAATCTTGTTATAAATTCGTAGTTTTGCTGATAGCTATGACTTTAATATTTTCACTACATATTTATATAACAGTTTCATAATGATCATACTAAATAAGCGAGATAGTCAATTTAGGAAGAAGAAATAAAGTATTGCTCGAAGTTGAACAAATTACTGGAATTAGCAATATACCATTCCTCCAAGATTAATATGTTTGCCTGCAAAAAAGTGTACCACCAAGTACCGAACATTGCACACACCGAAATTTTTAAACCGGCAATCTTTAATTAACACCACCGCAGGAGGGTTTATTGCAGAAGTTTTTGATCTATTGCAACTTAATAGCGGCAAACATAGTAAAAGATAATTGTAGTGAAGTGAAAGATGAGGAAGAGAGAAGGCGAAAGGATAGAGTTGAAGCTGACGACTTTCAAATTAGGAAGTTCATAGTTTTTGATCTCAGTATAATATAATATTGGACAGGATCCGTTGAAATAGTGCCTTAAAGCGTTAAAGAAAAAGCCACAATTAAATTGCATCAGCTCGATTGAAATAAATGAGAGAAGTTAATGTCCAAATGATTTATTGATCTCCTCAATGGGGATGCCCTGCACTGGTCATTCCGATTGTTTATAAGATTAGCGTATTTAGAGATATGATAGGCAGAATCTTGATCAGATACTACTTATCCGGTCGTATAGTCGTATGGCCAAACTTTCTCTCCTTCTCTCTCTTCTTTTTGTATGTATTATAAGTCATATTTTATTTCTGACATTTGCATTATTTGTTTATGCAATAAACAGAGGAAGTTGTAGATATTAAACTGCTTGATCAAAGCAAAAAGGTGGTCGAGGAAGGTGGACAAAGGTTAGATCTGGTAGTAATAATAACAAGAGGTTGGATCAAAAGGCGAGGGGGGAGAAAAAACAAGGTGCTTTTTAGTGAATATCAGTCCTATTTGGTATATAAAATATATGCGAAGACACGGGAAAGAATATTGAGTATTTATTAGACAATCAATTATCATTAGCACTAAATATATTAAGTAAAGTGACTAATGGATATGAAATATTATTGTATAGGAGTTTTGATGAAAATACCCTCTTTAAAACATCAAAGTTTAAGAATATTTTCGTATATGTTGTTTATGTAAAGTTTATGCATGCAAAATTTCATACCAAAATTAATGCAATTTATAAGAATATGAAAGATTATGCATTACAAAAGAAAAAATGACATCACATTTCAATATGAATAATCATAATAAGCTTTTTAATTATGGTCCTGCAAAATTCAAATGCTCAATTGAAGTCAGCCTCAAAGAAAGATGTATATATTGAAAGAAAAAGTGAATAAAAAACTTGCCAGAAATAAATTATCAGCTTATGGAAAGTAAGCATATCCAAGTTATGAGATATATTATAACAGACATCAAATCAGCTTGCTGATCGTCGATAGTTTATCAACATTTGATCTTTTAGCTAGTAAACTTATAAATTTAATTTTTGGTTTTTTAGAAATAATACACAAAAACATCATAATTTAATTCCTAATGGATTTATTATTGCGAAGATTTATCTCTTGAATTATTCAATTCGTTATAATATTATAATGTAACAAATGCACGTAGAGTATAAAATATTGCAGAATCTGTTATAGATATAATCATATCACTGGTGATCCAATGATAATACTATATGTTCGATTTCACATACTTCCATCAACTACTTTTCTGCTTCATGTACCACTTACTGTTCGAATACGTTTGACACTTTGTATCTTCGGAGTATATGTAAATGTTCGTTGTATTAATTTCTTTCCAGTTGTATGATTCAAATCTGTAGATAGTGAAGATATTTGAAAGTTTTACAAAACGTAAAGCTTTAAATTTCAATTGTGTAAAATGTAACAAGAAATATTAATTGCTTTACAATTATGCTTTCCTGGTACTGGAAATATTTATTAAATATTACAAACCACATGTCTTATCAATATCTGGTAACATTCTCATACCACATTTTATTCGCATATTTTCCTATAAAGAAAAATTTTTTGTATGAATAATTTTTTAAATAATAATACAATAAATATTATTGTATGAATAATTTTCAAAAAGACACAAGCTGAAATTGATCATAACGATTTTAAGCTACGGTATTATTTACTTTGTTTTACAAATTAATCTACTTAATACAGAAGTAAACTAATTTTCAACTTTTCTTCACACATATATTTATTATGTGACCCAAAAATGATATACCATACATTGTAATTATCATTAGAACAAGCCGACGAAAAAATCCCCAAAGTGGCCTCGTGTGCTTTCATATTACGATCATCATTCACTTCATAGTTATCTATCGTTGATTGCAAAATCTCATCACGAAATATCATATCATCATTAAAAATTGGTAATGCAATAGTTAGTAACTGAAATTTGCATAAATTTAAAGTATATAATAAAAATTGCATTAGCTATAATGAACATGATAATTACGGAATGATTAATTTCAATAATAGCAAAATTAAGTAAAACGTCTTTATAACGAATTAATATTATTAGCTGAAACAATGAGAATAAAAGTCAATATTCACTTTAGCAAATAATTACTGTGCTGGCAGGCTAGAACAAAGAAAAAACTTCAGCAAAAATTATTTTAAACCTCAATATTTGGTGCTAACCATTGAAATACCATATGTCCCCGTGATCGATGCAATAATCGTTCAAAAAACGATTCCAAATTAATTGTTGCATTAATTAGGCAATGTTCTAATTGTTTATATCCATTACTGTTAACAATTGATAAAAGTGTTAAACCAATAGGAAATATTATAGCAATCATTGGATTATGTTCAAGATTTGAAGGCATTACATCACCCAATCCAATTGTCGCCATTGTCATAAAACTAATCAAAATTTGTTGCGATACATATGATAATATCAAATTCTTAACATAACAATAAATCATCAGAAACTGAGAAATGGAATTAATTTTGTTTATTTTTATGACATTAATTAAATAGTAATTAATTTTATACTTTCTTAAATTATTTTTGTAATTATTGCATTTTTATTTAAAATATCTTTTTTAAGCATTGCAAAAGCATAAGTTAAATTTCATCAATATACCATAGTGATAATTTTATCAATATATCATAATAATAGTTAGTTAACTTTTTAGAATTGTATTAGCAAAAATCGAACTTATTTAAAATTATTTATTAATACAGAATGAATAAGATATTCTAAAATATTTTAAGCAATCAAATTTAAAATCATTTATCAATAAGATTAATTCATCATAGCATACAAAATTGCTGCAAAAGAATTTCAGAGATTAAAAAAATTGGAAATTAAAAACTATTCAAAATTCTATTAGTAATAATATAATTATATTTTGGTGGAAGGAAGAAAAGAAAAGAAAAGAAAAAATTATTTATGTTTACTACAAAAACAAAAATTTGCATATTGCAAATGAAAACAAACCAAAAATAAAATGCGTCGCCAAATGTCATCCCATACAGTATACTATGCTTTTGATCAAAGATATGCACAATTGTGGTACAAATTATCAAATAAATTACAGTAATTGGAATGAACAATTTCATTGGAAATTCGACATCCTTAAAATATTCAATTATTTCGACCAAAAATAACATTTATTACAAAAAAATGAATTAATTTACTAATGCTAATTAAGAAATTACATTTTATGCATAAATATTTCTTTCAGAAATTAATTGTTTTTTAATTATTATTACTTTTATTAATAGGTTTTTTTTTTGTTTTGTTGTTTACAGTTCTTTTTATTTACTTAATTGTTTTGAGCAATTTTTAATCATTCGAAATTAACTAAATAATTAAATGATATTTTATTTTATTATATGCAATTAATAAAGGAAGGACAAATTAATTTATATTTTAAAATTAATTTCTCCAATTTCATTTTAAATTTCTGCCTATAATTTGCATAATGTATTAAATAAATTACACATTTCATTATCAGATACATTAAATATGAATTGAAAAAGTGCGAATTAACTCACTTCGTATTCGACACTATCATTCTCAATATCTGATATCTTCCGACTTCGTTGTCTTATTTTCCTGAAACAATTGAGAGATTTCATTAAACTTAAATTTCTAATATTATTAAATGTGGAACCCATTAATGTTCAATGTTATTTTATAATTTGACGCAAAATTCAATTATATATTTAATTATAGAAATATTTTAATTCAAAGAAAGTTTTCATTAAAAAAGATTTCAGAAATTGTTGTTAAAACAAAATATTATTATAAAATCTAACAAAATTACATTATTATATCATCATTTCATTTATTTAAGATCGCTAATTATTTAATTTCATTTAAAAAATCATAAACAATTGGCATTAAATGGATATGAAATTAATTATTTGATGACAGTTAACAGAAATATAAATAATAAAGACAAGTTCCTTCTAAAACGAATCGAAAAGTATCAAAATTTTTCTCGAAAAATTCAACGATTTCATTTTATTATCATTGGCGTATTCACTGTATAATTCTCAAAGTTTTATAATATAATTTGATATAGTTATAATTGAATTATTCATCTACCTTCTTTAATCAAATATCCATCGTCGACTTCTTCTCACACAATTTTGCTTAAGAATTTAAAACCTTTCAGTTAAAATTTTATGCAACTCTTCCAGCAACAATAATTATTATTATCTTTAAAGTAATCGTTTTATTTTATCATAAGTAAGCCTAAAGAAATAACTTTCATATAAAACAGTGCCAGTCAAAAGAGGTTGAAAAAAGAAAAGAAAAAACGAAAGAATTAGAATTAACCAAAGATATCGACGATATGCATTATATGCTATAGTTAAATACCGTAATAAAATATTACCAATATCTTGTAATATTGCTAACATTAACGGTATTCCAATGATCGAATATATTACTGTTATCTATAATAGATTTTATCATATCATATTGATAAAACCTAGAAATAACAGCTATTAAATAAACTGGGAACATATATATATTTTAGAAGTTAAAAAGTTGTTGTCACTATTGCACCATATTCACTGTTACAATCGCACTGATACTGTAATTATTTTCGTTACTTGTACTATACTACGAATATTATTGTACTGCTGCTAATACCATAAGGTTCACTTACTCTAATTACTGTATTGTCTTCATTTGATCAAGCTAATGATCAATAGTTTAATAATAGATGAATTACTGCAGTATTAACAAATGATAATGCTCAGCTATTGTTTGATTAATACACGATAAATTGAATAAATAATTTTGAGCTTACAATTTTGCCAGTGGTTGTACGACATGTAATTGTTCCATAGCCGATCGTCGTGAAAAGTGTTGTCGCTAATGATCGGTGAAAAAAATGTTGGATAAAAAATTTAAAAAAAAGATAATTTTTGAAGAACCGAATAAATATAATAATATAAAAAACAGGAAATAAAATTCAAGCAAAAACAGATTAATTAATATTTTGCATTGATTACTTTTATTGTGACAGACAGCTATTAATAAAGAATGATATGATAAGTCCTTACCATAAAAAACAGCGCTACTAAAAGTCCATGTAAATGCACCATTTTTCATTTGATTATATTTGTACAAAATACTTTGCTTATATTTTTCTTCCGTTTCAAGCATTTGTTGGTAAAAATTCCTGTAGTAATGAAAATGATAATAAGATAATACTAAACATATAGTGGCATTATTACTAATAATAATAACAATAATGTTATTAATAATAACAAATAATGATAAGTGATAATAATAATAAGTAATAATGATAATAGTAATAATAATAATAATATAATAATTTGTGATAAAACTTAAAAACAAAATTTTCGAGAAGGTTGAAAAAATTGACATTAATTAGGCATTCAAAATGTTGGAATTAGCCAGTCAGCAATTAAATCAACCTGATCGGTTAATAGCTTTTATCGTTAACATTATGCATCGTATTATTGCATACTTATTTTTAGTGTCTATTAGTGCCATTATCATAAAAAGAGCTAAATTGAATAATACAATAATCTCAATTCTTAGTCTCTAAAAATTTAGAAATTTAAAAAATTAAACTGAAAAAGAGCTTAAAACAGTTTACTTAATGAGTCCATCCACTTTACTTCGCCTTCTTCGTGTTAACGTAACATTTGTAACGTTGAAAATACGACGCGTTAAATCACTTACCAATCTAAAAAACAAAAACAAACCAACAAAAAAAAAATTATACAAATATATTAATTTGAATTTGAATTGGAATTGGAATACAAAAATAATAATAATACGAATATATTAATAATAAGCCAATAAAACTTCATTATTTCTTCAAATTTCTCTAATAATTTTTAAAAATTATTTGCTTTCTAAATAATTTCAATTTCATTTGACTATTGCATTATTTGTTTATTTTTATTTCAATTCAAATTAAATCTTAAAATGTAAACAATAACAGAAATAAATAAGTGTATGGAAATAGAAAGAAACGTCCAGAAGACTTACATATTTAATTTGTTAACATTTATCTCCAAATATTGAATTTCATCGTTATGTTCAGTAGCATAAAATATAATACCACCTAATAGAGCATAGAATATCATGCAAAATACTAAAATACAATATCGTATGCCATATTTATTGTGAAATCTGTACCTGTTTGAATAATAAATGAAAAAATACATATTTAATAAAGGAAGAAATGGAAGTGATTAAGATTGATAATAATAAACAGAAATAATGATAGAGAATATAGAAGAAAAAACAAAATTATTTAATTATCAATTAACGAATTTAAGATAAATATTTTAAATTTGGAACGTCTTCTTTTTACTGTACCAATTAAAATTATCTAATAAAAATAATATAAAATAAAATAATTGCAATAAAATTTATTTCTTAATTATTAATTTGTGAAATGAGAATTAAATTTTTAATGCGATGAATTTTTTTTCTAAAATGCCGCAAATTTTTAGTGTCTGAAAATTTTAAAACAATTAGTTTTCAGTGTAATTTCTATTATTATATAATAATTATTATATTTTAAAACAATTAGTTTTCAGTGTAATTTCTATTATTATATAATTTTTTGTGTCAATTTCTCAAAGCATCCTTATTTTATCGAAATATTTAATGTACAAAAAAATCGTAAAAATCAAAAACCTGGCTTTTTGTATCACAAATTGTGTTTGTAAAATATCATCCGAATTTGCTTTCATTGTTGCAAATTTGTTTGTTGCAATATTTTTGTCAAAATTTTGCTTTAAAATCTAAAACTTAAAATGCTGTTTTTTTTTAACGAAGTATTTTGAATTTTTAAGTTAAATAAATAAATAGATTTTTCTAGAAATATTTAGATATAAAGATATTATAAAGAAGATAAGTGAGGAAGTCAAATTATATTTTTTAAATGATGCAAGCAATTTTAAAATAAATTTAAAATCATTTCGAATTTAATAGAGTTATTGGAAATTCTCGAATAATCTAAAATGAGAAGTAAAAAAGCAAAATGCTTACCATAATACTTCTTATTCTACCTGTCATCATTGTTGATTCATATGATGGTTGTTGAGATTCACGAATCATCGTTTCTTCAACTTTCTTCTTTTTTCAATTATTCCAATTACTTATTTCACGCAATTGTTACCTTTTGCATTAAAACAAGTCTTTAGTCTTTAGAGTTTAATCTAAATTTAATTATTTCAAATTATTTGAAATTAATTTTTCTTATAACTGATTTTCTCTTCAATAAATCGTTGCATAAAAAAAGCGATAGCATATAGAAATAATAATAATTCCAATAATTATAGTACCCAAATATGAAACGATTTATTGAAGAGAAAATAAATTCTTCACATTCCGTTTTTTCTTCTTTGTCAAAGTATAATGTTGTAAAAAAAATTGTCGAACGAAACTAAAAATGAATGTATCTCAAAAAATATTTCCGACCTGAAAATTTGTAACAAACTCATTAATAGCTGCTAATTATATTGTGTTTGCTCACGAAAAAAAAAATTTCGCTTCATAAAATTGGTTGATCAGAAATGTTATCATAGTCATTATCGCCATTTCACTGATATGAAATGATTTCACTTACGGAATCCATTGTTGAAAATTAATCTATTACTGAAATAATAGCATCATCGCTAATTTTGCTTCCTACTATACGGCATAGTAATTTTATCTAATGTTAAGTTTGAATACGGTAAAGTATGATTTCGTTTTAACTATTCGTAGATAATTCCTCATGTCCAGAGATAAGTGATAAATTCATGTTGACAAAAATTAAATGAAACTTAAATAGTAACCTAGACAATTTTTTCCCTTTTTTTTCCTGTCTTAACTCACCACAAATTTTATTCGTCAAATTCTGTCTTAAAAAGATGATCGCATCACGATAATTGTTTCCAGTCGATCGATAGCGTAATAGTTTCAAATGTGTTGCAATAATGTATTTCGAATTTCTTCACTTCCGTTTTGTTATTAGAGCACCCTTCCTATGTTCCAACCATTTCTTTATTTTTTTTAACTTTAAATATCAACAAAAATGTTGTTGCAATGTAACAATACGGTTGTGCTATAGCATTAAAACACATACACACACATACACACACATACACACACACACACACACACATACACATACACACAACATTTATACACACACAACACATTACATTGATGCAGATGGCGATTTTAACTGTGAAGTTAGATAATTTATGCGACAAAATCTGCAGTTCATATATTCATGAATACAGTGCAATAGTGGACTATTCCCTTGCTTTTTGTACAGAAATTCATTTAATATTTAAATTATACTCCAATAATGTTATGATAATGCATTATTAAATAAAAGAAGATGACAGCTTTTTGACTGGCATTATTTACAATGAAATATATAAAAAGGGGCGCAATGAATGATATTAATTTCAATGCATTTTTACATTTGGAATTTTCATTGGAATTTTAAATTTGACATTTTTGGTGAAAACTTTTTTCTTAAAATGAAAATTTGGGTCAAACAATTAGCAATACTATCAACAAAGTTTTTTAATTTTAAATTTTGTGCTCTTTGTATTAATTTGATTGGAAACAACAAATATTGCAATTCCGAATTCCGAACTGATTATAGACAATAGTTACTTTTGAATTAAAATATTTAAAAGTAACAAAATTTGTGTATGAGATATTTAAAACATTCCGTTCATGAGATCCAATAAAAGGCTATACAAGCCAGTAGGAGGGTGGAAATGGAAGTTGAAAACTATTAAGGAGTACATAGCAATTTACCTGTCGAATCAACCAGCCTTGAAAATGGATGACATTTGAGCGGGAGACTTATACTTACCGTTGCATGGCTTCTGTTTAATTCGTTTAATTGAGAAACCTGGCCGCAACGAGTAAGAGAATCGCAATGGTTAGTGTTGAAGACTTTGGACATGGGCCCAGCTGAAGCTTGCATTGGTGCAGATCTTGATGGTAGTAGCAAAAATTTGAATAAAATCCTCGAAGACTGAAGAGGAGAAAGGTTCTACGTAAACAGCAAATGAATGTGAGTTAGTCAATCCTAAAATATTCGTTAATGGGATATAATCCATCTGATAAATCAGAAGGGAAACAACAGGTAATAATATTCTTGTAGCGCCGTAACGCAAATGAACTCGGAAACATTGGGGAAAGCCCGAGAAAGAGTTTTATTTTCTGATTAAGGTTTATACCTTCCCTGAGGTAACTATTTTAAGATTTCCAATGTTGTAAATCTCTATCACTTTAATCGACTCCTTTTCTATTTGCACTTGCTGCTGAAATATTAATAACATATAACATCTGTTGGCTTCATTACGCTGTGGGTAGAATAGATAGGCAGGTAAATAACTTTTTAAGGAATTTGATAAAGCAATATCAAAATATCTAATCTCGAACTTTTCAATCGCTACAACTGTGGAGTGATTTCTTTCATATATGTATGACTCGAATATGGACATGGAAAACGTAAATCAAGAATCATCAATGATTCACCAACTACGAACTTAATTTCATGTAAAAAAAAACAAATTAAAGAAAATAGTAAACATGTCGATTATCTTTCCATTCTTTAATCCAATATATTATTTTTTCATTTCTTTAATTCAGTATATATTTATTAATTTATTATATCAATTGTCTTAGTAAAGATTCGGGTCTGAAGACACACTAGTATTATCTAAATCTTTTGCTTCCTATACAATTCAAATACATCACATCACTATTAGGACAATGCTAGTAAAATCGTTGTAACAAATTTCAATTTAATTATTTGTTAATAGTTCCATTACAGTTTCATTTTAGTATTGACATTTTTACAGATCCTAAATTAATATAAAAAATGAAAATTACTCACAAATAAATTCATTTTGCTTATTGGTAAATTTTAATAATCAATGGATTCACAATCATGACATCAGTTCTACATCATCAACCTGTCAACGAAAATTAAGCGTGGCCAGTGACAAATATTCGGAGACGGTAAGTGTCAGAATGAAGATTCTCGCGTTCCACTTAGAAACGCAGCCAAATCTTACAATATGTTTTACTGAGAAATGGAGTAACATTCATCCCGAAATAAGTGGCATGTCATGAAAAAAAAGTAGAAATATATACCAATGCGATTATTTCGATGGTGAATCTCCTTTGGAAAATTACCATCTATGGAGTAGAACTCAGAGAATGCTATGGTTGAAACGCTATTCAGAAGATGTAACAAATCACCTCGTAAATATGAATTATCATTCATTTTCAAAAAAATTTTATCCCAAACAAATGATATTTTGAAAACAGTGAAATATTTGATAAAACAGAATGAGGCATTTTCATAGAAAGTTTCACTTATTTCAAGAGATAAAATAACATAGAGATTAAAATAGTGGCAATAAACTAACAAGTATTTCAAAGAAACCCTTCACTGCAATAAGAAAAGAGAAAGAGAAGCGGTAAGATGAGAAGAGACAACTAACAAACAAATATGCTCGATAAATGATGCAGCAAAATGGGTACAATATACGAATGAAATATGCTCGTAATATCCATATCGTATTCCACTTTACACTACCACAAGCCATGTAGTCTTGTAATTTTGATATAATTGCGGTTCTAATCCATATAACAATGCACAGTTCCGTTTCTTCTGGATAAAAATACCGATGTAATTATTGAAAGCATATACACAACTCAGAACAAAAATAAGAAAGAATTTTGAATTATGAATTAAATTTTCAAACAAACGGAAGAGATTTCCAATCCCAAAATGTATAGAAGATGAACAACACTTTTCTCTCTTTTTAACCCTCATAGCAGGCTGGGAATTTTAAAGCAGCTATTCGAGTGAGTGGTAGCATGATCGCTACGGGAATGTTTTAACCAACTTCAGCTGTAATGCTACCTCAAAAATTAAGTCAGATTTCCTAAAAAATTAAGTCACATCAATTCAACACAGAAATACACTCATGATTAGTATCACTTCAATCAAAACAAAAAAAAAATATTCCAACACCTGTCATCATATCATGAAAAGTCAAAAGTTTCAACAAGCATTAAAAAACTGCAATTCATATTATCGCAAAGCTCATTTATCTCCCTTTTTAGCTATACCAAACAGCTGTGGCACTTAGAATAAATCTTTTGAGATGAAATGCTGACAATTTTTGTTAAGATAAATCTCGGAACGAAAGATTAAAGTGAACCATCAGTTCATCCTCATCATACTCATTATAAATCCCGAAACCTTCGCAGAATCCTTTCAATCACGCATGAAGAAGATATGGAACAACAAGTAAAAAGAACGAAAAAAAGTGAACAAAAATATAACAAAAGACACAGAACCCAACTAGTACACGTAATGAATGACAGCAAGAATTCTTTACATTTTATAAACTTTACTCAATTTTAGCTTGAAACCCGAATTCTTGTCGTCGTTGCATCAAAAAAACTATGTTAAATACGGCCAAAAAGTAAGAATTAAATCAGTTGGCTTAACATCAGCAGGAGCCGCAAGCATTTGCTCGATTCATTTACGGAACAGCTAAAGTAAATATACAGTTATATCTTTGAGTTACAACTTCTAAATCCAACAAACAGAAAATTAACTAGCATCATTAACTAAGCAAAAGAACTGCTCTATTTTTCGCAATGACCAGAAATTATTCTATCCTGCCAAAGTGATACAACAATAAACTGAAGTCATAAACAAGTAATGAAATCCTTAAATGTGCCAACAACACTAGCTTCAAATTAACTCGTTCACTTCAGTTCTACTAAAATTATTATATCAATAATCACCCTTCTTCGCTGCCTATGAATGATTCATCGTGATGTAATAATATAACCAAATATTGATCATAAAAAACAAAGAATATTTGAAAGTTTACCACTTTAATTGGTCCTATCACCTAGATCTCTTCCCTCACGATCGGACAATATATGATCCGGCGGTAAACCATCTGCATAACGTTTCCACATCTTATGTAACAAACGTTCCATATCGGAACAATACTGCCGGACATTAAACAGCGTCGATGTTGTTCGAGCTTTCCAGACTTTTGCACGAATTTGACTAAGACTAAAATCCATTCGCTTAAATTTTGTTTACTCTATTATATAATAAAACTATAAATGCTTCCTAGTTAGACATTCAATGTAAATAATGCAACTTTTAGCAGTGAAAGAATATATGTCGACTTATCCAACAAAAGGACGAAACTGGAAAAAAACAAATTTAAGATTTCCGTATAATTTAGAAATAAAAATGAGCAAATATTTACTATTCTCGATCAGTGCCCAATCTTTTCGCGATCTTGATATAATCTTCGCGATCTTTTGCTACCAATTCAGGTACGCCAAGAGCATACAGTTGACTTGAAGCAACACGTGATGCTAGTGTTTCCACTATAAGGGAATAGATTTAATAAATAAGTACGTCGAACTTTTTTTTAAAAGCTTCCACTGTTCACATTACAAGTAAACGATCCTCCTTGTAATGTGAATAGAGAAAAATTCTCCGCTACAGAGAGCTTGTAAAACATTTCATTGATCGATGTTTCGAGCTTTCCAGACTTTGGCGCTAATTTTTCTACGATTAAAATTTATTTGCTCTATAAAACTGTTATTTAACGAAAACTTTTAAAAAAAATTAAAAAACGGTTAGGTGCATTCACCCTTCATCTGAAATAATAGCCTAAACTTCCTAAGAGAGAAATAAAAAAATAAACATACATGGCATGGTAATCATTGGTGTTCCTGTCCATAAGATATCCATTCCAGTCGTATGTCCATTACAAAGTGGGGTGTCTAAGCAAACGTCCGCAAGTTGCCCACGTCGCACGTGTTCTTCTTTTGCAGCAACATTGGAAAATACAATCCGGCGTGTATCAATATTACGTTCCACACAAAAGCGCATTACATTTGGTTCTCCGTGGTAAGGGAATCGAAGCAACCACAGAATACTATTTGGTACCTAGAAAACATTACGCTAAAGTCACTTAATTAAAGAAAAATGAAAATGAGTTCAAAATATTTAAAAGCCATGTCACAATTGCAAAATGAATTTATTGAAAAATTAAGGATTATGAAAACTACTCGGTAAAAGAAAATCTACTGATTTAAAACATAGTCAGAAGAAATTCTTACCAATTTCAAAATATCACACCACATCGATAAAGTTGGAGGATCGATTTTGTACAGCTGATTGAAATTGCAGAAAACAATAGCATCATCAGGTAGACCATATTGTTGCCGTGAAGTAACGAGGATAGTATGTGGCACTTCTTCACCCGTTGCTGCTTTCACATGCGTCTGAAATAATGATATCGTAGTAAAACAAGAAATATTTATTTAGCTATGTTTCACCACATTCCTTTTTGCTTTTGAATGTGGATTTTCTAGCTGTATAATTTTAACTGACCAGAAATGATATAAATCTCCACATAATGATTGAGAAATCAAATGAAGCAGCAAAAGGTATATTCTATTTTAAACAATAAAGTCAAGTTTCATGTACAATTCCACTTAAACTCGTAACAGATAATACTTGCAGAATTCATTTTATTATTTTAAAAGGATTTTAAAATGCTTGCAAATGAATTATATACTTGATTCAGTGTAGTAAGACCATTCTGCACAGGTACACCCTCGACGTTGCCAGCAATCATACCGGATCCAATCATTTGCTTAAGTGGTTCAGTTGTTGGAACTTCAATTACTGGAAGCACTACTTCGGTCTTTATCATATCACGTTCCGGACCATGTGCCACTTCAGTCTCTCGAACGAATGGCTGAAACATTATATTCTTTTTCAGTACACACTTCAACTACAGATAGTAGTTTACCTTGACTTCTGCTTTCGACAACAGCGGTTCCAAATTGACTGAATTCACAACTGTGACGGTCTCCTTGTCAATTGGAGTCGGATCATTTTTCTCCTAAAAAAATATTGACGATTTCCTACAATCTATTTTTACTAAGTTGAAATAATCCAGAAGAATATAAAAATACCATCAGTTAGGAGGTCACTCAACGAAGACATGCCCATTAAATGATAGCATAAAAACTGAAATAATCCAGAAATTACAAGAGCATAAAATGAAACAACTTCAACGGAAGAGCATACTTTAACAATCACTCGTTCAGTAAGATGCTTCAGCATTTGAGCATGGTCGCCAATAAAAAATGTATGAGGCATGTATGCCAATTTTTCACTATAGGCATGAGCAAGTTCCAAAGGGGATGTTACCGAATCAGTGATTATGTAATCCATGAATGGGGCACCTGAAGTACTTGGATAACCAAGCCACATCACCTGAAATCAATATCTTCATCAGCATTCACCACTTGCTTTTGTCTGTATATGCAATTTTTCCAGCTCACTAACAAGAAAGTTCAAAGCAATCCAACAAAAATGTTGGAGTTTATTTTAAATACATACACATGCTCACATAGCGGATCATTTATTCTATTCCGAACTTATTAAAACGAAAAAATTAAAGTGGATTTCAAAGAGAAATTAAGTATGACTTGGATGGGTGCTGGACGCAATGCAAATATTTCATTGCGTGCACCTTTCGTATAACCATTCATATTTATCAAAATATGGATTCCATCATCATGTATACGATCAGCCGCTTTTCCATTGCATGTAATCTAAAAATTAGTTTTCAATAAAGTTTTTTAATTACTAAAAATCCCCTAGAATGGATAGATTCATAGGAACATTTTGGGATACGATTCGCATAAAATTTCGATAAAATGCATATTTATTAAATATGAGAAAACATTAAAATTAAAACGTTCAAAAAAGAAAAACTTAGAAATATTTCGAAAAATAAAGCGATTACTTGCATGTTTAATTAAAAATTTCAATTAAAAGTTGTGCTAAATTGTAAACTAGTATTCATACTTGCGATAGATCAACGAAATGTTCTGATTCGTTCATCAGTTTCTGTCGGAAATTGGTACCATCATTTGGAGAAAGTGCATAGCAAAACACCTAAATGATTCACATAAATAGGAAATTTATGACTCTAAACACTCCAACAGAACTTGATTTTACTTTTCACTACCGATTCTTCTATCCCGTTACTTCTAATCGGCACAAGAAAAAGATGTTGGTTTTTTTGCAAATTTATATGAAAAAAAGTATTTGGTATTTCTAACTTTAACAAGTTGTTAATAACGTCTATGATTTTCACCTCAACGTTCTCACGATTATGCATTCCCGGGATTGACTGCATCAAGTGACTGGTAGGATGATTGCCAAAATCGGAGGATACATAACCGATTCGTAAACGCTGTCCTTTGCGAACGCTGTTTCGATCTGGATATATATATGATGCTTTGTGACATATCTGGACCTGAAAAAAATTTTTACTACTTTCAATACAGTTCAACTGTCATACTTAATTTTATACAATAAATATACACCGAGCAAGAGTATACATGTTAAGCGTGCTACAGAATTATAATTCATGTAGGAAAAAACGTCCCATAAATCAGCACATGAACTGAGGTGATTGAATAACTATCGTAGACAGCTTGTTTCAAGAAAGTAATATCAGTCAATTTCCTATATAAACTACCTTTAGCATCAAATGCGCACTATTCAATATCAAGAGAATTCTGCACTTCAAGAAAAAATAACACTTGACATAAATATGTCATAAAGTTGTTAACACTATGCTGTCAGCATTATAAGCATCTAATCTGAAGCCACAATTTCAACTGTTTTCAACTCTGTTATGATTTATAACGGTAATATTAATTCAAATCGATGATTAATATAAAAAGCGTTACTTTTTCAATGCATAACTGTGCATGTTTTGCTGCAATAGCCATTCGAACAGCATGTGTTAACGGGTAGAGCATTGAGTGGTGCGGATGTACTGATGGCAGACGTTTTTTCTGCAGTTGATCGTCAACAATTGCTATGAGTTTCTTCATGCGATTGTCATAATCTGTCCAATCGCAAATAATCTGGAATTAAGCATTCGATATCACGTTAACAAACAGCTATCAGATGTTTACTTTATTATAGTGAAATAAGATTTCCATAAGGATTGTTCGATAGTTCTAAGATCTGAAATCATTTCATCGAATATGTATGGAAATTCATGGATATGCTCGAAAAAACATGAACATAGGCAACGAAACAACTTTAATTTATTACTTCGACTGAAATATGTTCAACGTAGTTTCTCGGGACATCCTACTAAAGTCATCCGTAATGGAAAAGCACCTATAACTAATCGCAAATTTAGCCTACCGCTTCTTCGCTCTCCCCTTTTTTCAGATTAACTTATAGTCATTTAACATTTTAAATATCTAAAATTTATATAATAAATCGCAAATACCTGCAAACAATGAGCTAAGTTACAGAATGCATCAGGAAAGTCAGGCTTTAGCTTAAGTGCTGTCGAATAGCTTTGAATTGCTTCAGGAATATTCCCAGAATCCTGAAAAAAATGCTCACAAAAAAAATCAGTAAAGTTCAACATTTAATAATGAGTAACAAGAAATTATAGAAATCGCTCGCCTTGTGTATGCTAGCCAAATTGCTGTGTGCATCGGCGAATCCAGGATTGATCTGAATGGCACGAGTATAACACTGTAACGCTCCGCCTACATCACCCATTTCTTTCAATGTATTTCCCATATTTGAATATGCATCAGCAAATGTGGGTGCTATACGAATTGCTTCTTTGTAATGATTTATTGCATCTTGAAGTTTGCCTTGTTGCTGCAGTATTGATGCAAGATTGCTGTGTGCAGCAGCAAATTCAGGATAAATCTAGGAAATATTAATGACAGTGAATAATTTCGTAATAATTTCTACTTCAAAAAAATCATTTTTTGAAGCTGAAAATCTAAATTCCAAAACTACTGAAACAATTATTTCAATATTTAGAGTTTTCGAAGAATTTTGAAAACCAATTCATTGAAGAAATTCTCCTAAACTTCTAAATTTCCTGTTCTATCTTGGACAAAGAACTTTGATACTATATCCTCTGGAAACTTATGAAGACTTCAATTGAATGAAAAAATGCACAATAAATTAACGGTGAAATAATACCTCCAACGCTTTTAAATAAAGTCTTGTAGCATCCTCAATCTTTCCTTGTTCTCTTTTGATATTTGCCAAATTATTCTGTGAATCAGCGTGCGTTGGGCAAAGCTAGAAATTGCATTGAAACGTTTCAATAACATTTTTTATCAGCAAATTCATCTGATATATTCAAATATATTGCAGGCTTCAACAACATAATCTACTCTAAAAATAGTAAATGCGAACATCCTAGAGAACATAAGACAGTCATAAAAGAAAGCATACATGATAGCATATGAAAACTTATACAACATATAAAGGTAAAATAACTCATTTTTTGCAATAACATAAAATATAATACTTCCAAGATAAAATAATGCAATAATTTTTTTCCTCTCTAAAAGTACTGATGAACTAGTATCAAATCCTACCTGTAATGCTTTATTATATGCAGCTTCTGCTTCCGATACCAAACCTTTTTCCTTTAAAGCATTGGCCAAATTACAATATGCATCAGGAAAATTCGGTTGCAAATCGATGGCTTTTCGATACATATCAATAGCTAAATCGATAAGTCTAAAATAAAATTTTCATAGTGTGCATGAATAAATGAATTAAATAGAAAATAAATTACTATTTATTTTAGTTTAAATGCAAAAAATCTTTCAAAATACCGAACGTTGATAACTAAAGGCCTTGTCAAGTTCATCCTAAAAGATTTATATTATGATTTATAGTTTATGTGATTTCTTCACCTAATAACACTATAAAAATTAGTGTTGAAAAATCTCATACTGTCCCTTTTCCATTCCTATTTTTCAAACTATCAAAAATTATTACAAGAGTGCATATGTATGAGCAAGTGCATTGCAAAATTGGAAGATTTACTTGCGTCTCTTCATGTCAGATGCATGTATTACCATTATGCACTTGTTCATAATAAATAATACATTGTGTTTGCTAATACAAATAATTGCTCCCGGAGAACAAACTTATAAACCTAAAACCTCAATCTCAAAAAAGAAACATTTACCCTTGCTCATAATAAACACATGCCAGATTTCCATGAACAACAGCATGATTTCCAGCCAAATTTAATGCACGTAAATAGGCAGCAACTGCTCTAAAATAATTTGTTATATGGAAATAAGTCATTGAAACATTGATAATATGCACTGATCTCAGCCACATTTTACAATTTCAGGAAATAGATAAGCTTTTGACATATTGTGGTTGTTGTTAATAAAAAGAAAATGCTTTCAGAAAAATGCAATCGAATTAATCGATGGTAAGTTTAAGCAAGTATTACTAATCAAATGATGATCGTTTACCATTAAGTATTATGAATAATTTAGACGACGTTTATAAAATAACTTTGCATTCCAAAAAATCAACATATATAAAAATCATCTTTTAGATGCTAATCTAGACGTCCAGTCAATAGTAATATGAGGCCACGAAGATAAAAAAGTGGAGAGACTTATGTATGTCTTTTTTAATGGTGAGTAAATATGTAAAAAATTCTTTAATTCTATCTCTGCAAGATCTTTCACAGCTGATACATCAAATTTCAGCTGAAGTCAATGCAGTAGTCTTCCTGACCAATTTATGATATGAAATAAAGAATACCCTTATCAAAATGAAATTCCAACAGAAAAAACATTAATAGTGTTCAATGAAATCTGACAAATAAAACAAACCTATCAAAAATACGTGCTTCTTTCAGTACATTGCCCAAATTTATGTATGCATCCAGAAAATTTGGGTCTAGTTGAACAGCTTTTTCAAAATGATGTATTGCAAGCCAAATTTCCCCCTGAGCATTAAAAACGCAACCCAAATTAGACCAAGCAACCGCGAATTGTGGTTGTGTTTCGATTGCTTTCAGGTAACAACCCTAAAAAACACAGCTTCTCTTATCATTGCAAAATTCGACAAGTTCGTTTTTGTGCAGTCAGCCAAAATTTAAAAGCATATGAATTCATAGAAAACTCTAAGCTTTCTTGTCCTGTTTTATTAAAGAATATTCTGAAACCCTTTCTGATTCTATCATAATTTCAAAAATTATGTAAGAAAAGCATACCTCAAGCATATTTGCCCATTATTTTTTTGTAAACCCAAACTGTGTTCACAGTAATGACAACCATTACGCACTTACCGCGGACGTTTGCGCCTTTTTAAAGACCAAGGCAATAAATAGATACAGACTAGGAAATTGATAGATATTTACAATCACGAAAGAGAAGGAGAGATAGAAAACACCGCGCAAACGATGCATGATGCTAATAATTACTGATAATAATAATAATAATAATAATAATAATAATAATAATAATAATAATAATAAATAATATTAATAATAACAATGTTAACAATTTCGAACCGATTCTTAACGACCTAAGACTTAGATGAGAAAAAAGGATTTCAGAAGCTTAATAAAGAATAAAAAAAAACATTCTTTTAGGTTATAGCATAAACCTTACAGCGATAATAAAAGCGCAGCAAACAAATCACAAAGATTAAAACACATATAATCATACCAAACGTTTTATTTGCCATGCTGCTTTCCTTTCCGCGTAGAATTCCCCGTGCTTTTCAATACAGACTGTGCCATTTATTTGGATAGTAACGGAAAGCTGCATCCAAATCGACAAACCTACATTTGATCAAAGATGATCAGAAGAATTCTGTGCAGCTTTCGTCAAATCTGCCTATTCAATGATATACCGCATTTCCTTTTTTAGTGTTCTCATTTTCAGATACATTTTTCCAATGGTGTGTAGAAAATTCCGAATTCGAAAAAATAAAAAGAAAAGAATCGTCCTTTATCCCGAACCCTTATAGTATTCTTAGTCATGTTTGAAGATGTTGGAAAGGGTGAATTGTTTCTGGATGTGGGATGAAATCCGCTGCTTTCGTGACTCTCATGTAAACGAAGTCTAAAAACCGATTTGTCATAAGACTTGCAGGCAGCAAGTGTAAGCAGCTATGGCAATTCCACACTACTCTCATAATCTCGATTATGTTTTCACCCAAATGCATAGATCAGAATGAAGCTTACAAAACAGAGAGCCCTTTCAGTGCACCCTTTCCGTTCGTTAAAAAAAAGATCTAACAATTTTTCCTTTAATACCTCGAACTGCCTCTCTTCGCCTGAGCCACAACAAACTCCAAGTCTGCTAATGATGAATTAATCGCAAAAACCCACTGAAAGAAACTTTTAACAACCCTGAATTTTGTTTCCGTTTCAATTCAAAATCGCGACTGCTATTATCAACACACCTCACAACGGAATGATGTCACTCGTAAGTTCAAGAAAGTACGTTCTCAATCATTGGTTTGGGTCTGATGACAGCTTCAAAAGATACGCTATCAAGCATCTTGCAAACATCAAAATGAGTAAATTCTTAGAAAAAATGATAAAACTATCATCAGGAAAACTGAAAGAACATAAATTTAATCTTTGAAAACAAGTTTACTGAATTAATATCAGAAAGTTATCGTGGATATACGTAACTGTTATTTGCAAGATGAAATCAACGTTTCCAAAAAAACTGCCATCAGGATACATTAACGACAAATCCAGAGATGGTTAAAATATTGGGAACAGCATTTTCCTTATCCATCATAACACATTCTTTACCTCAACCAGAAATGTTTTAAAATTACATGGCAAAAAATTTTGGAATTCAGGGAAATGAAATGAAGCTTCAGTAACCATCTTTGAATCCATCTCTGACCGTACGAATAACATCAAAAGAAGGTGAATTCATGAGAACTGGCAAAAAATCACTGTAAATGAAATCCTTTTCTCAATTTTGGATTCCAAAGCTTTTTTTATCTTGTTTCTTTGACTGTCTCCTCTCAACATTAACTTCAAAAAATTTCACCAGAAGCTCAGCAGAATTCACCAATTCTTTCGACGAAACGAGCCCGCACATCAATGTAGAATGGAATCTATAGATTTGAAATTAACCGCTTTAGGAAAAAATAAATAGCATACAATCTTTTTTTTTTTACTGAATATATGAAATTGAAACTTAAAAAGGAATAAAGCGGTCAGTTTCAGATTTACAATAAACAGTCTTATTTCGCGCGCGCGATTTAGTGGGAGTCCGACAAGAACATCAAAGTTGCTAACACATTTGGTCCAAAATTTCATCTTGCAAGAATATTCACGTAAAAATTAGCAAATCCATCATCATAGAATTTTTTTTTCAACGAAAGAACTGAATAGAGTTTCATGGCCTTAATTTTAGAGAAATTTTTCAAACTGTCTGAATTTCTTTAAACTACCATTCCAAATTGTCAGAAAATGCTCTCCATTTTTTAAACTATCATCGATTTAAAATAACTAATACAAAGAGTTCTCCCAGAAATTCGAACAGCAAATGATATTAGCAATTTTTCTGCCATTTAAATGACAACGTACTTTATTCAACTTAATCCCGCAGAGGCAGCAAAAATTATAAATTCTTAAATCCAAAAGTTGAGAACGCGGTTTTTTAAGTTTCTTGAAAAGTGAATAATTTACTGCCTCTGGCCGGAAGTGTGTTGATTTTTAAAAATTGGATATTTCCCACAAAAAAAGTATCAAAACTCTCAAGGGGGATAAGTAACGCGTGGCTGTAAGCTTAATATATTTTTGCTACAGACTTACATCACTGTCGTATTGTCGCCAGTGTTCTGTTTGTGCTGTTATCATTGTCTGTCTAAATCTTATTAATCCCTAAAGAATTTTCATTGTCAGCAAATCAATACCTTAGCATCTTCGAGACGGCCCATCGCTTTCAGCAAATTCCCTAGATCACTTCGTACGCAGTACAGATCCTGAATAATCGTGAAATGAATTAACAAAAAAACCAGTAAGGGACAAAAATGGATGAGGGCACTAAATCAATATTTAACTCGGTATACTTTGAAGAACGAGACTAAATAAAGAATCTGCGAGAATCATTCAGAAAAATTATCAAGTACGTCACTCCATACTGTAAGTAACATGAATACAGCATTGTAGTGTTTAGTGCTCAATAATCTTAACATGCTGCCAGACTTAAGCCCTAATAACTTACGGGATTATATTGAAGGGCTGAAACATATGCATTTACAGCTTGATCCAAATCACCGGTCGCGACCAATGCAGCTGCTAGATTGATATATCCATCAATAAAGTCTGGTTTTAGCGATACCGCTATTTTATAATTTTCTAGCGCTTCTGCTAATTGATTGCGTTCCTGCAAGTTAGAATAACGTTTTCAAGGAAAAAATACTGAAATCAACAATAATAATCGTTATTTAAAGAGATATGGCACACTACTACTATTTTATGTGTTGCTAATGCGATGTGCTCCTAATCGTTTATCCATCGGCATCTTTCATTTTGAAATATTAACATAACAGTAAACGTTATAAGGTTTCTCTAACACTTCCTGAAGTTTTTTTTGTCAGAAGAAACCAGAGGAATAACCGAACCTTGTATACATTGCCCAAATTACTGTATGCTTCAGCACATTTCGGATTCGCTTTAATTGCCATTGTTGAAAATTGCATCGACCTTAATTAAAATAAAAGTTAACTGTATAACACATATATATTTACACATTGATGAAATATTAATTATATAACACAAATATTTATAATCCATTTCCGGGGAGATCTCAATATGAAAATAAGTGGATTACGAAGAATTCGTGGAAGAAGCCGATAAAAATTTTACTTTTTTATTTTCAAAAAAAAGACTTGTTTTCTGGAACGCTAATCACAGGAACATAATGTAAAATGAGCTACAATAAGTTGTGTAGAAAACGGTAACTTTCATCATCAGAAAATCATTTACAGTTTCAATGCTTACTTATCAAGATCCTTTAGTTGGAAGTGTATCGAAGAGAGGAGAAGCAGAACACTGACGTTATTTGGATCGGCGCGCCAAATTGTCACGCAATGCTGCTCAGCATTTGCATAATCACCGGATTGATATTCGCGATGTGCCATGTCAGTTAGTGCTACAAAACGAAAGAATGTTAAACCGTCTAAATTATATAAAGCATCAAAAACTCGAAATATATTCGCTATCTAGCGATTCAGTGTTAATTAGTTATTCGATATTCTTCAATTTTACATAAAACAGTATTCGGCGTTGCTCCTCCTCCGTATATTTTCATATTAAAAACTGATCGGCTTACTTGCTCATTCGTCTTCAAAATTAGCGCTAATAAAACCCACTGCTCACCTTGTATATCGATATTCACTGCAACCGGTGCACCAGCATTTGTAAGTGTTGCGGCCACATGTTGCTGCTGTGCTTTTTGTACTGCAGCTACAACCGCTAGCGGTGAACCGGAAATGACTTGCAGCTGAAAATATAAATCGTATTTGAAAACAAGTAGATTAATCGATGATGATCGCCTTGTATGAAAAAGTTCTGTAAATGCTTTGGAGTCAGATGAATAAGTGGTTGACATCTTTCGATGGAACAGTTCGGATATTATTTTATATAACAAGAAAGCATTCCCATAACATCCCCATTCCAAATTTCCGAATTTACAAGTATTTTGAAACATTACAACATCCAACAGTGGTTGTTGCAAGCCTTAACAAATCAAAAATGTTGCTTAATATCCACTGCATGATGTCATGTTGTGATATATTTTCAAAAAAAATCATGATCAAGAATAAACACTTTGGGCAGTCTTATTAACTAACAAATGCTGCCTAACAGTACAAAGCAAAAAAATTTGTCAAAGGTTAGCTAGATTCAACTCAATCCGAATTTTCGCTAACCACCAATGCAGAAGAACTGTCTCACACTTTAATTTATCATGAAAAAAAGCTAGAACTTTCCTAACGTAAGATTGATCTTTCCTAGATCTTTATCCTTCCTATCACTATCTGAAGTCTGAAAACGTCCATTTAAAAATTAATTCTGAAATCATAACTCGGAATCTTTCTACCGTAATTCCAAACTTTTATATGTTGATCATCATGATATTCAGAAAGTTTAAAATTGTAACCAAGAACTTCCAGGTAATAGAGAAAACATACCTTTGTACCAGAAAGATTCGAAGCATCATATGGATGAATGAAGTACTGCGGTTTGTTTGGATCCATTTCCCAAAATTACACTACAAAAACACAATTACGCAAAATTATGTACTGCACAAGAGAACAACTTAAAAGACTTCAACTAAATGCACAAAAATAACCATCAGTAACAACAGCATGAAGCTCAATAAAGACAAAGAAATTTTTCAAATCACATTAAAACCGGGTCGCGTTTCATCATACATTCTTTAGTCCTTCATATTAAATTGAAATTTTAAGAGAACACAATGATGAAAAAAACGAAGGATAAATCTCTATTCTTCGTTCGCTCAGAAAAATAAAATCCGCAAAAAGCTTAACTATTTCCCAAAACTAATATTATATTGTTGGAACAGATAATTTGATATTTATACAGCACAGAATGAATTTCTGCAACCGATAAATATTGTATCCATAAAGAGAAGATTTGTGTTATATAGAAGCATAGGAAAGCTTTGTTATAGAAAACGTTCCTCCTAATATTCGAATAACGAGCCAACGTAACATAGAAATTTGCGATCCTTTTATTGGTGCTACACTTATTCCACAACTTCTAGCTATTACACACAATAATTTGTCATTGCCTTCCATCTTTTTCTTTTTCAATCTAAGACTTGTTCTATAGCCAGTTTAGTTATCAGACTTTTTGCTTAGTTGGAACCATACATCTAACATTGCTACCATTTCATTCTGTTTCGTTTCTTTCATCAACGGATTACTTCATATCATTTAACGAAGACATAGCTTTGTCTACTATATAAAACCTAAATTTATGCGTCACTTTCATGTCTCTTCAAATGCTAAAAATAATTCCTATCATTTATCAACAGCAATAAGGTATGGGTACGGTAGCTGACAATAATACAAAAAGAAATCAAAGTTGGTAGAGTCGAAGTCATATTTATTGATAAGAACTTATTACACACATGCATATACACACATACACATACAACACACATACACACACAACACATATACACATACGCACATACTCATTACTCGAAGAAACTATTATGGCTCATACAGACATGGGCTATCAAATAAAAGACGAGGAGAACTACAGGTAAATTCAATAATTTCAAATTTTAACAGTTTCTCAATTTCAAGTAAATTTACACAGAAGTACCGGCTATACTAACTCATCTACGCTCCCCTTCTTCCCACCGGCTTCTCCGCCTTTTTACGCATCCATCACTAAACCACCCATGTACTGCTGGTAGCAAAGCCTGAAATATGCGAAAGAGTCGATTGATCAATTGATATGACAAGAAGTTAGACATATTGAGAACTGAACGAAATATAATACTGGGGAAAGAGAAAAAGATAGAGTAAAAAGTATGTATGTAGAAGAATGTATGAGGATTGGGAAAGAAGAAGACGTTGAAATTGTATGAAAATAGTACAAGTTGTTAGAATCAAAAAGAAACGGAGTAATTCTTCAGCGCCTCTTCTGCCTTTCTCGTCATAATTGTCCATAATTCCATCTCATTGTGATGATGTGTCATTTAAAGCAAGCGCAAGCGGCATGTGTCTTCTCATTTGAGCAGCTTTAGAACTAAGCGAAGTGGCGCTGTGAGTGTGGGTAGTGGTCAGATATTAGGTTTCAGTAAAAGTTATAATTGGTATTTCAATAAAAGGAGAGAAATTAATTATTAAAAATTAGTGAATTTAAATAATCAGTGAACGGATATGATTAGACATCTAATGATGTCATTATTAATGATGCCAATTATTAATTAGTCGCTCTTCAGTCTCTGATTAAGCTTTCAACGAAAAGAGAAAAAAAGATGGAAATGATTAGAGAATTGTTACTAATTCGTATCTGACATGGACATATACCTGTAATATCCTTATTCTTTATCAGAAGATAGTATACTTGTTCAATAAATCATAAATGCGTGTTGTAAAGTAGAAAACTTTATGTATGAATTGTATTCATTCTGTACAGTAAATAGATATAATGAAATAAAATTACTAACAATTATATGTGCAACTGATAAGTGTATGTACAAGGTTGTATTTCAACATTTCAGATTGTTCATATCGTAATAATTATCACTTAAAAATATCTAATAACACCTTGTGATAAACATGGTTATCAATATCAATATGGCAGTAAACAGCGAAATGCAAATTAGTTCACAGTAGTTCATTTTTCTCCAATCGATAAGTAATGTATATGAAAACATTAGGATATATAAACCAGATTATTTTAGCTTTAAAATTGGAATTAAAAATTGTCATAAATTATCACACAAGAAAAATGTAGAATATGCATACTTATGCTTCGGGCAACATGAGTAATGCAAATAGCCCAATTAACATATGAATAAACTTACTGAAATATAATAGATTGTAGGATAGAAGTAGATACGATGCAGCTAACCTAAACTAATAAGAAGGAAAACTATGCAGTATAATTAAGAATGCGATGGGGTTGTACTGGAGGTGGCGGATTTCGATACTGTCGTTGCCATTATGGTCGATTTCGAACTTTCTTGCTGTGTACTTGCTTCACGAAGGCTCCTGAAAAAAACTAGGAGAAAGAAATATTTAGATCAGAAAATTTCATAAAGAAGCATTGATAAATAAGTAGTGATCCAATTCTTTCACAATGCAAGGAAAATGTTTCTATTGAACAATCAATAGGAGGGTGTTTTTAATGATTTTCAAAGAATTTTTTGAAATTTTTCATTCAGCCACGTTGACATACATGATAAAACATATTTCCAATGTTTAGAAAAGATAAGTCTTACTTATCTGGTGAGTTCGCAGCTTCGAGCTCGAGCTCCCGTATTTTCTTCGTGAGAACAGCTAGTTTTTCTCGTGCTTCTTTAAGTTCTCGTCCTTGTAAGGTGCTAAAAATATGTACAGATATATTGGAAATTATATTTTTTGATCAATTTATTAAATTAGTCATCAATTATTCAAATTTTAAAAGGAAACGAATGAAAATTATCAACTGTACGAAATGCATCTGCTCCCAATATCTGTGCCCATTTTGGATTATTACAACAATGTTCCTTATTAATTTAAATATAGAATCATAAACTCACAGCCTAGATGAAAGTAATAAATTTCATTCTAATTTTACATAAAAATTGCATTTGTTGGCCATATTTGCGAATGTTAATTTTACAAGCATTCTATCAACCTTACATAACTATCCAATTTTCAGTTGTTTTTTACATTCAGTATTTCGTAAGTCTATTACACCCTCTATTCCGAACAATTTAAGCAACATTTTCTAGATTTCCCATGGATAATACAACAAATCAGCGATAATTTATTATGAAAAAAAATCCCTTTATCACACTATGGGCAGATTGGTTAACCTAACATTATTCATTGGGTTCGTTATTAATTTAAATATTTTAAGATAAATTCTGCACTGTCAATAACAACTACATGAAATATTGTCGGATCGCGACTTTCAAAAGTTATAATCCTTTTCCAATATAAACAAATAGTAATAGAAAGATTGGCCGGAAATTCAAATATTTTTTAAGCGTTTTACAAAAAACAAAAAAAAACCATGAAGTTTGAAGCTATCAAAAAACCATGAAGCTATCAAAACCATGTGGCAGTATATTGCTTGATTTAGCACACAATAAAGACAAAAACATGATAAGTAAACAACCTTTAGACAAGTAGATATGAACTAGTCAGTTTACTGAGTTGCAAGAGTGTATTGATTTCAACAATTTAGTTTGCGTTTTCTTCGAATGGTTTGCTTCTTTTGCTGTCTTATTCGGAATTTATGATTGGATCTAATCGTAACTGGGAATCATGGATACTCCAACTGAATTAAACTTAATTTTTTTTCCTTTTTTAGTTGAGTTGTTTTTCTAGTTATTGAACATTTTTATCGCTATAAAAAAGATCATCGAAGTGCATAGCTTCTTTCTGGAGCCTTATCAAACTATGAAGCATTTATGTTAAGAGTCTTTAGAAAATCATGTAAAGTACTGTTACACTGGTTTTAGTAGCATGGTTTTTTTGTTTTCTATAAAACGCCTAAAAAATGTCTGAACCTTCCGGCTTATTCTTTCTATTCCTATTTGCTTATAATCGAAAAGGATTGATAACTGTTTGGAAGTTGTGGTCCGACGATATTTTTGCAGAATTTTTTTCATTTTACAATCAGAATAATCATCTCAGTTCTTAAAATTTGTCAATTGCATTCGAACGAAAGAATGAGGCGATCTTTTTACATTTCCAAATTAATTGCCTTTCCAAATCGACAAATCTTTCAATATACAGTTCGCCTCTACTCAAAATAACCTTTCATCCCTTATTCGGAAGTGCAAAGTACCTCATAATTCAAATCTTTTTCGACAGAATTAGTTACACCAACAACCATTAATTCCTCACTGTTACTTTTTCCACATATATATTAGTATCTATGCAAAATTAGGGGAAAAATTGCAAAAAAAACCGTACTTTAGGCTAAAAACAAAATTATGGGTGGAAAACTTACAGTTTAGTTTCTAAGTCATATTTTGATTCTTTCATTTTCTGTATTTTAATAGTATATCGTTGTCGTTCTTGTGCAGCCGTAATAAGCTCCGCACTTTTCTCTTGCAATAAATCTTCTAGTTCTTCCACAGTTATTTTTAGCGAGCTTCCAGTTATTTGTTCTACTTGCAAACGATCTGCTGAATTGGCAAGTTCTGTTTCTAACTGTAAATATGCATTCTGCTCATATATTATGTCTTCAAAGCTAAAAAATATGATCTATAATCTTCATTACTTTTCGAAAGCATCTTAAAGAAAGACCATTCTTGTATTCATATAATTATATCGGCATCTATAAACATTTCAATTATATCAAAGCTATCAGCTTTTTAGTAGTAATTTACCTTTTAACTCACAAGTAATATTTTACATCTTAAAGGCGAAGCTCAATCTCATTCAATTTGAACTCTCAAAAAAATGAAAAAATATTGGGAAGCATTGAATAGCAGCATAATATAAATTAAAGGTTACAGCAGAACCAAAACACACAATCTTGTAGCAGCAACTGCTCAGATCATCCGTAATGGTATAAACAATGAAATCATTACACTAATCTGGAAATACCACCATACCTTCATTACTTTTACTTCGGCAACTTTCAGCTCATTATTCAAATCAAGTATTTTTGCTTCCTTTTCTAGCAACTGAAAAAAATATCATTGCTCATTATTATTATTACGTTTCTTCTGAAGCAATCCAATTCTCTTGAGAAGGCAGTGAAAAAAACTGGACAATAAATGAGAAAATTTTGGCAACAAGTATTCAAAAAATTGAAAATTATTATAGTTCATACGTTTAAGATTGAAAATATACAGAGAAAACAATGAGGCATGAACCTTGACAAGAAAAAGGAATAAAAAAATAAATTTCAAAACTAATCAATTATTCAGTTCACTAATATTTGTGTTTCCTTCACAAAACCCAGATAATCATACCATGGTTCGTACTTTAGCAAGATCATCATGCATCGAGTTTTTCAACAAAACTTCCTTGTCGACCTCATCTGTTTTCAGCCTTAATTGATCTTTCACTGACTGAAGTTCACTTTCTAAGCGAGTAACTTTATCAAGCATCTGAAAATTATTTTCCAAATCATGACAAATAAAGATGTAATTACAAGCCATACAAGATTAGAGAAAAAACTCGAAATTAATTCAATATTAATAAATAAGGTAGGACATTTGAATGAAAAAATGACAAAAACTTTTTCACCGAACTGGAAATAAAGAAAAAAGTACGAACCATGGTAAGATTATCTGGGTTTTGTGGAGGAAACACAAATAAATTAAAGAAATTACCGTTCGTCTCTCGTGATTTAACTCACGCACTTCCTTCAATAGCTCACGATTTTCATCAGCTGCAGCTGGAAAAAATCCGAATGAAAAGTTTGAATAATCACCTAAAAACATAACCATTCGCATTTTGCTAATGACTTTCCATTATCAAAAAGGAAACTTTCAAAACATCGAAATGTAAGTCACAAAATGTTATGGAAATATCAAATATTACAACTATTCGAGTAATTACCGCTAATGTCAACACATCTAACTATTTGGTCAATTCACATCATAACTTAGAAGCTCAAAAAAACACCCTCATCAAAATCATTTGCTGCTGGCGGACAAATTTTCAATTAGATTGCCTTAAATAAAATTTTCATTATAAAAAAGTGGATTAAATAAATAAAATTTTGGATTAAATAAAATTTTCATTATAAAAAAGTGGCAATAACTTCAGTTTACTGGCATATTACTAGATTGAAAACATTAAGTTTTAAAATTCAAATACGGGAAGATAGACACGTTTGTGTAATGAGAACAAATTTCTGAAATATTTACCACAGCGATTATCACTTTCATTAATTGAATCATGAAGAGGAGTTCTCCAACTGCCAGCAGCACAAAGTTCAGCAATTAGTGCCTTACATTCATCATCCTGCAAAAAATCCTGAATAAAATTAAAAAAAAAAAGAGCAACATTTTAAACATTTTAGGAAAGTTTCAAAGTCCGATCAGGACCTAACCTTTTGTTTGACGAGCTGTTGATATGCTTCAATTTGCGCATCGTGTGTTTTGCTTTTCTCAATCTGCTTTTCCTCCAAACAAGATAATTCTTTGCGCTGCCTCTTTAAAGCGGAAGAAAAATTCAGAAATGTTGAAGTTAAGAAACATAAAGACCGGAACAATGAAGTTGAAAATCTCAAGATACGGAAAAATATAGCGAATTTTTTTCAATTTTTTCAAAACAAACTTCAATAATTTTCGACTGTTCCATCTTTTCTCGGACAGTTAAGTTATTAGCACATTCCAGTTCGGTATATTTTTGTTGCAGTGCTTCTTTTTCCCTACTTACCACTCTTAATTGATCATCAAAACGAGTTAATCGTTCTGTTTGGTTGTCAATTACATGTGTTAATTCTCTGTAAATGAAAAAGAGTATTCGAAAAAAAGAAATATTTTTTAAAGAACAGACACCAAAACTGTCTAACTAATAAAATCAAATTTTATAAACAGCTAATTAGAATGAATACAAAATTTAAAAGTGTTGGAAATGTTAACATTGAAAGCAATAAAAGTAGCTGCTGAACCTTTTATCCCTTTCGAGCATCTCAATTTGTTGAGGACCTGCGACAGCAAATTGCTCATTTTCATAGATGGTGCGCCTTGCAAGACTCAACTCTTTTCCAAGATATGCCATTTTTTTATCCGCTTTATCTAAATATGAAACGGTTAGTTAGTAGAAAAATCTACAATCAGATCAAGAATGGGAAAGAGAAACATTTTTGAAAAGACGGTTTTCAAAACCGAAAAAATTATAGAAAATGAGATAACAACTTAGAGCGCTTTAGAATAAAATTTGAACAAATCAAACGTAAAAGCGAAGTTTCACATATGCACATTAACGAATGGAAAATTTCCCGAAATATTTTGGAATATGTTTTTATGAATTATCTGCTATATAAATATATGATGCAAATTTTGCTTTTAATTCCAATATTTTGTCAAATTTACGTCTTAAAATTTTAATTTTTTATCATCTTGACTGATTCTGATTCTCTGCATTCTACTGAGAAATTCAGTGGAAAGAAAGCAAACCAAGCTCGTCTTTCAGCTGAGATATTAAATGGACATCGACTTTGCAAGCAATATGACCATTCTGGCTAAATTTAATATATAATTATTATACTATTCAAGAAAGTAAACTAATCGAAAACAGAAAATTAATTCAGCTTTAGAGCATATTATGAAAATGCTGTCTCTTTCTACAATACTCCAGATTAAAATTGATCCAATAATACAGAATCATGGCTGATCTAACAGAAATGTTAAGTTTCGCTATAATTCCAAACGGAAAAAAGTAATACTTTAGGTATCACCACAACCGTATGCTTCTACATTTCTCTTTTTAAAATGTGAAATATACTCTATTTTGTTTTTTGTGCTCGCTTCAGCAATTCGTCTTTTACCCAATTCCGTTTCCAGAGATTCATATTTCTGAAGTAATTTTTGATAACTGCTCGACAGCTAAAATTGAATAATTTTTTATTTTCCGTATAAAATTAAGAAACTCCATTGTTAATCAATTTTATCTCATAGAAACTATGGGAATAAAGTTTAACAGAAAATTAGAGAAGTAAACCATACATTATTATTTTCATTCTTTAGTGCATTTTCAACCTCCTTATTCCTCTCTTTTTCCATTTCCAAAGCAAGCGAAAGCTGCTGAAAAAATATTAACAAACCATTCTGATCAGAATAAAAATGCATTCCGCGATAAAACAAGTTTATAAAATCGAAATAAAGTATTACTACTTCGGCTAAAATGCTGAATCTCAAATGCAACAAAAGTTATTAAATTAAAAAAATATAAACTGTTGATGTGTAGCTGAAAAATGCATAGCTCAGAATGCCGTTAAAAAATGAAAAAGATAGGATTTGCGCAGCCATTTCCAAGTTCCTCTTTTCCAGCTAAACTACATTAATAAATAGAGTATACCTGAAATTTTTCCCTAGTCGCTATTTTTTGCTTCAACCAATTCGAATCACTCCGATCGGTGAAAATCATTTCTTTTCCATTCATCCTGGAATGAAACTGTCAAACGCAAATTATACGATCAACGGAGACCACTTCTGGAACTTGACACTTCTTAAATCGTACACGTAGATAACGAAAGACAGACATGTAAAAAAATAGGAAAGCCTTCTCTCGACAATTGGAAAACAAGATTTCATATCATAACATTGAAAAAAATGAGAATTAACATTCTGTTCCAATTTTTCACTTGGCTTCGACAATAGCCACAATATGGATTAACGTCGGTTTCAAAGATTTCTGGAGCAGTTGCCTGATGTCCAGTGCTGTAGAATGACATATGACAATCCATAAATTTTTAACGAATCCATAAATTTTAACAGTCCATAAATTTTTTTTAATATCTAATATCTCCTATCTATCTAATACTACCAGTCTCTCTTTACCATTCAGCTGAACTATTGTTTTGCTTACTGAAGAAAGCAAAAAACCAATAAAATCAAAAACAATTACTACACAAACCGGGATTAACTCACCTTCGCGACTCATCATATACAACATTACAATTTTCCTTATTTTCTTTCTCTAAACGATTTATTCGATTCAATAATTCGGTTCTTTCCTAGAAAAGAAGAAAACCGCGAATCTTACATTTAAAATTTTATATTCCTCAAAAAATTTTTAAACATTGAAATTCAATAGGAAACTTTTTCAATATCGAAATCCTGAGCGAAAACAACAACAACCTTCAACAATATTTTCAACTTTGTTGCTATGTGCTGGTTAGCTTGTAACAAATACTCAGAAGTTCCATAATGTCGAAAAATTTAAACTGTCGAATTATAAATTAAATTACACTTTACACGAATCTTATACTTGCACGTACTTTTGAATGGTGGTTGCTCTGATAAACATCTAACCACATATTACTATGGAAAAAAGTTTTCTAGTATAATAATATTCCTTCCTTTTTTATCATAACGTATTTCTGCGCGGAATTAAGTCTCGCATTTCAAATCGAATGAATTTCCCATTCAACAATGGTCGGTTCTCCATAACAGCAGTGCAAAATGATTTATAAATCATTTTTAAACTGCATTTTTAAAGCACGCTTGGGAATGTTAAATTTTCTAAATTTTAGCTCAGTTTAACACTTACAACTGATTGTATAGAAGCTCCTCTCCATCGCTCTTGAAGCTGAAATGCTTTTATTTCTTTAAAAGTAATAAATTATTGAACGCATGAAATTCAGTATCACTTTCACTCCATCACTACTGTTTCTAAAGCTTATTCAACTACCCAATAAGTAAATAACTGTAAACTATCATTTCCTTACTCTGCTAAATATTTGAAAACTAATATGAAATTAATACATAATTAAGTTAGTTGGTAGCGGCACAGAAACAAATTTTCATTGTCAAAGTTAACTATTAGATTTTCAATAAGTCAAGGAAAAGTCGACAAAAGAATTGAGGTTGAAATAATTGAAACTACAAATACAGAAAGAAGAGTACCACAATTGCCTCTGAGTACATCAACACACGTAAATCAAGTATGTTCTAAAATTAGGAAAAACAACGAAAAGCTAAGTAAAAACCAAAACCTCCTTCTGAAGTCGAGATATTTGTTGTTCGCGTTCCGAAATTGCTTCATTATAATATTTCTCCGCAGCTAAAGCTTCACGCCCTTTTTGTAACAGCTATAAAAAAAATTAATCAAAAAATCACACATATGATGAAACATAAAACAAACTGCTTACGTGAAAATTTCATTTTTTTTTTAATAAAAACCAAAATATGAACTCAGAAAAAATATTTCAAAATTTTCAAATTTTTACATTCAGTTATAAAATCTGATAAAAAGCTATCCTCTCACCATACTCTGTAATTTATCGACACATTGCTGAAGATTGTTATTGGCAATTTTTACAGCTTTCAATTCGTCATCACGACTCAGAGCACTAACTGGTGCAACGGCATTTGGTTCCAAAGCAGTCATAGATCCACGCAATAGCTCATTTAAAGCGTTGTAACTTTTACTCCGCTGATCTACAGTGAATAAATTTGGAAACTTTATTTTTTTGTAAAATATTCATAACATAAGATTTCATTTCAGAAACAAAATCACAAAAAGAAGAAAGAACTTAAAATGACACTAAAAATAATTCACTTATTTGTTAAGTAATCCGAAATCATGTTTTCTCGACTAATTTCCTTTTTATTTTTTGAACCGTTTATTTTCAGTCATGTCACTCAACTTTTTGAAAGCAGCTGTCATAAAAAGGTAAACTTTTTGATCCATGAAGACCTGTTTTAGCTGTCAGAAATAGCCAATAACTGGTCCTTTAAGCGATAGAGTCAAAGTGATAGAAAAAACAGGATATAATTATTAATATGATTTCCTATTTTCTGTTTCTGTTGTCTTCATATTTTTTCAGATTGCTGCCAGGCAGAATCATTTTTTGCTTTGAGTGAAGAGTAAGGAATTTATTGCTAGTTGTAATACTTTTTACTCAATTTAAATTGCAAACCTAATAAAGCAAAGATCAAGAATGCATAAGGAGAAGGGCAAAGTTTGTTAATTTTATCTTTAACTTCCAAAAAACTGAAAATACTTCCCACATTTCTAACATTTTTATGTTAAGCTTCCCTTTGGTAAATTTCCAACGTTTGAAATTTTGAACAGATGATTTTGTAATGGAAAATCGTTTTCGTCACGTGCGGAGAGGAAAAGTGATGATAAGCGATGTGGAAATAGAATAACTTGAAATAAATCATGAAAAGTCGCAACAAACAGAAATTGATTAAAGTTAAAAAAAATTACCAAGATGTGAGCATGATGCGCATTTCTTTAGGATTTTCAATTGTTTTCCCATACTTTCATTATCTCTTTGAATTTTTCGCAGCTGTGCTTCAAGTTGTTTGCAATGAAAACCAAGCTGTCGTCGTCTTTCTTTTTCACCATGCAACGATCGTTCCGACACTGTAAAATTAACAAATGACATGTTTTCCGCATTACAATAATATCAAAAATACTTTAACAAATTAATTTGAGTATATGTTTTTGAATTTACAAACAATCCTTACAATATCTCGAAATCATCATCGAATTCAGAAGGATCTTAAAAATTCTACAATTCTAGTTTTCGGTAGCTAACTTTTCTATGATTCACACCTATGTTCCTTAAAACATAAGTCTAATCTGTACATTTTAACATCTTTTGTCGATTATTCAACAACGGTTAGCAAAAATATCTTATTACATTCCGGCCAATTCAATTAACACTCTCTAACACTATTTGTTAAATACTTACTTAACAAGAAATAAATGACTAAAAAAATATTACCACGAAGACGTTTTTCGTATTCCTGCTTCAACTGCTGAACATATGTATTCATTTAGACTCTCCACAATTATTTAATACTGCATAAATTTAAGTTGAAATAACTCTGAAACTTAAATTTATGGAAAACTTCAATACTAAAAAAATAGCATTCCGAATATTCTGTTATTCTTTCTTCATCTGACTTGAGATGTTAAGATTCTGATCTTTCCAGACCACCCTGTTCAGATCAGAAATACAGTAATCTGAAAGCATAATCATAGCAATGCCAGCTAAACTCAGGTTCTTATGATAACTTGAAGAACTCACTGGTAAACTAAACGTTACAATTATAAACTATATCGATTGCATGAGCAATAAAACTCTAGTCTGGATGCAGTTTCTAACTTACAAAAACTTCTCATCTTGATCATGACGAAAGAAAAACTTTGCAAACAAATCATAAAAAGTGAATAGTAACGACGACAGTCATGGAGAAACTGAATAATCCGTCAAACAGCAGTGATGTACATGTAGAAGGAAAATGAATGAGCAATTTATTCAAAATATTTCGTGGCAAACTTACCAACAATAACAAAAACAACAAAAGCAACATTATTAATAACAATGGTATCGACAACTGTATTTGTGAAATTGTAACAACATTGACTGCTAGACGGCAAGAATATGTACACAATAAGTGGATAAAGTCGATAAGGAATGAATTTTCTCATCCACAAATTCCCTGAAGTTCATTATCCAACGAAACCGTTTAAGTACCGTTTGCCAACCACAACATATAAGAATCAAAACCTTCAACTGCATGGAGTAAAATTTAGAGTAATAAGTGTTATTAAATAATTATGTTTCAGTGGTAAGTTCAGCAATCCCCTGTAAATACTGCAAAGCGCGCTCTCTAGCCTGAAAAACAAAGAAAACGAACTAACAAATTATTAACTTTTCGTGCCTGTAGCAGGCAAAAAAATTATTAAGTGATAAAAACATAAATTTGAAAACATAAATTTCTAAATGAAGAATTTGAAATATAGAGCACATTTCATGACTCTTCAACTTAAAATATTGGTTTCATTATTTTCTTCACCGAACTCTTCCTCAAAAAGAAATTTCAATTTACATCTTCTCCATCTCAATCTTCACTTCATTCATTGAATTTACTGATTCACTTTAGGACCTTAATTTTTTTTGTAATGCTCAAAGAAAACAGACATTATTCTGCTGTTTCTCATCACCGTGCCTTTGCTCCAGATCGACCCATTTTTTGAAAAACAATCGAATTTTATGAGTGGACAATTTTAGTGCAGTGACTCGTTCAAGTAGTTGCCTGAAACAAATCATCTCTGAAAATCGCAAGTAGCACTAATCATTTTCCTTTTTCCTACTTAAACCAACGCTGATGCTAATCACCTAAAAAAGACTGTTAATTTCAGAAAAAAATATTGCACAGAAAACATACCTTGCATCATCAATTTTTTTAGCCTTAATGAGCAGATCAATATAAACTGTCCAGATATCTGTTTTCTTCGGATATGAATTTAAAATATTTTCAAATATTGTTTTACTTTGTTCCATATCACCGTATTTGAATTCAAGTTGCGCAAAACGGCTCAAAATAGTTATGTCTAAAATTAAATTTTGAATTAAAAAAAAAATTTAAAAAAAAAATTAAAAAATTAAAAGCAGAAAACCAACTAAATCATGTGATCATACCATCTTTCACAATCACTTCTTCACTGCTATAACTTCTAGTCTAAGTTCCATAGTTAAAAACAAATATCTTCATATTGTCACATATGTAACGGTGATATATTCAAGAAGAAATTAAAACTGATCGATACTTCTTCATTGCTACACGAGATGTGACAGCAATAAAAATAAAACAAAATTTTACACTTTTTTGCTTCGATAAACCGAAATTCTTTCAGATCATCATAAAAACTTACGGTGTTTTCGAGGTAAACAATTGATCGCTTTCTTCATTAAATTCCTTGCTATTTCTGGGCGCTTTGTTTCCAGCAAATGTTGGCCATAAATGAACCAAACATCTAAGTCATCGTGACGGAACCGTTTTAACATTTCGTCCAATAAATCATCCGTTTCCTGCAGTAATCTCTATATAAAATTCTAATATCAAGACCGTAAAGTTATATCAAGAAATCGAAGAAAAAACATTCTATTTTTCAGCAGAACATACACCAAAATTTTTCTGCAAAAAAATTTTTTTTAACTAACCACTACTTTGAAGTAGTTTACAAAGATTTTGCCTTTTCGATACCACAATAGTTCCTTTCTAACTCCTCATTCGTCACTAGCGAAATATTTACTCTGCCAATATTTAAAACACACAGTATGTGCAAATTAAACGCACCTGCTTTTTTCCGAGATTTTGATATATTTTCACCATTTGCTTATACATTTTCAAGGCATCAGTATTTTTGATAGCATTATCAAAAACTGCCTTTAACGATTCGCTAGTACCGAAATTTCCCTCCAAATTGAGATATGCTGTCCACACATTGAAGATTTCATCTTCTTCTCTAAAGCAGAAGGAAATTAACAAATTAAAAAAAAATTCACATTTTACAAGGATTATTTTCATTATTTTTTGTAAGAAATAATTCAGAATAGACTTCAAGTATCCCTTTATCAGAATTTCCGTGCTTTCATTTCTAACATAGCTTTGTTTTATAGAATTACTATTCAAAAAACTAACCTGAAATTAATGACTGAAAGTGCTCGCTCTGCAATTGCTCTTGCTTCTTCCACATTATTTCGTTCCAGAAAGAATGTAATATACCTAGAAAAGTATTAGTAAAAGAAATTAATTTATGCTAAGCATTTATTCCTTCGTTAAAACATAAAACAACAATTTGATTTCACAATAGTACAGAGACTACTGAACACTTTTTTAAGAAAACACCTTCATAGAAGGGTTTTAAAAAAATACAAATATACCGGATCCATAAGATCGAAGAATTCGGTGTACCAGCAACTAAGCGATCAAAATCATTCGTGTTATCTGGGATCCAATTCGTCTCGAGAATTTTACGCTCACGATTTACTAATTTTTTTTCTTCTTCTATTTGAAGCTCCTCTTTAGCTATAATAAATGATATATAATCTAGTCATTTCTAAGTTCAGAAATTTCTGCATTTACTTAATACAACACGATTTTAAAATTCGAAAACTAAATCTTATCTAAATTCCTATCATCTAAAAATCATTCATCTTCTTCATTGGCAAATAAATAGTAAGCTACATCAAAATATCACAATAAGACCAAAAACATGCTCAAAAACTGAAATTTTCCTGAATGATAAAAACTGAAGTTGAATTTAATGTGTTTCACGCTAGATGAGAAAATTACTTTTCAAAACTCCCATACTTTTTGGCTTGCTTCGTTCATCAATATTATCGGCGATGGATTCATCTTTCGCTATTAAAGTACTAACAGGAGCATTCATCTTCTCACCAATTTGTCCTACTGATGCAAATTCAGCTGGTGTAAATCCTTTTAGAGACCAGTCGAATCCTGGTTCGGGTAACTAAAATCAAAAAAAAGGAAAAAGAGTTGAAGATCTGAATTATCAGTTAAGCTAACAAACTCTTTAGTCAAGGCTTAAATGGGATATGCGATAAATATTCCAATATATTCCACGAATGTGAATATTCTAACATTGTAAAGTTCCTTTTGAAGGCTAATTCCTACTTTTGCTTCAACAAGAGTAACTTGAGGAGGTTCATTTTCTTTCGAATGTGTTGCCACATAACCAGCTGCTCTCGATTTCTTTCGCGTTAAATCGACTGTGATATCAGAACCAGATCCAACACTTATCTGCCTCTTCCGTGGTCTCTTTAAAATATTCACACTCAAGATACTTTATAATTTATTAAAATGATAATAGCGAAAAATATCGGAAAATTTATTTCAAAAACGGTAATCGTGAAGAAGAAATGACTTAAAAAAATACAAATGCAAAAACCAATAACATAATGAAATTAGAAAAAAAAGTACAAACTTTCTCTATGGAACCTTCCGCAATTAAATCAACAAATTCTACTTTCAAGCCACCATCCGGAAAGACATGACTAATACGAACTGTAATCAAATCATCGGGTTTTAACGGCAATCTGAAAAATTCATCTTAATGTTTCGGTTCGTGATGTTCATAATTGTTTCACGTCTGCTTATATAATTTATCTATAACATCTATCGTTTTTTCTTTTAATCTAGCGAAAGCTGTCAAATATTTTTGTTATAGAAATAACCCTCGAATGAATATTTCGCAAGTGCTTTATTTCCGATTTCGGATTATTTCTAGTATAATAAAAAACTCAATTATAGTTTAGATTTAGATGAAATTGAAAAAAAAATCAAAAAAGAATTTTCAATGTGAAATTGATATACTTCTGGGATTTTGTGATGCAACCAGAAATACCAGGACTGATTTCAACAAAGATATGAGCATCATCAAGTGCTGAAGTTACGAACGCTTGTAGCTTTGAACCGATCTGAAATAAAGCCACGATTTCATAGTTCTGCTGTGAGTAAAAATAGTCACACTTATAACTAGACTGAAAGAATGAAAAATCAGTAAAAATAAAATCACTGCAAAACAGCAGCAAAAATTAAAAGGAATTTTAGGAAAAAATATTAAGGTACAATCTATAATGCCTATCATTATTCGCCTGTAACATCGATTCCTCGATCCAAAGCTGTCAGTCAAAGACATGAGGAGTGATGGCAAGGGTCTGTTATGCACAACAAAGTTAAGAATGAAATAATACAACAAATTTAAATATGAGCGAGCAAGTCTTAAAGCATTGTGGCACCATATCTTACCTCAATATCAGTTTCATTTAGATACAGTGTATTTTCCGGCTTTTTCGAAAAATTATAGCGTGACTCTGTGACAGCAAGCCATCCACCCTTATCGCTGTCAAAACGCAAAAGTTGTACATTATAAATCTGAATTTACAATGTTAAAAATTCAGACAGCAAACTAAAGCAACGAAGATTGGAGTGAAACAAAAATTTCCATACTTTACTCTTCCAAATGTTCGCTTCAAAAGTTTCACTGCAATTTGCAGCCGTTCAACTTCACAAATAAAAAATTATATATATATGTGAAAAAAAAAATATATTACCTGATTTAATTCGTACCTCTTTACAGCTTCATGTGCTTTCAGATAATTATCAGTAATACTAGTTAAAGTAAGAATAGCTCGCTGATTATTAGTAAGTTCCAATGTAACACTACTTGGTGACTGTGCAATACCGACAACTCGTCCCGTTACACGGTCACCATGCTCGAATGTCTGGAAATTTACATTTTATACAGAATTTTCCAGGAGATGAAGGGAATTTTGAAAGTTTTTCATTCGTGTTCGCGAAAAATTTTATTTGGAATAACAAAAAATCTGCCTCCCATGTCTTGCTTCTCGAAAAAAATCTCAGACACCATAATTTGCCTATAATACTTATTAAAAAAACCTGGAAACTAAAAAATAACCTTTCGCGTTTCTTTTAAAGTCATTTCCAAACATTTTCGATGCCTCGACTTGCCACGTCCATTCTTGTAAACATTTACGCCGATAATTTGTGCAATTAATTTTTCACCGGGTTCAAAATCGATATCCACTAACGCTGACGCCTCATTTGTTGGGTTAGTTATCTGAAGCATATTTCAACTGGTATATTTAAACAAAAAAGAAGTTTCTACCATTATATATTATAATTTTCGATGCTGCTTTTTATATGTTAGCTTGCAGTTAATTATTGATAGCGTGAACACGATAAACGATACCATACCAGATTTTCATCATATAAATTTTGCTTCCGAATGACACCATTCCAAAGCGGACTAACTTCCACTCTGACCACTCCTACATGAGGTCTCTCACATACAAAAACAGGAATTAACGATCCATGTGCATAACTTTGTGGATATCCCAACAATGACTGCTTTCTCTTCGTCTCATTCAGTTTCCAAGTTTTCATCGTACATTCAGCCAAACGTGTTATCTAGTAATATATATGTATTTCTTGCTAACAAAATAAAATTACAAACACTAGTAATCAAATGTTAATACTTCCATAAATTCTTGATTTACTTGAATATTTTTCGCTTCCTGATTTTGAACAATATTTTCTAACCAATTTGACTGATTTATTTACTCAAAAATAATATAAAATTAAATCAGAATTGTTACGAATTGTCAAAATTTTTTTTCGAACGATTTCTGGAACCTGGAGTTTATCACATAAAATCAATTGGTTATCTTAGTGTTTGTACTATTAGCAAACAACTATAATTAAGAAAGACAGAACCAAGAAAACAGAACTTACAACAACTATTTTTTCGACCTTTTGCGCATCCATTCCTTTTGGTTTAGGAGTATCCAATTTCGCAATTTTTTGTTTCAACTTCGCGAAACACATAATTTTAACATTGACTGTTTTATTTTTTCTTTCTCTCAAAAAACTTTGAACTGGCTGGGAAGTACGGTTCAAGAAGCTTTCATCAAATTCTGATGCATGTAAACGTCCTAAAATACAAATTTAGATGCGCTAATGACATTTTATCGAGACCACATTTATTACAAACTTTCACAAGATTATCTTGGGACGAAATAAATACCACAAGAAAAAAAGGAAAGAGAATAATGTGAGTGATGATGAATTATCATCTGCGAAATACACTTGTTAACTGCTAGAAAATGAGCTTTTTAAGTGACGTCAGAAAAAGAAAATTCTTACCAACACTGCCATCTGGCAACTCTAATTCAACAGCGTTGTATAAATCACCTCTGGACCACATTCCTTTAACTTTTGCTGTATAAATCATAAACTGCTTCAATTTTTTCTTTACTGCTGTCTTCATGGGTGTCTGTAAAACAGAATTCAAACATAGTAAATAAGGAAATACACCAAAAAAAACGGTAATTTAATAAGAAAACCCAGGAAATTCAGAAAACTGTGATAATCAGTAGATAAGCAATCATTTAAGAAATAAACGTAAGTTTCACAACGCTAATACAGCTTACTAACGTACATGAAGTTACATTTCTTAAGTTTTGGTATGAAATAATAATAAAATGACAATACTTTAAATTTCTTATGAGTCAGTTTGTATTTCTTCAATGTTTCCATTGCAGTTCCAATCATGACATTGCCAGTAACGAGCTTGGGTGTGATCGTACATTGATTGTCATTTTCATCTACAATATTTTTAATCATTCTTTAATACCATTAAGACACTTCAGTTTTCCATTTTGATTCCTTTATGATCACCATAAGCAATAATAATTACCACATCTTCTCTTTATCTCAATTTCGATTATTATGAATCTTCATTAATTGATTTTCTAAGCTGACAAGTCGAGCTCAGTGGTAGAACAAATGATTATTTTTCCTATGCTAATGATATATGTTGGATCCATTACTTATAATCCAATATAAATTGAATATGGTCAGCCATCCACCATGACATTTTTTGATAGCAGACTCACTGCCAATATCGAGAAAAAAGTTTGAGGAAATTAATTTAGCGAACACTTCATAGTAAGTTACAACTTACCCAATTTTACAGAAATAATATTCACATTCGGATGTATTCTCATTGGGATACAAACCACAAAAGCCGATTTTTCACTTTCTACTGTCGCAACTGCATATTCTTTTTTGTGCAACCATACCTTCACGTCGATTTCCTTTTTACTGCCCACTAATAACTGCAGCTTCTTCTATAAAATTTTACAAAGAATTCAGTAACTATTGCTGAGAAAGTGAATAGTATTTCAGCTTAACAAATTTCAGACCGAAAATATCGTTTAATTTACAGCAGACAAACTGAAGCCACATAAATTCTACATCCTCTCCCCCTTGCTTTCAAGGCAGTTTACTATAACTTGCCAATCAGTTAATTAAACTGTGATAAAAAATTATATTATTTATTAATTTAATTGATTTAATTCTCCATTAATTTAATTTGTCGGCAGAAAAATACATGGAAACTGCCTTTAGGAAGTTTATAACCATAATTTTTGTTCGATACCTCATTCAAATGCTGAATACCATCATTCAGAAGAAATAGAACCAACTCGCAAGCCGGCAATTTGATATCCAAAACTAATGCTTTCGCACAACTTCTTTTCTAAATTTTTTTGATAAAAACTTCAAAAAATATTCTCTATCCAAACTCAAATTCTGATTCATAAAACTTATCGAAGAAAAAGAAAGTAATCATACAAATCTATCTCCTCAAAAAAAAATGTTTCTAGCACAGGTAAAAACAACTACTTTGGTGTTGCATTAAGCTTCTCTTTCTTGATCAAATTATTAACTAAAGCCACTTATAGATTATATTACTTCATATTCTGAAAGAAAACCTGTAGAATATTGGTGCCATTTACTGCGTCTCCCTTAAAATTTGAGTTATCAGCTAACTGTATAACAACACTGCGTTCTGAAACCTCTATAAGCTTTACATCGATACATTCTCCGATTTTCGGTACTTGCGAAATGTTTGGATTGTTTGCTATATACCAATTCAGTTCCTCCAAAGCATAATGTACCATAGATGGTGCAAAATAATCAGGTTCTGCGCCATGTGGTACACAGAGATGTGTCTGAAAAGCACCTGAATAGAAATTCTTCTACATGTTAAAATGAATTTAGAATAAAGATCATGGTGAGGAAGTTCTATAATTGTGAATATTAGATTATAATAGTAAAAGTCATAGCATTACAATGAGCTTACATCCAAGATTAAAGCAAATCGCTTCCTTTCCAGATCTACTGATGATACTCGTGCCACAACCGTCTGTCCTATTTGAAGTTCTTCTGAAAAATCAGCAATTATTTCAAGAAAACTGCGGCAATTTCAAAAATGCGTCCAATATAGCACAAATGGCAAGCACATTAATCATTTGGAGGTTTTTTGGAAATTTTTGGTCAATAACTTACGCATTGACACTGACAATGCCAAAGGACGTATAAAGCGTGCTGGGGCTGTAAGAGCTGAGCCACCCGCCAATTCAACAAAATATCCCATTTCCTGATGCTTCTGGATAATGTTACCACAAACAAGCTCTCCTTTCGTAAGACTTTGAATACCAGTAATACGTGGATGTTTTTCTAACCAATTGATCAGGAAACGTTTACTCGTCGCCTGAAATATCTTTCAATCGAAAACCATTAATTTTAAAACTTGCATACAATGGAAATTGAAGTATTCATTACTCCACCAGTGGTAATGATATAACTTGCTAAACTGCGCAATAATTCACTTGCATTTAATGAATTTCTGAATCAAATCTGCCTATTAATTGAATAGTCCTGAGAATTGAATGTGGAAAGGCGAATAAACTTTGGATTGCAAATTGACCAACCTTGAGATTTCCGGCAACAGAACCCAGCACTGCAACCTTTGGTAGTACACTTCCAAGTGCAATGCTTTCGCTCAGTGAAGAAAATGGTAAATCAAGATAATCACTCAATAGTTCTTTCGGAATGAATGCTTTCACTTTTCCACCCTGAAATGAGATTGATTCCCAAAAAAAACATTCAAATCGAAAGGATGATATTCCTTGCCTGTCTCTTATATTGACAAATGAAAAACACACTGAAATGAATCATCTGCTGCAATAAAAATATATGCAGACCAAGTAATAATGAGTTCAGAAACTGTGAAAAAAAACCATTGTTAATGAATAATTGAAATGAGTTAAACAAACCAATTTCTTTCCTAGTCGGACAGCAACGTTCAAAATCTCGTTCTGTTTTAACTTATCGTCATTTGACGAAACGCTCATAACAATTGCCGAAAAAGAAACAGGATTCCCTTCATCGATCACAAATGGCTAAATTTTAAACGCATGTACAGGAAAAAGAATTACAAATTCTTTCTCAAGAAATTTACAGGCAAAAATTTATTTTTATTCATTTTTATCTCGTTAGGTGTGCAGAATTACTTTATATCAGTTACCCAGATCTAAAACTCAAGCTTCAGAAATGAGGAAATCGGATCTTTGATTAGGAATGTTTTCTTTATTCAACAGTAATAAAGATTAGCCATCCTGTACCACTCAGCAAAAATTAGCCTGTGGAACTCGATAAAACAATATTAATATAAATGATCCGATTTTCCGAAAAAAAAACGAAATTAAAATTAAACCTGAGCCTTCGCTATCGCAACTCCACCGCTAGCCGTATTCGCTACTGCAACTAACATACGTTCACGTTGCGGATCAACACTGATTACTCGAATACGGATTGTGAGACCAATTCTTGAAGAGAGAGAAATCAACATTAATTTTAAAAATTGAGAAGGTGTAATTAATTTTATAGACTTCATTTCATTACGTATTGAAATTAAAGTGAAAAAATTTCTATGTTTTCATAATTGATGTGAAAGTATCTGGTAAAATAACACGTTGAAAAACAATACCAAACATACTTTATGTTGCTTCCTAATCGTTCCGTTTCTTTTGGAAACATAAATGCACGAGTTCCACCATAAAAACCTATGATCAGCCCACCACTTGGGTGTTGAGAGATGATATAACCAGTGGATATCGTATTAGTTGTAACTTCCGCATAACTCTTGATGATTGTGTCTTTGTTTTTTATAAGGGATTGCTTATTTGTCAGAATAAGTCGTTCTCTCAGTCTATTCACACTCAAAATACGACAATTCAGCTCGTCACCTAAAGGTATAAGAAATGAAAATGAAGTACTATGGAGAACACATTTGGAAGAACAACAATTTTAGCAAGTATTATCATTTCTAGAAATAACCACATCCTTAGCCTTCCACAAAATCGTAACCATTAAATACAGTGAAACAAGGTTTACATAACTTCACGCTTAGCGTTGCCTTTTCTAAAGAGTGACCTACGGTCATGAAGGTGAAGAAACTTCCAGTGTTCAACAACGTTACTAATGGATTGAAATGCAGATGACTGCCAATTCCGATGGTAACCAAGAGACAAATTAATCAGGTTTAATAAAAAAACCTAATAAACTTGGAAAAAATTTACCGACGACAAAATGTTTGTCAATTCGTGTGATCAACTTGTCAGAAAGATGAATTTTGGGTATAAATCCCGGGATCGAATTATATATTTTGACAAACAATCCTTTAGCTAGTACAGATTCCACTTTTGCGTTGACTTTTTCACCAGGAACAGCATCCTGCATGAATAGGATAAACAAATTAATCAAATAAGTTCATCAACACTTTTATCACAAAACAGTAAAGTGTGAAATGCACTGAATTCAAAATTTCAAAATAACATATGATAAACAAAACTGCAAACAAATAAGCAATGAGATGAATAACTATTAACTGTAACTGTGTGAAAGTCAAAGTACGTCTATCCATATCTCTGTTTAAGTTCAGAAAAACAATAATGACCCTTCCGTTTTGAAAAACAAACCTCAATAAGAAGATTATAAACTAATTAATATTAAGCAGTTGAAAAAAAAGCCTTACTTTTATGCAGACCATTCTTTGTGCTAAGATATCTTTCCGTGTCGCGACCATTAATATTTTTTCAATCATTTTAAATGATAGCACACGTGCTTGATGTATTGTCCCCTTCCTGTATTCAACACGATCTAAAATACTACTTAAGAAGTTTGATCACTATCAATTCCACATTAGTGGACAAATTAAAGAAACGACTGAATTTGAAATGCATTTATATGTTACCCAAACTACATCTATGCGAATACAATAAAAGTAGAGAATATCTGATTGAATAAAATAATCCTTCAACTCGAGGCTAGAACTGGTGCACTTTAGTTCAAAATTAAAAACTGAAGCTAATTCTTATAAAAACTTTGGAATGTTCATTAGAGGAGATACAATACATCCTGATAAATTTAACAGTCATTTTTAATTATTGCACTAGCCATATTTAAAAAATTAGGAAGAATCCGTAGAGAGGAAATAAAAAGATGCACGTAAACCTTCTAGTTCAGTTTTCCTCGCAAACGCTGCAACCAATGAATTTTTTTCATTTTCATGCAGTGACACATCAAAATTGACATTTCCATTCTTATCCACACTGCTTACTTTGCAGTCAATAATATCGCCAATGTGAATATTCTGAAAGTAAAAACAGGGAAAATGGAAAGCATTTGTAATGAAGCATTATGCCGCTTCACCAAGTAAACGAAATGAACTTGCTAAAAATTTTAGTCTTTAAATATTAAAATAAAATGAGTAGAAAACTGCTGGAGCCATTAAAAATCAAACAATTATTTTACCTAATACTCTTTTGAATTTAATTCACATAGAATAAGAAGCGGCAGAAAAAAAGAGTAACGATGAGCAGTGAAAAATAAGCAAAGTTAAAGCAAAACTGCCCGCCGAATATGCTTACCCAACGCCAACTGTTAATCATTATAGATGTAAACTAGTTATCAATGACAAAAGAAGTAACATACCTCAAAATTAGTTCGTTTTGCAAACTTACTAGCAGCAACAATATCTGGGTGTCCATTCAATGCTAACAAATTGCTATTTTGTTGGCAAAACATCACAATTGTTTTAAAAGACTTCAAACATTGGAATGGGTCGTTGCGATATCTCGGTGGTAAATGTTGCCTGCTCACATATCCCTTTATGTCTGAAATTATCAAAAAAAGAGAACTACTTTTAAAAAAGATAATCTCTTTGATTTTCCAAGGTATATCTAAAAAAACATCCCGAATAAAACTAATTGCGTCTTTTAAACAGATCTAGTTTCCGTAAGCAATCTTAAACTCAATTTTAACTTCGACATTTTGGTACAATCAATTCCAGCCTAGACAGATGCTTTTTTACAATCAATTCCAGCATAGACAGGTGCTTTTTACAAACACACTTATTTTTCCAGATTTTCCTACAACTTAACATATGTTGAAATATTTACCGCAAAAACTGTGATACGATCAAACTTAAAAAATCATCTCAAACAATAATGTTTACCATTCCCAATGTTGACATAAACACCGGTAGCAGTTGGCTGCAATGGATTTACTAAAAGTAAAGTTCCTGGCATTAAATCGTTAAGTTTAAGCTTTTTAATAGCAGCGTCACTTAAGCATTCCATTTCAGGGACCATAGATAAGCTGATGACTCGTGTTTTCTACAACAAAAAATACGTTAATTTAAATGGATTTTTGGAAATCTTTTAAAATAAGAGTTATTCCTCAAATTTTTCGGGAAATAAGAAAAGTTTTAAAAAATAGAAAAGGAATGAATTATAGTTCTAATACACACATCATCATTTAAAACTGAGAGATTAGTCTTACTTTATTTGATGAGTTTTCATTCTGTATTCGAAATAATAGAGGTTGTCCTTTTACTAAACTTTCTCTTTCAAAAGTAGGTGGTAAATGTTTTTCTGCTAGAAATCCTTTTAATTCAACCGACTGCAATCCAAGATTAATAATAACACCTGCAATATTTTCCTCATTAAGAATGTTGGAAACAGAAAAAAAGAAAAAATAACTAGCAAAACGAAAAACTAAATTTCAATTGTGAAATAGAGAACTTTTTGAAATTATACCTTTATCTTCTACACTTTCCACAATACCATTAAGCACAAGACCATTGATTAAAGCACCAGGATTGAGATGAAAATTGACAACTAATGGATCACAACTGACAACAGGGTATGAAACCTTTTTCCCTTTTTTCTGAACCTCTGGAAAATAAAAATCATTTAAATTTCCAGTTTTTTTTACTTATTTTACGTCATCTTCATATATAAATGCTTCATTTCTTTCATTTAATTGACTCCTCAAATGATTAAAGCATTTTGTTCAATTTAATCATTACAGTATCAAAGTTTTCAACGCCTTAAATTATAAACTTCAACTTCTAATAATTTTTTCATCTTAAAATTGTTTTGCTACTAATCTGGAGGAGAGTATGAGAAGTATGGTTATTCAGGACAAGTTGAGTTGCAAGCTAAACACGAAAGTATCTCCGTCAAAATATTCCTTCCCTCTACTCACTCGATTATTTGTAAAGGAATCACACCATTCAACTCCAAACAGAAGAATAGCATTTCCTATTACACGACAACTCTTAAGATCAAATTTTTCGGACATTAAATCTTTAAAAAAATTGAAAATTATAGAAGTACCATTAATCTCTCTGGCTTTGATGACTTTAAATGCCAACATTTGACCAACTTTGAAGATATCTTCGAGTGTAAGAGACGAATTTTTTAATGTTTCCATCATTAAGTTACCGAAATTCTGAACAGGTGCTTTGACAATTACACCATCTGAGCATTCCAGCAGTATTTCTGTCCCTTTTATCTAAATATAATCATTTATAGAAGAATTCAACAAAGAATTTTCTAACCTAATCGTTGAAATTATTTGTTTAACATCGAATCATAAAACAAAAAAACCAGCAATTCATCTCAAAAACTTACTTTCATAATTACACCCAATCCAAGCACTCCTTCAGTGAGAAAATTCGGGGTTATACGCTGATTCCATACACCATCATATTCACACTTCGGTTCACTTTTTATTGATCGCTGCTGAAAATGTTGACAATTTTGATGATTTTAACTACTTCATCTCTTTTAACTACTTTATATCTTTCTAAGCATTTCTTTGTAACTTGTTTATTAAAACAAATAAATAACAATAGTAATAATGTTTATTTTTTATTAATGTTTTTTTTGTAACACTATTAATATTGTCATTATCATTACTACTGTTATTGTTATTACAATCATTTATTACTAATCACCACGTGTCACTCAGAATTGTTATGGCATTCATCTACTTTGTCATTATTATTATTATTGTCATTATTATTATTATTATCTAACATTATTATCACCATTTTCGATATTGCCGTAGTTATCACTATCGGGTTATCATTACCAGTATCAATACAATTACTAGAACAGCTTTTGCATTGAAGAGTTCTATTATCGCTGCCATCATTAGCAATAATGTTGCTGATACTATTATCGTTATCACATTAAACATCATCCGATGTGAAAATATAACACAGACCAAGTGTTATATTACTTATATCTAAATATAACCATTTTGATTCCAACCAAAATTACCTTAACGTCTGTTGCCTCATCATCATCTGGGCATATCCCCCGACGTTTTCTGCCTACAGATAAGACTTCACGTGGGAAATCAATTTCCATTTTTGTTATTTCTCTGAAATATATGATCTTTATGTTTTCCATAATGGAACGACTTCCTGTTCCCTAAACTATTGTAAATAGAAATAACCTCACGTAGACCAAACTCACCTCTCGCAAGAAAAAAAAACAATGAGGCGCGTCAGGACATAACAGCATTTGCGTTAAATTATGATGAGTTTTATCCACCATCGTTAGGGAGGTGGTGAGTGTTTGGGGGAAATAGAGGTAAATGCTGTTAACTGGTCCATCCATTGGATGAGAACTGGGCTCCTAGACTAATATTTTTTTCAAGGTAAACTTGCTAGCCACCATACGCAACCAATCAAGGTAACGTAAGGAAAACTGGAAAACTGTCAAACTTAGTCTAGGAGCCCAGTTCTCATCCAATGGATGGACCAGGTCCTGAGACGCAGATCCAACTACGAGCTTTTTAACCGCAGCAATGACGATATACACTTTGAGAGCTGGAATTACCGCGGCTGCTAGCACCAGACTTGCCCTCTCATAGATCCTCGTTAACAGGTTTAAATTGTACCCATTCCGATGTTTTGTGTGGTATACGTGTTTGTTTATGTGTTGAGAGGTATGTTCCGAGATATGTTCTTTTAAGTGGGAATTACAATTTACCGTTATTACATAGAGCATTTAGAGCACGTACAGCATTTTTTATGTAAGATTCGTAGTGACCGATGATTAATATTTAATATTCCACTTATATGGTAGATCTTATTAAGCCATACTATTCAATTTGTTTCAATTTTTTTGTAGGATTCATAAATTGGTTATAAAATACGAATAGAATGAGTGCAAGAGATGCTCATTCCATGCAACAAGCGCGAAGTGTTGTAGAACAGCTACGTCGTGAACGTAACTTACGTCGTATGACAGTTTGTCAGACGGCCAATGATTTAATACGGTAAGATTACATTTTTTCAAAATTTGTATGATGTTCCAATGATTACATATTCATATTTTTGTGAATTATGCAAAAACCATCATATGGGATCTTTTTAGTATACGGTAGTATTCAGTTACGTTTGAGAAAATTTGGTTGGAAATCTACGTATAAAGTAGGAAGATAAAAAGATGAGGAATCAAACTTCCATCTTTTTGCGTGTTTTATTTGTCAATTTGCTGACTGCTAGACCATTTTTCTTTTAAAATATAGAGCACCAATGATTGCAATTCATGTTTTTTCGAAAATTTATTATTTCTTTTTTCAAATAAGGTACGGTTTAGCTGAACTTTGATATAATTCTCGAGCATACTGTTTTAGTCGAAAGAACTCTGACCCATAACTAGATAATTAAACTTGTTGTATTCTCTTGGGCGGATGTTTGACAGTAGAATTGAGGAAGAAATGTTTCTGTTTGGAAGAATTCCATGATTAATGAAAACAATATCTTGTATCCTAAGAGCAAGACATTTATTTTATTAATTCGTTGAAGTTTCAGGTATACACAAGATTGTCAAAGAGATGATATATTATTAACGGGCTTTCCGAATGATAAGATGAATCCATTCCGGCCTAAGAGCTCCTTCCAATGTTTACTACTTTAAGTTGAAGTTATCATCGAGTGCTGTGGAATGGACGATGCTGTGGAAGCACATTATTATAAAACATTGGCATTGTCTTTTCTCGCTGTATCTTAGCAAAATTATTTCAAAATTTTTTTTGATTGTAGGCGATAAATAAGGCGTTAGTCTGCAAAGAATTTGGATGTTTGAATAGTAAGAGATTCTGACAGCTTTGAGACAAATTTAAGTTTTGGAAAAGAACAAACTGAGATTTACCGTAGAGATGATATCTGTGTGCTTCTTTTAATTTCTTTTTCGCTCCGTCATTTTCCATCTCCTGTGGATGATTTCCATTTCAAACTTAATTTTTATAACTTTTAGAAGTAATTCTCTATTCCATCTCCACTTTTTCTCGCCTTATAAGCTTCATCAATGTGCTCTCTTCCCACATTTCATTGTAAAAGCTTTTTTGTGTTATGTAAAAATAGAATTTTTATAATTGTGGAGTAATGAAGCGCATCTGTTGAGCAGACTCATCATTGATTCAATGAGAAATTGTAGGTTCCTGAATTCTGTGCAGTATACTTTTGCACGCACTTTAGTGAATAACTCAGAGATTTATATCGTCATTATGATTAAGTAGTCTTAGATATGTTATCATTTAATCAATTAATTAAAATTATTCAGAATCCGAAATCTACCTTCGGCAGATTCTATGGCCTATTGTCCATCAGCGAATCTCAAATATTCACAATAAACAAGCAACTTATGGCCTATGTTCATGAGCTCCCTAGCTTTATCTCCTCGTCAATAAATATAAGTATGAAAAGCATTTCAAACGTCAATGTAAATTGTTTAAGTAATAGCATAAGAACATTTAACAGGAACTATCAGCCATTAGTTCATCGTATTCTTTCTTTTTCAATCTTCCTTTTTTTAATTTCTTCAGTAATGCGAAATCTGATCCGAGATCATCCATGTTCTCTTTGGTTTCGCTGTGTTGTCGCTTCCTCGTAGAATTTTTGGATGCTTGCCTGGTATCTAATCTTTTTTTCTGAGTTCTGACTGCCTGTAAGGAATTTGAGTCTAACTTCAGCAAAACAGTATAGAAGCACCCAGAAATGATTATAAAGTAACATTAATCTTTAGATCTTTAGTTTTTTGCAAACATCTATGTAACCAAAACTATTCTAAATTAGAGCGACCAACACATCTATGGTTTTAATGAGTCTCCGACCATATATGTGTTATAATTTCGAAATCGAAACATAAGAAATGGTATACATAACGGCACAATGCAATCTTCGTTAAAATTTGAAAGAAAGGGATTTTATTGAAATATTAGTTGGTATACCTTTTGCGTTGATTTGTCTTTGGTTTTCAGAAGCAGTAATTTTTCTTGCCTTCGCTTTTCTTTTTCGACATTTTTATAAGGTATTTCTGAAGTATTTAATTCAGAACGTTTAAATTCATTCAAATCGTTACGGTGAAATTCTTTCATGCGCGGAAGGCGCAGCAACCCATAAGCATGGCCATAACCAATAACATCCAAATCTGCAATTTACGGTCTCGAAAACTATTTCACATTTTCTTTGAAATCTAACTTTCAATTTTCTGCATTCTGTTATTACTTTGGCTAATAGTATCTCGTAAAAGATAAGTGGAGGAAAAAAAGCTTCATTACCTTTAGGAGAACACACTACGTTGCAATCATGATGTACATATGATTCAACGAATGACATAAACGCTCGAGTACCACACTCCAGGATTTCTCTGAACAAGTTTGATTAACTATTTAATGAGGCTTGACAAGTTTGAAAGTTAGCCCCATGTGATGTATTAGACTTTGTATACCAGTTTCTGTGTGATATAAGTGGCAACTATGTGTCTCGGTTAAATCATTACACACTCTAGCAATATTTTTGTCATAGTGGGCACGATATTGGCGGTAGGTACTGAGATGCAAAAACAATGAAGAATTTTTCAAATGAGCAAAAGACTCTTGAATGTAATTCGTAAGAATTAATACCGCTCTTTTGAAGCCATTTCAACAATATGTTGCCTTATTTGTTCCGCTCCATCATCGTTTTTCTTCAGGTTTGCTTTCATTTTAATCAACGAAACTTTCTCATATTTTTCAATAAATTCGATATAAGCCGTTTCTTCCGGTGTAAGGAACAATACATTATTTCCCACTTCACCACACCTTGCACTCCTACCAGCGCGATGGACAAACCAACTGGAAGATTCAGTAGTAGTTCTTAATTTTATAAAGAATATTTAAGACCTTTTCCTTACTATTACATGAGATCCCATCTTGAAGTTTATATGACTAAAAAAAACAGTATGGTTTTTCCTGGCTCTCTTGATATGTGTTTTTTTTTTCTTGTATATATTACACATTAATCATTTCTACGCGAAGCATTTCTTTCATGTTAAGTATGAATAATAGCATTCAACATTTTACTTTAATTTCACTTAACGTAGTAACACAAAAATAAGTGCTTGGAGAGATTATTAATCCTAATTTTCTACTGGATGAGGAATAAACATGGTCAAAGCAAACAACAAAATGAAAGAAAACCTTGTTTGCTTTGGTACGTCAAACTGCACGACCCAATCGATATTATCAACATCGATACCTCGAGAGAGCACATCTGTACACAACATCAATGATTTGCCAGTTCTTCGAAAATTTCGCAGCTATAATTGGAATAAATTAGTCACAATTTGAATAGATGAATTTGAAATCTTAAAAGTTCCAAATTTTCGGGTTATCCCATAAAACAATGCATCTACTGTAATTAGTCGCTTTATAGAGCGTGAATTATATATATCTCTAAAATGTAACTTAACTTGAATTAAAAGAAAATAGTAAGTAAAATGTTGAGGTCCAAAAAACCATGCCTGATTTTCTGCTTTCTTTCTTTTTTTTCCATGCAAAGTAAATATTTGCCTTTTTTGGATAAAACTCTTCAATACTATCTCCATGTATTCGACACATTGACAGGTCGAGAAAAAGATTAGTATTTTAGATTTCGGATGATTTCGAATAAATTCTATCAAAAGATACAATTTCTGATCAGCTTTCACTACCTAAACGCCTTGAATTTAAACACAAAACAAATTTGAGTTCCGATTAAAAATTTCAATTAAAACTCGAGAAAAAAGAAACAGGAAATTGGAAATTTCCAGGAAAAGTAGTGAGTGGTCAATTACAATATCATGAAAAAAGAAGTTTGAGGCTTTTAAGCATTATAAAGAAAACGCATCGTTCGGATTTAAAAAATCCTTTTAAAGCCCATTAGAGGAAAAGAATTGCTTTCATCTTCCTGTGATTGCAGATATATTTCATAGCGAGCAAATTAACTTGCTTTAGAAAAAGTTTATAAATTTCAAATTTAGAAACAATTGGAGCTAAATTGAAAAAAACACACCACATAGAAGTTATTTAGAGTATTTGGTGATACTGTCTCCACCGAATCAACCGAATCAAGTACCGCACCACAATTTGCAATTGTGATTTGTATGGGATTTCTATAAAAATTCAGGAATTCAACTTCATATCCAAACATAGAATGTGCTAGCAATTTAAATTGATATCCGATACTTGATGATTTGAAAATATTATTGAAATGAATAACCTTAATCCGAACTTCACGATTTCTTCCATTTCTTTGGCCTGTGTTGCAGAGAACAAACCAGTCCGCCTCTGTTTGGGTAGCGATTGTAGAATTTCAGTCATGCTAAAATGACATGTACAATTACTAAATGGGTCAATGCATGCTGTTACAATTGAAAGTATGCTGCAAGCTTTAGCAAGCATTTTGATCAGTAAGACTGCCAAACTTTTTGCTTACCTGGCTTTGAAACTTGAATCTGTATATCGATCCGCTTCATCAATAATCAATATTTCAAGAGCTTTTAAAGCTTTTTTGAAATCTGAATTACACGATATTAACGACTGCAATCTTCCAGGAGTAGCTATTATTACTGCAGCGCTAAAAATTTAAACCTTTTTGTAGAATAAATAATGACTGCATCCTATAAATTATTCAGATATTTTGAAAGCATAAAGCAAATCTAATTTGCTTCCGTTGCAATTTCTAATAAAGAAAGTTAAATGAAAAATTACAACTTCAAACTCAAAATTCCCAGTGACTATAATAATACCGCCAATCATGCTTACTTGCATTAGACGAAGAATAATGAGAATAAAACAAACTTTAAAGAGGGGACTGTTTTTGAGTTGTATTTCCCTTTTTTCCCACCAATCAACACACGCATGCTGAGGGAAAGTGCATTCCCAAACAATTTACAGACTGCACCAACTTGTTTTGCTAATTCTCGACTTGGAACAATAATAACTGCACCTATTTCATTCTTTGTCCAAATCTGCAACACAATATCATGCAAAAAGTAATTCGACAAAAGCGCATAATCCTTAATAAGTTTATCGCTTTAAAATCATATAAACTCTGCAATTCTACAATAACTCTCCATATCAATACAATAACAATAGATGTATCAGCAGTATATAGCGACCATAACATTACCAACATCAAAGCACTACCTTTTTTTTCTTCATTAAAATAGTGAACAGTGGTAAAATATAAGCGAGGGTTTTTCCGGAACCAGTTGGTGCTTGCACAATAACATCTTGAAACATCAACAAACGCTGTATGGTTTGTTCCTAAAAATACACAATACTTTACATAACAATATATTTCAAAAAACCATTTAGATTTATATGGACAAACGACTCCTTAGAAATACCATTTGATAACTTTATCTAATACATTTTCATAATCTTTTCTATTTGTTACCAGAACTGCAATCCATAGTAAAAAAAGCTCTGCAGTACTCCAATGCAAATATTAGTTGTATTTCCATCCCTCTGGCTTTGGTTAGTAAGTTTAATTAATTGATCAGCTAGTACAAACGCATAATTTCTATGCCCGGATATTATTAATCTATCAACTTCAAATGTTTGGCTTTTTGAAGCTTTTTGAAGAGTGTTCAGCTTTTTAAAAAATAACAATGAGATGAGTACACATGTGATCATTCCTGAAGAAAGTACAAATATTACTGAAAAAAAAATCGCTTGTGAGATTATGTCCTCAGTCACCCCTGCAAAAATCGATAAAAAACAGCCTGTTTTCAGAAATTTAGCTGCAGTTATAAAAATATGTTATTATTGTTGGAAAAGAAAGAACAAGATTTGACACACTTCACTTTATCCAATTCTGCATAAATTTTTTAAAAAATATTTAGCACTAAATTATTGTTTACAAATAAAGATCAAAATATTTTTTTGTTTCAGCACTTTTTACTTGCTGTAACAGCTTCATCAGCTTACAAAAGAAACAATCAAACGTTGAAATGAAGTTGAAATTGTCATATTATTAATTCTAAAAAAAAAATCAGATCAATTGACTTAATTAAGCGGAATTCAAAAGAAACAAATGTGAAACATACCTAGACTATCAAAAAAACAGAATTACTGAAATTATTCAGATTAAACAATGCAATTCGTCAATATATTATGGTAAATAACATACATCACAAATTCTCACCGAGAAAATAATCATTGAAAATTCAACGGTTTATTGAAACTTAAGTACGTATTTGTAACATCCTAAACAATATTACTTAAACTTTGTCGGCTGGACAGTTTTTACTAAATGATGAGCGATTCACACTGATCTTACTGCTGGTTAAACCGATAATGATAACGTGTCTCTTTTCCCTCAATTATACAAACATCCCAAATTTTGGAAGCCGAAAGAACATCAACCGTTATTTCGATTCCATGGAAAACGAAAAGGATTTGCTGGCCGTGCATCACGCCATTCACGGTTTACATTTAGTGGATATTCACGAATCCGTACGCCAACCACTTTAGCCAGAAAGAATGCAATCAGGAAGGATGATATGACAACGATGAATGCAAACACATAGAATGTCTCCTGAACGATGATGCGTTAAATTTTAACATGTAATTTTCCAGAACGATACGTCAAATTGCTCGATGGTAGCAAAGTTTTCATTCGTAATATTATGGATTTTAATTACAAGGAGCAGCATCTTCATGAAAACTTATACAGTTGGTCTTAAAACAAAGTTGCAAAAGCCGTCAAGAACCAAGTATTTCACTGCTATATAATTCAATAAATATAATATCTTATTAATAAATAAATTTTAAAGGGTCGCTCAACAATATCTTATGCTGCCACGGTGTTTTAAGAAATTCAGTTTGAAAATCTTCCAACATAATACAATACATCACACAGATACTCACAGCTCACCTCATCAAATAGTTCATTGAAGGTTGGTATCATTTGGTTGGCCGTATGAATTAATTCCAAGACCCACGATTTTTTGCCTTTACGTCCGCCCGACATATAATAATCACCCCATCGATAATCACTGTGTTCGCGCATCTTTTGACACTCAAGTACCCAATAATCACTGAAGGACAAATCTATTCTCATTTAACTCAGAGATCAGAAATCAGATTTAAGCTTGTTTCAAGCAGGGGCTTAAAGAGCTTTTTTGTTAAATGTCCAAAAATTGAAGCAAATGCCTAAATCTATCAAAACACATATCAAAAAATGAGTTCATGAGAAGAAATTGACAAAAATAAAAGAAGTCGATAAAAGAGAAAAGCTACAGAAAGGTGGAAATATATACAATAATAACCACATGCGCAACGAAAACATGACAATCGTGCAAATCTTAATCAAATCGGTAATATTAAAACGATAGATTCTTCCAAGACTTAAATTTTTTATGGATTTTAATTTAAAAAGCTAAAAAATTCAATGAGTTCAATGACGATATTTAAATTATGTAGAATGTTAACAAGTCAACATTCCGATTATTATTCAGCATAGCGTAGAAGATGGAGTTATTCCATAGGAACCCTAAGCGGGACTTAGGATTGCTAGATTGAAGCCAAGCTGTCTCGATCTAGTTATATATGGTTAATATTCATCGATCTTAACCGAAAAAGCCGGAGCATCCTCCTTATAACTTAGATCTCATTAAGCGTATTTTCCGTTGAAGTTTTAGGCAAATTTTTCATCAAATCAGACATCAAAAAAATTTTGTTAAGTAATATTCTTTAAAGTTGAGCCACAGTCTACTGAGAATAGCTTGAAACATTGGATATGAATCAACAAGCAGAGTCCTCAAAGAAAGACTTTATGATTGAAATTACTGAACTAAATCTGAGCTTTATATTTTCATTAAAAATGATTTGATACTGGCATTATGAAACTTCCGGATACCATTCCAAAGTTATCATATATCCAGAAACAAGCGTTACTCCGCTACTGAGATGTAATGGTAAAATTATTTATTCGAAATCCAAAAATTGAAATCAATACCTGAACTGATGTGAATCGTTTGAATGCAAGTTTATCGGTAAATACAGTCAAAATTTCATCGGGTAACAGTAACTGCAACCTCTCACTAGCGCCTTGCATCGAAAATATTCCTTAAAATTGCTAATGATTGAAATACAACAATAATTCAATGGCAACAAATACATATAAATACCAAAGAATAAAATTCAATAATTCAATAATAAGTCTATAAAGTAGTCCTTCGAAATGATGAAACATCTGAAATATCAAAATGTCACTGTCTGATGAATGTTGAAGTTGAAGTTAAATCAAGGACACTTTCGCACTGTAATTATCTTAATCCTCTCATAGTAACTCATCAATAGATCGAAAATTTTACTGAAAATTTGTAACTAAATTTAACCAAACAAAATTTAACACATAACCGATTCTCCTATATATTCCCTAAAAAGTCTTGACATGCCAAAAATTTCAAATTAAACGCACGAATTTTGACGGACCAGTGTCCTGCATCAATTTTAATTGAAGATATTTTTGAAATGCTTTTGTCTCACGACAGAGTTGCATTACGAAACGCTAAATGTAAAAAACGCACATAAACGTATGAGCGAGAAAGGTTTGATTCGCAAAAGATGCACATGACCTGATAATGCGTGATATGTGAATACTTTAAACTAGGAGGGTCACGTTACGTCATAACTTTAGCTATCAATAATTTAAAATACTTCAAATTCCTGTTTTTGACAGAATGATGTGGAAGTTCTCTGAAAAAAGTGAGAAATTACACAAATGTGGTATCTATCAGCGATAGTTTTTTATTGTCCTTCGAATATAGGATTAAAGCTAATTATAGCTAATTTAATTATATTTAAATGTGGAAGCTAATTATATTTTAAGATTAAAGCTAATTATATTTTAAGGTTGCGAAAATGTGTAAGAGAGTGATCCTAAACTCTTCTAAGTCCCAGATAAATAAAATCAACACTAATTATGGTTTCAATAATCAATTAAAAAACCAGTCCATTAATATTTTTTCAGGTCGCATATGTTACGTGGAAGGAACCGAAAGGGATCGAAAGAGGCATGCTTGTTTCGATGCTGTTTTGCTTGCACTCAAGGCATGGTTATAATGCAGTGATTTTCAAATTTCAAACATATTTTTGTTAAATCAGCATTGAAATTTTATCCTTAGGATAGCATATACGTTCGATTAATGTTGTAGGACAAATATGTATGAATGTATCTAAAGAGCTAGATTGGGCAGTGATGCATGTTGTTAATATCTAGAGATGCAAGCAAACACTTCATTTAATAAAGATATAAACAAATCCGGTCCCACGTGAATATCATAAGAAAATCGTAAATATTAGCCATCAGGTTATTCAATCTAATAGACTATTGGAATGCTGAATTTGTTTGAATTTTAGTAACATTTATTCATATCCGATTTAATAGCATAAGCATTATTTCTGGAGTTTGACCGATCAAGAAAACTTAGGATTATTATGACTAAACAGAAAACTTAGCATTACCAGTGTTTTGAAAACTTATCCTATGAGGTATTGTTAAACTGTAGTGGTTTGGAAAAGGTTCCATTTATTAGTATGAAATTGTTTTATACATTTTTAGCAGTAAATTAAATGCAATAGCTTTATATACCTATGTGTATGGGTATATATATTAAGATCGATAGAGAGGCAAAATTAGTATTACAAAGATTTCTTTCCAATTATAAATCAAAAATTTCATAGTTTGCAGATCAGAAATGTTAAAAGACAAAATGGCAAGGGATTGAGAGCTTCAAAAGTATTGGGTGTTTCCAATACAAATCTGAGAATGCGAAAATTGTGGTTAAAAGAACTGAAGCTCAGAAAAGTGAAGATTATCTACAAATGGCAGAAAATCAAGCATGGAGGTAAAGAACAAGATATTTTGCATTTTCCGGATTAGAAAACCCGCCAATGTTGATACAGCTCGATCTATTATTCCACGGAAATTAAGTTCTTCATTTATTTAATTTTATAAGTCAATATTTAATAAAACCAACAAAATAAATTGTTTTCGTCAAAACATATAGGATGTGTCAAGAATCATCGTCAGGATTGATCTTATGTTAAAATTAATTCAGTAATTAAACTTACACTATGTATTCCCCGTAATGATTCCAGTGGTAACCTTTTTCCTCTTTACTCTCCAGCAATCTTTGTTTGCAGCATTTTTTTCTTTTTTATTGTTAGTCAATATTTCTATCAATACAACATGTAACAATTGGAAGGTAAGGACCAAAGCAGTAATTCGCTTAGTCGTAAGTGTTGTAGGCCATTTGTATTTTCAAGAAAGTTTCCAAGTATTTTTAATACTTCTAACATTGCTTATAAAAAGTTTATTCTCATTATAAATGGTCTCCGATAAGTGATTTGAGGAAATCAATTCAAGTCTTAACCCGATCAAGACATTAATCATTTTTATTAGTAATGATTATTACGTCGAGTGTCTAAGCGGTTACTTAAAGTATAAAAATTCTGCCTTGTACAAATAAAATGAGCTATGACTACTTAATTTCCCGGACTTCTATCGATGATGTGTTAGATCGGTATACATTTAAACTCTTTTTTAAGTTATGCATAGCTTTTCAGGAATTACTTTCGTAGATTGGATTTCCTTAGAATTGAATACTGTGCAGCTTGGTTGAATTCCGAAAGATATCGCTGGGCGGTTGGCATATTCGAATTCCAGTATCGCAACCTCGCCTTGATATTGTATTAGCTGTCGGTCATTGTTGGTGGAGCAAAACGTCGTTCAAATTAGCCATTCTTATTGTCCGTACATCGTTCAGCATTGTTTATGAAAAACTATCACAATCATGCCATTTTTCGGGTGAGATCAATTTCAATCCTTAGGCTTACTTCAGGCAGGTTTTTTTCTTTTTAAAATATCTTTTGTTTACTTTGGGTATAAAAACATTTATCTGTGTAATAGTACGCGTATTATAGCGTGAGATGAAAACGAATTGTTCTTGTTGTTTGCTACTGCCTGTTTATTCGCATGGTTCTTATAAGAGTTATGCAAGAGTTTTTTTAAGAATTACGCAAGAATATTTTATTTGCTCAACTGAAGCGAATTTAGAAGTCGGGCAAATTGAAACATAATTTTTAATATTTTAAATGAAATATTACGAAATAACTCCATGTTTTTCCTAAAGAATATTTTTAATTGAAGTGAAAGCCACTTTTTATTAGTAGCAGAAAATTTTTACTTGGTAGGGTTTATAACAAAGTGAACAAACTATACTTTTAACAATTAAAAGCTGTTCTACATAGTTAGAAATGAGTGAAAAGTTAGCGGGAATCAGCTGGTTGTAAACTGAGAGTTCAACCATAGAAAAGACCAGTCAGTGATAGTGGTATTATTTCACCACTGGGTTGTGGGTCTGCACCATGACGAAATCCTAAAAGTTTATAATAGCTGAATTCGGTTCCACTTTTACAATACAAAAGTTTTATGTTATGTCGTCTTAAGAGATACAAATTATATAGCTAGTAAAATACGAAAATATACGATAATACGAAACGATACGAAAATCTAAATCAAATTTTAATCATGCTTTATATATTAAGTATAAAACGCTCTCCCAATCTCGTTTTTGGCGAAAATTATCCAGATTACCCCATACCATTCACGTTAATTTCATCTTTAAATTGTTTGGGATAAAATTCCTCAAAAAATATAATTCAAAGGATTTACCTAAGTATACAATGAAAGGAACACTTCCCCACTGCACAGAAATCCGGAAAATGTTGGCCATTTGTCGTATTAAATTCTGTTGTGCTGATGATAATTTCATTGTTTCCAGTTCTTTATAACTTTCACATATAACGTTAACGCCTGCTTCTGTAACAAATGATTATCCACTGATAAATAACTGATTTAAAACTCTGGTCAAAATGTTCAAACATAAATACTACAGCATTAATGTTATCTACCATACCAATCGTGTCATCATTCAATACAGTACGTGATCAGAACACGGAGCGAAGAATGTGAAATTCATTTACACACTAACCATCAAATTACACTGTTCAATTTAGGCTACCAATAATTCAGTTTGATATATTTTTCTATAGCTAGACCGGACCTTTCAAGCTATCAGTGTATCTTGATATTAATCTCCTATTCTGTGATCCAGTACATGTTAAACTTAGCAAAAGTCATCTGAAAAGATTTAAATTTCTCAGCCACTTAGCTACTCATTTTCCATCAATTTTATATCAGAAAATCACCTGAAAAAAAAAACAATCCTGGAGTTAAGATGGCTCATGCAAATGAAAACTGCTCAGAAATCAAAGTTTTTCTCAAACAATCAGAAATTACAAATTAATGTAAAAAGTCGAAATAAATAAGGTAAAGATAGCAACGAATACCATACGAACAATCGGTGTGATGTTATAACAAATGTCTTTATTCGAGGATTTATTTTTAAATGAAAATTGTCAGCAAAAAATGGCAATCTTTGGCAGATACGTTATAAAAGTAATGCATGGTGATTTATAATGAAAAAAAATTATTAATATTAATTAATAAACGCCATAAATAATATGTTTCTCATTTCTTTCTTACAAAAAAAAAAACTCATTTCTTTCTTACATGAAACGGAAACCTAACACAAAGAATTGCAGCAGTTTCTGCCTCGTTTAATCCTAGACTTCCTTAATGTTTTCTTCCAAAAATGTCATAATTCTTCAATAGTTATTACATCTACTCAGCTGCTAAATGAAGCTTTACATTCTCACTTAAAATAGAACCTCCAGCATTTTTGAAGACATCCTTGTGACTACAATAATCCTCCAAAAATGATAGGAACCCATGAAACCACGAGATTTTAGCTTGAAATCTTTGACTCATTTTACTTACTATAATAGAGCAGCTATCTTTTCTGATCTTTTAGTAATACAGATATCAGTATAAATTATATCATACGCAATTAAAACAAGCAAGCAATTAGAAAATTTTCAAATATAAATTTCGAAATCAAGCCTGGCAATGGTGTAAAAAGTCTGCATGCCTTTTTTACGAGCCCAACCACCATTTGCAAATTTGCCCTCCCCCTGTAATTTCATCATTTCTTCGCTGGAAACTGGACCAATAATTTCCGCATTTTCGTCATTTGATAATTTATATTCCCATACCACAGCATTACTAGTGGACCTTCCAGTTTCGTCGGTTTGCTTGCTTTCTCCTGCAAAACAAAAAGTTTCTGACAATTGCTCAATGAATTTCTGGTTCTCTGTTCATCTTAACCAATACTTGTCTATTCTGTGATACAACTCCTGGTTGCAGATCAAGCATAGCCACATTACTGTCCTCCACTAAGGAATTCATAATACAAGCAATAGGTCCTACATTTACATTTTCCCCCAGTAAAGTGGCAAATGCGAACCAAGCTCTCAAGAAAGCTAAAAGCAAATAATCAAAATTGCTTAATGAGTGGATATTTTGACTTTCCTTCTTATTATAATAACCAAAATCGTTCAGCCATTCGATGTAATGCGTTTTTTTAGAGTGTTGGCTAAACTTATCCACACATTAAACGCCATATATACTTAATTTTGGAGAAAGGCAAGCAGCATCTCCAACTTCGATGAAATTATAAGATAAATGTATACAGTGCAGGTTTTTTGATGAAAAGAACCTTTGGTAGAGAAGGTGGGTGCTTCACTCGAAAACATATCCAAGACATCAACAGCTTTACTTTGCAATTCTTGGATCATATATTGAACCTTCTCCAGCGTGTACTGATAAGCTTCCATTTCACCATTTGATACTAGGGTATCAGCTAAACCCGTCAACTCTTTTACCACGAAGTTTTTTTCGTCAACATATTCCTTACCAGCTTTCTTTGCTGCCCATCTTTTCTTTCGTTCTTCTGCCGCACTTAAACCTAAACAATACTATCAACTACAATGACAAAATTCGAAGTATAAACAAAGATTAAGGAAATTTTCGGTCATAAATCTTAATCATTTAATAATGTAATTTATATGACTTACAACTAAATGGAAAAAAAAGGACACTTTTCTAACATGAATTTCCCATTAAAATAAACGAATTAGACGCTCACCTTTTTCTTTTCCAAACCTTGCTAACGCTTGTTCAATTGTTTCATTTGATTTTAACATCGAAACAATTTTTTCATATATACTTTTAAGTTCACTATCACCGAGATTTTTTGTTGTTGAGCTGTCTTCTTCCTCAAAAAAAGCTTCAAAGTTAATTCAAATTGTTGACTCAAAAGTTTTCGTTGTGAATGCAAAAAAAAAACTTTCCCTTTGGAAGTGTAACACGGTACAATTACCGACTTATCATCACAAGCCATAGCACTAAGCAGTAACAAAAAACCGTTTACAGATGTGGGGCATGAGAATTCCGAATAATAAAAAACTCAGTTTTGTGTTTCTTCTAAAAACAAAGATTATGAATGAAGAAAAGTACATTTTTCTTATGCCACTGATTTCCTGCATTTGCTTTTACGTTTGCCCAGTCGACATTATCCAACCAAGCGTCTTTTATTTCGCTTTCCTTCTAAAAATAAGGATTGAGAGATTTTAGAACTCAAGAAAATATAAAATCAAATCTTAGTTTATTTAATTCAAAGTGTACCAATCCCAGAAATTATGAAAAAATTGATTTAACTAACTTTGTTAAAGATGAAATTCCCAGCAGTATCGAAATGTCCCTCTTCCAAATCTTCTTTCATATTGAAAGCCATAATTTTTGTGTTACCTTCATATTCCTGACATGCTTCTTCTTGTCCATCAATCTAAAATAGTTTTCACATAAAAACTGCTAATTACATCTTCAAAAAGAACTACGTCACAACATAGTTCAAAAATGAACCCTCATAAAGAACTACGTTACTACCATGAATCCTACCGTGCTTTATAGATAACCAAATAACAAATAACGCTATAAAAATGCTTACACACGTCAATGTAAAAAAAAATGAATATCTCGGATTCGATGAGCAAGAAGGGAACAGCCAATGAAATGCCTCAAACTAAGAAGACACAAAGAAAATAAATGCAGAATTATAGAATATTCGATGAACTACTTGAGTACTCCGAAAACGGGTATCAGTTGCGAAAATCGTAATTAGTAATGAACTAAATAGAAAAAGATTAGGTTGTTGGATTAGGTTTATAAACCAATGCTCGTTATGCAAATAAACAAATAAGCTCTGATTCAACTCTTTTCGAATCCCGTAATTTTGACTTATAAAATATTTAAAAAAAAAAGGAAAAACTAAAATAAAGCAACAAACTTTGTCTACATCCAGCTTTTTATATTTCACTTCTTCCTCTTCATCACTATCCAGAGTATGCTTCGACTGGTAATCCTTCCTTATATCTTCTCCGTTTTCCTCTTCATCTGAATTTTTCTCCTCCTCGTCGTTCTGATAACGAGCATATTTCTCACGACTATGCTCCAAGGCTCCTTCATCAGTTAGCTCGTCTACTTCTGAGAGTCGCAACTTGGATTTCGCCATTGCTTTTCACTTTCTCTGAAAGAAAAAAGTCAAGATATTCAATCAGATTCTCTTTTAGTGAAGCAAAAGCGCTCGAACACCATGCCCTTGAACCATTCTGCCAATACAGATTCCAATTCTTTCCATTTTTAAAATAAAATCTGGCAATAAAAAACTTCGCGAAATCAATATATTTAAGTCTTGTAAACACCTAATGCCTTCAATACCAAATTTAAAAGATTGAGATCAAACAGGAATTACAATGATAATATGGCATAATATATGTATCCTTACCAAGATAAGTTATTACCTTAATGATCTTATTCTTATTTCAAGAAACTTAAATTACTACATGTGATCTTATAATAGCAGTAATTTGGACAAAAATTCATCCAGTAATTATTAAAGTGAAACATGTGTACAGATAAAATTCGGCAAACAGACAATAAGCTAAGTAATGAATGAAATAATAGAAAGGTGCATATACGGCCACGATCAGACCTTTCTTTCACTTGCTACACAAACCTTTGGACAGACATAATACACTTCACTTATTATCTTAACAATCTCCCAAATTCAAAGAAAAAGGTGAAAGCAATCTCAAGAAATGAATAAACTCATAGATAATTGAACGAATGGATACGACTACATCTTTTGCTTTGATAAACTTACAGAGAAACATGACACAATATTGCTGCGGAAATGACACATCATTGCTGTGGGAATTAAAACCTATAAACTCAAAGAAAAGAAGGACGCAGCGGAACAGCAACATTTGCGAAACGTCCCGACCGCTGCATACCGTTTGTTCGATGTTTAGCATAAAGGTTGCATGTGGTCGAATGATCGGTATGCTTTGTCCAACGGGGGTGTGGTGTCGTGTTGTGTTGTCACTTGGGGACGGGGTAGGTTTATTGGTGTGTTATTGTCAGTGGTTGTCATTTGTTGTTACTACTTATCATCGTTTATCACCAATCTATTACTTATTCTCTTTTCTATTAATGGGTATTGTTTCCAACTATTCGAAAATTTCAAATTTAGTATTACAGGTATTTTTAATGCCATAGGTTAAGTAATTTGGGATCTAAAAGGTAATTTCAGTCTTTTAAAATGAGTAGCATTTGTACTCAAGGTGAAGATTCGAACAACGCAAGCCAAGTGATTTTAATATTGAAGCCAAGTAATTTAACTTTCATAGGTTAGATGGATATGATGAATAAATTTAGTGCTGAAGGCCAAATGATTTCAGTAAGGTCAAATAGTTTTGACGCAGTTTAAGTAATTCCAATATCACCGAATAAATAATTTTAAAGTACTATGGGATGCGAGTACCGCATGATTTTAATTTCACGGATTAAATTGTTTGTAATGTCAGTCTTTGATCTAGCTAAAGAATCACTCTTCGTATTGTTCACTAATTTCTATTAGGATAATTCTGTTTTAGCAGTCTTGAGATATAAAAATGATGCCTATGTGGTGAATCGTTCATTTCATTACTTCATTTTGTGCGTATTAAACGTATTAAACATTGTTACCTGACTATTATCATGAGCGTAGTAAGTCGTAATTAAGAATTGCCGGTATTTTTGTGAATCCTGCAAACGATCTTTAGTGGTCATTCATTATTTCCCTATTATCTGTATGAAATTCATCAACGGTTATAATCATCTAGAACCTGTACAAAGTTTTGGATACCTTTGGTAATTTCTAGTTCATAACCTTATTTCAGCTTCTGAATACGAAGCATTTATAATTAATACAAGTATCACTGAAGATGGGAAACATCTTCACTAATCTCTTCAAAGGCCTCTTTGGCAAGAAGGTGAGAGACTTCATTTTTTGACTTAGACAAAGGCCTACTATTAAGTTTATCGAAAAATCAAGAGTGCTTTTGAAGGTAAAGTCCTTATCACTTGTTGCCGGTCTATCGTGTAAAAGAGTTGACGGGTATAGGATCTGTGTTAAGATAGACGAAGGCATTTAACCTTGAATTAAATTTCTGTTGTGTTTGGTGAAATCAAACTTTAATTTGTTCCAGGAAATGCGAATTTTAATGGTTGGTTTGGATGCAGCTGGCAAGACTACAATTCTGTATAAATTGAAACTTGGAGAAATTGTTACAACAATTCCTACAATTGGTTGGTCGTGTTAACACTGCTACGCAAAAAAATGGAATTTATATATTTTTTACTGACTAGCTGGACAAAACAGCGGTCATCATCCTAAACCTTTTTTGAGTATTTATTTATGGTTATGTTATACTCAGAACTGTTCTATCTTTGAGATGATTTAGTGGACCTTGTGCTAATAATTTTTTCTCTGGGATTTCAATCAAGTTCTCGGCTGGCTGTTGACATGTTTTCTGATTAACTCTTTGACGGAAAATGGTGTTTCATTCCAGGGTTCAATGTTGAAACAGTAGAATATAAAAATATATCATTCACAGTATGGGATGTTGGTGGTCAGGACAAAATACGACCTTTATGGAGACATTATTTCCAGAATACTCAGGGTAAATTTGTTATTTCAGTTAGCTAGGTAATTAAACGAAAATTTTGTGAACATATTGGTTTCCTTCTGAAATCAGGTTGCCTTTAAACCATCCAATAACTAATCTCGTTTGGTCTCATGTTGATTGAAACATTTTGTATAAAGGGATACAGCTATGATGAAAAACTGTTGCAGGTCTCATATTTGTTGTGGACAGCAATGACCGCGAGCGGGTAGGTGAGGCTCGAGAAGAGCTAATGCGAATGTTGGCCGAGGATGAATTGCGAGATGCCGTCTTGCTTGTTTTTGCTAATAAACAAGTGATTTATTTACACATGCTTCATAATGATCTCCTTTGTATGATTAGCACATGATGAATAGTTGTCTCAGAATCAATATGAAGCAAACAAAGTTTAAGGAAAAAGAGTTACAAAAGACAAAATATTGCTGATAAGGGCCTCAGAGTATAAAAGGACACAGAATGCATGTGAAATTGAGAACAATCATCAGATCAAATGACTCATTCGTCAAAATGCAAGAAATTTCGTCATGCTTGTCACATGCATTTATCTGAATATATAATGCAACTAGTTTGCAACAGCTTCATCTAATTTCTAGAATTTCATTAACATTGATGGCGCTGTACTAGTGTCGTAATATTTATAACAGATATTATTTGTCCAGGGGAAACTTGAGTTTCTCATTCCTGTTTATGCAAGACGTAATTTTCTGAAGACAAATATATTTACAGGATCTACCGAATGCGATGAATGCGGCGGAAGTAACTGATAAGCTTGGTTTGCACACACTTCGCAATCGCAATTGGTATATCCAAGCAACATGTGCGACGTCTGGTGATGGTCTTTATGAAGGACTTGATTGGCTGAGCAATCAGTTGAAGAATAGATCCTGAAATTTGAGAACTGTATACAATTTTTTATGCTCGTCATTTGACATTCTCCCAAAAATGCTGCTCGTAGCGAAATTATATTTCAAGCTGTTTTAGGTTCTGTTTTACTACATTTTCATGTCCATTGTTTATACCAATCCAAATTGCGTCGAAAATTTTTTCCGACCTCCGTTTTCATTTCATACATAGCTCTTATTTTTTTCGTTTTAGAGCTTTTTTTATATGAATTTAATTGAGAAGAACATGAAATAGTTTGCTCACAAACTGACTCACTATGCAGAGTGAAAAACGATGTTAAAATATGACATATATTTGAGGCCTTTATAACAGTTATAGAAATTTTAAATAAAATTTCCTTGATCTTCAATTCACTCTCGTCCCCGTCATTTATTATGCACCAATCCATCGTTTAATTTAACGTTTAATATTTTCGTTTCGAAATTTTAGGTGAAAGATCATGCGCAGTATAGCTGGATTTCAATGTTGTGATAATTATGTTTATGTAACACAGACGATTGTTTAATTTTCCTGAAATTTCATTGCAAATATTTTTCTTCTTTTTGACGACAATGTTGTGGCTATTTCAATCAAACAGTTGAAGTAAAAGTCAATCACTTCTTTCTTTCCAGAGATTTCTGCAGAGTATTGTAAAACTATTTAGATCCTTTTTTCTTGCTTTCAATCCCACTCATCATGTTACTTGAGACACATACGTCGCGCGGTATAATTGACCCTTTCAATGGCTCAAATTTATGCGTGCGTGAAATTCTTAACTGCATATTAGATGTTTCTAGAACATCAGCTTGTTAAAAAGGTGAATATCATTCTCATCTAATTTTTCTGACTTTTCGCAGAAAGACGGAATGCTGTGGAGCGATATGAGCACATTGATATCATTATCTATCCCTCCCTTTTTCATTATCACATATTAGGAACTTCTGCAATATGTTCGTTCTTTAAAAGTAATCAGCGTTATTTGCTTTTTGTATTGCTGCTATTTGCTATTCTCGTTATCTTTCCTTCCTGTTCCAGTTTTCTGTTTCCTCTTTTGTTTTGAGTATGTAACCATCGGAATGGTACACAAATTTACATTCGTGATGACACATCTGCACGGATTTACAGCGATTTAAATTCACATCTGTTCTATTGATTGCACCATAATTGATTAATTAGACTTAAAAACATAAAGGTTTTTGATAAGTTTCTTTTTCTTAAAAGCAAGGATCGATTTTTGTGAGACATTGCATGATTGCATTTAATTCTTTGAGAGTTTATACTATGAACAACTTTCATCGTGGTATAGAAATAACTATTCTTTAATTTAATGAAATAGTCTAATTCTCCCTTAATCATTTTTAAATCCAAAAATGGTATGAATTCTTGTAAAAAGGATGATGTAACAAATAAGATATAAAAATATTCATAAAAGCATCCACTAAGTAATATATTTATTTCTTCCTCCAGTTTATAACTTGAGATCAACGTCTAATCTTATTCTGAGATAATTTGAGAGATTAATTGATAAGATTCATAATTATTATATAGATCTTTGCATGGTATATATACTCTATGTTATGCACGATGATAGATGAGTGAAATTGAATTACATTCCGAACTACTAAGAAATTTACGAACTACCTTCTTAATTCCATATCATGTCATTTGTCCTTCCTTTTTTTTATTTTTAAAACTGTAACTGATCGAGAAGATAATTTGCCAATCAAGGATATCTTACAAATTTGTTAAGGGAGGGAGAAAAAAAGAAATTACTAAATACAAGAATGAAATAAAGCTTATATTCGAGGTCAACTGTTATCATTAGATGGTTGACACCATCGTTGCCGATTCTGCTGATGCTGACGATGTTGATTGGAATAAATTAACGGGACGGTGACAGTTTCCGAGTTACCTTTAAGAAGCCTTTGAAGATATTTCGAATTCAGTTGCATACCAATGTAAAACATCACTCCTGCACTGTTGCTATTGCCTTCCAATAGAGCTACACCAGCTTGATTAATACGTGAACGATTTTGTCTTCGTTTAATCACTCGTTGTCGTTGACGTGGAATACGTGAAGTACGCCAATTATAACGAATCTGTTTTGGGCTGAAAAATATTGCAAAAAATAAGAAAGAACTGTTTTTTTTTTTGTATTTTTTGAATAATATTATTTTTTATCTTACAAAAAACTTTTCCATATGTTTGTCATAAAGTTTGAAGGCTATTTAATCGATAAAACATTAATAACAGTTTAAATTAGTTTCAGGTTAAACTTGAATTATAACTCTTTTATTCTTATTATGCTTAATTTCAATTTTAAAATGATTGAAAATACATTCACCTTCGGAAAAGTTCCGGTTCACCAGTAGTTTGGCATATTTCATTAACAATCTTAAAAAAAAAACAAACAATAAATATCTTCACTAGTAGACAGTTATAGCAAAGTATGAACATTAATCAAACAACTTTCAGAAATGTGATGTGCCATAATAAATATCACACTCTTATTTCCTTTTCAAAATTTATTCTCATTAATGATGAATTTTTTAGTTTTAAAAGAAGATCAGGTTAAAAGTTAAACATTTGAAGCTGTTAGGATATAAGAGAAAGCAAAATACTTCATATCTGTCCGTTTTATTATTGCTCATTGTTGGTAAAGTTAATTTGCGTATTCTATCCGATGTATCTTTTACCTGAAAAAGGAACAAAAAAGAACTTGTAATATTTAAAAGTATTATATTGGCTTATTAAGATGAAAATAATATCAATTGGCAATTGCTATACAAATTTCATTTCAATTGTAATTTAATCCAAAAATTGTTTTGAAAAAGTAAGATGGTACTGTACTTTTGGAATATTTTGTGCTTTAGCTGAAGAAGATAAGCTTTCTTGCATAATGGAACAATAGGAAAAGTATACGCGTTTACGGTAACGCCATCTTGAATTATCTATTGCAATTCTGCAATAAAAAGACGTAACTGTAATTTTGCAACAATTATAATCCTTGCATGATTAGAAATTCAAAACAAATATAATTTGCTAAAAATTCCAATCCGGAAATTTTATGATATTATTTCTGTAACTTTCTATTATTTCACATTATAATTCAAGAGAGAAAGACGAAAAAGAAGAATGGAATAATGAAAACAAAATTTTCAGTAATATACGATGCCTTACAATAATAGTACGGTAGTTTAGAATAAGGTATGGTAATCTGCTGCAATAATAATGTGCGATAATCTATGCTAATAACTTGTACAGTATATAAATTATAATAATGTGACATTTATTTCCGTTTAATTCCACTTTATACTTCATTTTATATAAAAAAATTTATTTTATTTTATACCTAAATCGTTTTGTTTCACTGATAAACGTATAAACCGCTTTTGTCATTAAGCGTAAATAAAGCTCAACAAAGATGAAAATGACAGAAATAATTGCTGCAGTACGGATTAGGAATGAATCATTTCGGCCAAATAAATATTCCTCATTATATCCACCCATATCAGCCGCAAAAGTAAATGTTGCATTAAGTAAAAGAAAAACACAAGTGACATATTGAAATATCAATTGTTGCCTGAGTAAATAGACATGCTTTTCTAAAATAGCAATTACGAATAGAACCTGAAATTCAATTTTAAAATATATCATTTCAAAAATATTGTCGGAATGTATACTTTAAATTTTAAATTAAATTATAATAATCGATAATTTATCTTTATTATTTCGAATATAGTAATTTATAACACATTCAAAGCATTCATTTAATAAGAAATTTATTTTTGTTGTTGAGAAGAGAAATGAAAAGAGGAAGGAATTATAAAAATGATGAAAATAATTATATAGCAAAGAATTAAATAGAATTAATTCGTCCGCTAGAATTAGAATTATTTTTGAATCGATCTGAATCGATCGTCATCTTTATTTGAATCAAATAAAAAATCGATCATATAATGAATTGACAAAATTTAAAAAACTGAAATTTCAAAAATATACAGAAATGCACGTTTGAAAGTTAACTTAAAGTTGCAGAACTTTATAATTCCAAAATAGAGGCGCTACTTCTTTTTCTTGAAAGTAACAAAATTTAAAATTTTAAATTAAAACTTACCTTTGCACTAAAAAATATACTAAGCTGTAACAGAGTAATGAAACATAAAAAAGCTGCAATAGTTCTTTCGTCGACAGCAAAAAATACTATGATATAATGTAAGGAATAAAGTAGCAAAAATATGATACCAAAGCACCATTCAATTGCGCAAACAACAATACCCCTGCAAATAAGCATATAATCAATAAAACCATATTTATATTTATTTTTAAAAAAAGTAAGAAAGAAAACAAAGCCAAAAAATTTTCAATTCATTTTAATTGTATTCATGAAATGCTTAAATTGATTAATTTCACCTTTTTCCTTCTTCAAGGAAACTTAATAATGTAATTAATCAATTGTTGCAATAAATTCATCTTTTAAATGGTGAAAGAATGAAACATTGCTAACTAACTAATTAATATATTTAATAGGTGTATCGTTTCCAATATTATAGTAAGAAATGAATGTATTGATTACGGTATTAATACGGTAAAATTTCAATCAAATATACATGATTGAAAAAGAAATAGAATTTAAAAAAGACGTAAATATTTTATTGCCAAAATTTAATATCTTATAGATTGTTATATATCTTATTTAACATCTTATTATATTTAATATCTTATCATTGTTCTAATTAAATAAATGAGTGAAAAAAAAAGGAATTAATACATCAAAATGCTGAAATTATTGTTGGATATCTAAATCAGAAATTAAGTAATAAAATTATTATTTAGATTGGTAATGCAAAAAATTAATAATTGTTACGGGAAATGATATAATAAATTGTACCAGGAACGAGATGCTGGCACCGGATCTTTGTTCCAGAAAAATGGCATCATAAATTTCGGATCCTGTGCATTGAATCGTTCCGGGCCAACAAGCTCACGTACTTCGATTGGACAATTTATTGGAAATTCGAATTTCACTGCTATAGAAAAGATATGAAAAATGTGTTTTCAGAAAACTGCTTCATTTCAGATTTAAATTAAATAAATTAACTGCGCTTTTGTTTTAATTTCAAATTCACAAAATCAAAAATTTTTATAAAATTTATAAAACAAGTAAGTTTGCAAAACTTTAGCTTCGACATAAGATAATTTGAAATTGCCAATACCGATGAAATATTACTCACAGATCGCGATATTTTAAATTTAAAAAAGCATCGAAGGTTCTTTCTTTTTAAATTTTCATTTTCAGTTTTAAAGTACGCATTAAAATATTTACTAAAAATATTTCTATCAGCAAATACTGTAATCAAAAGTTTAGAAATCAATCAATAGTTAATGACATTTCTTTTGTTTTCAACAATTATTTTTCTTTTTTGGAAGTACATAAAAATTAAATTTTAGACAGATGGAATTTAAATATAATTGTAATGAAGTAAAACAATAAATCCTAAATGAATAAAAAGACAAAAAACGTAAACCAATGATATTTATTCAAATTTTTCATTGGTATAATTGATAATCTTTTGGTTGTTTCAAATATTAACTAATTTTATCATTAATTAATCCATTTTATTAAATTGATCGAAAATTTATAATTTTGGGCGAAATCCAGAATTCATGTATGTTATCGCCATTTCTTTAAAACTTTATAATATTGTGGACAACCATTTTATGTCCATAGCATTCTAATCTTTAAACGTTTGATTTTGATTTTAAAAAATCTTTAATTGATAACTTTAATTAATTAATAGGAATTTGAAATGCAATTAATTGCGCTGCAATTTGCATCATTCGTGAATTAAACAAAGGAAAATTTAAAAATAAAAAATAAAACATTAACGAGAAAATTAATGTAGAAAATTAATACAACTGAAAAGAATTCAATTTACATTTTATTCATTAAAAATTATATATAATTAATTAGTGAATCAAATTTAAATTTTAGCGATTAATTTATTTCAAAGAAAAAATGATAGTAATAATCATTAAAATGTTAATTTGATTTTAACAATTAATTTATTTCAAATTTCAAAAAGTAAATTTGTTTTCAATTTTAGATTTTACTGTAAAAAAGAAAAAGCACCTGATTTATCAGCAAGTATTCGCCATCCATTTACAAGATCTTCCCGACAGCCTTCCCAAAATTCTCGAAAACGCATTCTTTAATAAATGGGCACTGTTGAGAAGGTAAGTTAAGTTCTCGGGTATAAAGACGGGAGAGCCCAATGAATCAGGGAGCTGGTAACTGTCTATCAACACAAACCCATGCAATTAATTGATTAGATCATTGATAATAAAACAAGGGAGGACACACATACATACATACATAAATACACACATACAACAGTAACAGACACGGTGACAACCGGTCAAATGCGAACATTTATGGGTTGTCAGTTTAGATTAATACTTACGATAAAATTTCCTAATTGTGGAGAAGTTTTATTTTGCTCTTAGAAAAAAAGGAAGGAAATAAAGGTAAGAAGCTTAAAGAGAAGAAATAATGAATTTTCTTGTTGGAAAATTTTTTAGGTTTCTAATTTGTGCACTAATTTTATTTCTGTTAAAAAATTTGTCATTTAGATATCATAATTACTGGTGAACCTTAATGTTAAAGGTGAAAATATTAAGGGTTAAAGATGAAATATGCGAATGAATAATTTGAATTGCTATAAAGAGTGAAATAAATAATGTGAACTGTTGTGGAAAGAATTTTAAAGGTATAAAAAAGATGATTCATCTATTTATTTATTATATGGATAGATGATAAGTTTGACCTCTGTTAAGGTGGATTTTAAGAATGAAAAATTATATGATTTAAAAAAATTTGGGATAAAAAAATTTTTAGGTCATTTAAATTTTTTAAAGCTAAACTTTTCATATTTCAATATTTTGTTTAAAGAACAAACAAAACATAAAAATGATAAGAATAATTTTTGATTGGCAGTTTATAACATTTAAATAAATGGCAAAAATAATGGCTAATTTATCTTTCAAAAGAAAACAAAGGAAATGATAAGATAATTTTTCTTTCTTTTGATAAACAGCCATTTAGTAGTATTAATTAATTGAAATGATTTTTCAAACTAAAAAAGTGAAAAAGAGAAAACAAAAGATAAATTAAAAATGACAGTTTAACTATATGCATAATCCATTTATTTGATTATATCAATTCATAGATTTGTCAAATATAAAATTTAATAGAGCAAAAATATCATATGCCTACCTCTATTAAATGAATGTTATAGTTGTGAAGAAATAAAATTTATTTCTCAATGATCAATAATTTATGATCACTCGAAAAAATCAATATTGCTATACTTCAATATGAGAAAAAAAATTATAGAAATTTTTTTTTTAACTATTAAGAAAAGAAAAAATATCACTCTTATTTTCGTGATAATAACAAATTTCAATTTTTTAGATTGAAATATATCAACCATCAGAATGATAAAGAATGATTATGCTTGATAATGATAATATCGTTTATCAAAAGCCAACTAATTATTCCATATAATTATTAAGAATTCTAAATTTCAATAATTAATATTCATTTTAATCAAATGTAAAAATTTTAAGCTTATTAATTATAAAAAAAAAACAGTTATTAAATATAATGTAAACTTTTAACTTTCTAGAAAAATTCAAATTTTGAGAATAAAATAGCATATGGTAAATTATGTGGTTTAATTTGTTTCATTGTACAGGGAGGGATCAGTGTTCGCATAGGTCAAATAAGGTCAAATGGGATCAAAAATTGACAGAATAAGTGTTTGCTTTGTTTACTCTGAGAAATTTTTGTCACAAAACAACTGCGTAATATAAATTGAATAAACTTTTTATTGTTTCAAAATCAAATCAAAATATGAAACACGTCAAATTGAACATTTGAAATATAATGCCATTACTCGAAGAAGCTAATATTTATGTTCCATTCAATCATTCATTCATTTCTATATATTTAAATCTAAAAAGCAAAAAGGCAATATTGGGATTGCAGTAAATTTTGTGCCAAATAATTCAATGAATTAAAAATTTACCGCTTAAATTTTAGGCCATTTTTTCCGAACTTTTTATCAATTTTAGGCCATTTTCTTAACTTTTTATCATTCTGATAAGTTTTAACTTATAATTTTCAGAAAAAGAACATTTTTTCATGTGTAATTTTGGGAATTTTTTCAATTTTTCAACTGATAATTTGCAAGATAAGAAAACTTTTAAAAAATTTTGGAAAACAAAAGCGAATTTATGATATGTTTGAATTTCTTTTTCTCCGAATTATCTTAATTACAACATTTGAAATATTGTAAAGAACAAAATACCAAAACATAAATGAATTCAATTAAAAGATTGAATTTTAAAATTTCATCTTAGAGGAAGGAATACAATGCAAATGTCAATGTTAATTAATAGGAAAAAGAAAAAATTAATTAAACAAACGACAATAATGAAATATTTTTGGTAATTATGATACTATAACATGTATGATAATTACTACAAATGAAGACATTTTAAGGCTTAAACTCAAAAAATTAGCCTAATGATGTATTGAAGGTAATATTTGAAAATATGATTGAATAATAATGATCAATTATAAATATAATTCATCAGATATGTTATTAAAAATATTTCATTTCAGATACATTGCTGTTCTAAAATACCAATCAGAAATTTACCACAATATTAAACAGGTAAATATTTTCCTTTTAAAAAAAAGACGTGATAATTTTTTTTAATGTCAAAGAAAAATTAATATACGTATTGCTATTTCAGTATCTATCAATGTCATTATGATTACCTTAATTACCATTTAAATTTTGGAAATCAGGTTGATTTTGCGGTCCTACTTCATCTAACAAATTATTCACATCTAATGATTGTTCACGTTCTGTCAAACTACTTGAAGAATATCGTGCACACACAAAATATTCTTCATATGATTCGTCATTTACAATTAACGAATCTTTCAATGCAGTTGGATATTCCTTATTTTCTGGATTTGATAATGCTTCAGAATCTATGGTATTCAATAATCTTTGAGGATTTTCTGGCTCTTCTTTGGTTACGCTAGCATTAGACGACGAAAAAGTATTGATATCATCTGTTTCTCTGCTACTACTGCTATCATTTGAAGTTTTCACTGAAGCTTCCTTTGAATTATTTGCTTCAGATGGTAGCATCGGATCATCAGAACCAATTAAAATCTTTAATTTTCCGCCATAAAGTTCCTCCACAGCAAGAGGTGTCCAAAAATTTCGACTTTCTAAATTTTGCAAAATTTCTGAAGTTTCAAAACTTTGCGACAGAGCTGGAAATTCAGGTTTTGCTGAACTTGTAAAATGTTCTGAATGCTCTGGATTTGTTGGATTTTCCAGATTTGATAAGTGCTGTGGATCTATTGGATTTTCCGGACTTGATAAATACTGCGGTTCCGCTGGATTTCCCGGATCTGGCAAATGCTGCGGATCCATTGTACTTTCCGGATTTGACAAGTATTTTAAATTTGTTGAGTGTTCTGAACTTGCCAAGTGCTGAGTACCTGTTGGATTTCTTTGATTTGGCATTTGCTCCGAACTTGTTAAGTATTCTGAACTTGATGAATCCGCTGAATGTTCCGAACTAGTCGAATGCTGTGTACTCGATGTATGTTCTTCAGTTGATGAATGCTCGGAATCTGTTGAATGTTCCGAACCAGTCGAATGTTGTGTACTCGATGCATGTTCTTCATTTGATGAATGCTCGGAATCTGTTGAATATTCCGAACTAGTCGAATGTTGTGTACTCGAAGTATCTTCTTGATCTGATGAATGCTCGGAATCTGTTGAATGTTCTGAACTAGTTGAATGTTCGGAACTAGTTGAATGTTGTGAACTCGATGGATCTTCTTGATTTGATGAATGCTCGGAATCAGTTGAATGTTCCGAACTAGTCGAGTGCTCTGTCGCTTCCCCTAAGCTACTTGAGCATCCGGAACTCCCGAATTCTTCTGAATTTATTGAATCTTCTGAAGTTGATGAATTATCTGAGTTTTGTTCAAAATGCTCTGAATCTATTGTATTTTTTGAATTTGATGAAGTTCCTGAATGATTTGAACTTTTCAAATCCTCCGAATCTGCTATATTTTCATGCGTTTTGAAATCTGCAAGATGCTTTTGTCTTCCACCTGACATATACTGTTTCACAAGTTTTTTTAAAGAAACAAGTCGTTTTTTCAAAGCTCGTAACCTGAACATATTTTGTGAACTTATTGTTGTAGGACGATGGTATCTTAAATTTTCCTGATGTCTATGAAGAATATTACTATTTTCTGAACTTTCTTCCGTCGCATAAGATAGTGCTTCCAATCTCTTTAATAATGAGTAAGTATTGGCTATTTTTTCGGTTTCTTTTAAAGCTTTATTTGAATCACCAGATTTTGCAACTCTTGTATTCTAAAAAATAATTAAATAACAATAAATGAATCATAAATTAAAACTAATTTTATATCGAAATAATTAATAATATTTATGTATGCTTTTCAAACGACAATGGCATATTTAATATTTTGAAATAAATGAAATAAAAAAACTTACCGTAATGAATTGTGAATAATTATTACTTCGATTGGATGAATTATTATCACTGTATTTTTTGATAATGATATTTATATCATCAGGGCGTAGAATGTTGTAATTAAGATTATCACCATCACTTGTTGCTGAACTACTACTGCTGGAAGTAGTATTTTCATGATTTCTCGGCATATCATCTGAATCATTTCGTTCTCCATTATCAGCTGAACGATAATTGTTATCATCTGACATATTTGTAATGTATGGCAACTAAAAAATGATACCAGCTGTAATGTCCAGCCAATTTGTTCAGTTGAAAAGCTTGAAATTCCTAAAATTGTTCAAGAATTTAACAGAATTATTATCAATTATCATCAATAGTGTTGATTAAAATTTTGATAATAAATGATAATGGATCAATTGGTTGTTTGCCTAAATAATATATTTCAATTTCAAAATAAAGTAAGATATATTATTTCTTACATATTCATTAAATAATCTAAAATTAACTTAATACAAAGTAAATTAGACGAAATCTTACCTTAATCAGTACCTATTAGAACCATATCAAAAGTATATCTATTTAGAATGATAGCAAATAATAATCTCTTATTTTGACCTATTTTGATTTAATATCTACAATATGATCGTTATTGATCTCTATCACATAATGATTAACTTCTACAGAAACATCCAATTTTAAGCTGTAAATATAAACTTATCAAAATAAAAGGAAAAGGTTATATTGCAAAGCTATTTCCATCATTTCTATACAAATAAAATAAGAATTAACATATTATGCTTTATTTTCTTTAATTACTCTATTTAATTCAACTAATTAATTATTGATATTCGATATATTCGTATGCTAAATAAATATTATTGCTATTAAATCAAATTTCATATATACATCTTTTTTTAATTTATTAATTTATCGAAATTTTTTCACTTCTATTTTAAGTATTATATAAATAGAAATGTTAATTGCTTATCTCATTCATTTAAATGTAATAAGATTTTGTCGCTATTAGCTTAATGAAATTAATGTAAGCATATAATGACATAGAAAATAATTCAAATTACTTATATAAGTTATTATATACAGAAGTACAGATAACGTTTTAAAAAAAGCGATTTATTGATAAATAAACAAATTACAATTCTGCCAAAATTTAAAATCATTAAATTCATTTTGAATCTACCCGTTATATGTTATCGATAACGGAAGAATTCGTTATCGATAACAAATTTGTATAAGAATTACAGCAATCTTCTCAGATTTTATATTGTTTATTTTGGAATTTATTTTTTAATTAAAACGAAATTCTTCGCTTCCTATTGTTTAGCATTAATTTGATTAAATTGATTTTATTATTTTATAATTTAAAAAAGATAGATTTTAATATTTTATAATTTTATAATACCATATTATATTGCATTATTTAAGTATTTAAATTGTAACAATCATACTCTTTTTTGATTTTACCTCGTTTTTTGAACGAATACAAAACACAGTGCTGTCAACAATCTTTCCTGTTGAATGTTCATTATTACTATTATTATATGATTTACTATGAAAATAGAAAACATTTTACAATTGGTAGAAAAAATAAATACAATAGAAATACCTGGAAAAGTGAAGTTAGGTCAAATTTCGATAGAACTTTCTATGATCCTTTCGGCGGTCATTCCTTTTTTATCTGAAATATTTTCAACATTGTATGAAAGAGTTCGTTATGTCTAATACATTTCATTTTGCAATTCATTTACTCAGCCATTTTTTTTACAATTATTATTGATAATTAATAGTAATTGCAGAGGAATAGATAGAAATGAACTAATCTGAATAAAATTGCAAAAATTTTAATCTGAAATTACCAAATATTAAGTTGCAAAAGTTCAAATTATTATATTTGAAATATTTTACAACAATTCTACGACGTTTTTTGGAAAAAAATGAAAACTGTATAGTTAGAATTTTAATTATATAGTTGGAATTTAAAACTGTATAGTTAGTTAGTTAGTTGGAAAATTTTAATTGTATAGCTAGAATTTAAAACTGTATAGTTAATTAGTTGGAAAACTGTATGGTTGGAATTTTAATTGTATAGTTAGAATTTAAAACTGTATAATTAATTAGTTGGAAAACTGTATGGTTGGAATTTTAATTGTATAGTTAGAATTTAAAACTGTATAGTTAATTAGTTGGAAAACTGTATAGTTAGAATTTTAATTTAAATTCAAAAAAATAATAAAATTTGAAATAATTTACGATTAAATTGATTCATTATAAGCATAGATATTGATTTTTCAAAAAGAAGGTATTAAATTTTTTTCAAAAATATATTTCCATTTTCATATTTTTTAATTCTTAAAATTATTACATATATTGCAGATATGAAAAGGAAAAAACAAAGGCGGAAACAGAGAATTGTTTCAAATCGGTCAAATCAAAATAGAATACGTTCTTTTGAATTCATTATAATTACTAATATCGAGAGAGAACAAATAGAGAATCATAATGATACTTCTTTGAATGTATCGAATCAAAATGGTATGTGTTCTTTTTTTTCACTTCATTAAAATTAGATTTCATAAGTGTTTCAGATGCACTGAATTAAGGTTGGTACGTGTTCTTCTTAAGTTATTATATGTACTGCAGATATTATGGAGTTAGAACAAAGTGAGAATCTCAGAGATGCTTCAGATGCACGGAATCAAATTGATAATGATGAATGTCAAATATCAAAAATGAAATATGATGAAAATGTAAGGAAATATTTTCTTTCAGAAGAAAAAGAAGAAAGTAAATGAATGTTGTTTGATTTCATGTTCATTTAAATCAATTATCAAAGTACTATACCTGTATTATTTCATTCCAAAAATGAAAGGTAAATATATTTCAATGCATCAACAAATTTCATCAGCTGACCATTCTGTTCTTTCTCTTCAAAAGGTAAAGATTATTATGAATGTTTGAATGAAAGGATCAAAATAAATTTGGCTCATTACTATTATTATTCTTATTTGTTAATACTATTTTCTGGAAACTACTATACCTGTATTATTTCATTCCAAAAATAAAAGATAATATATTTCATTGCATTAAGCAATTATTAAATGGTTAGTAGGCCTAATTGTTAAATTTTAAGCAAAAACCATTGAAACTTCTTTGTACCTGAAAATTTCGATTTTTAATTTTTCATTAAAATATTTCTCAAAAAATTTTTCCTCTTCAGGTATGCAACGATGCAATTAATGTTTCTTTTGATTGGAGAAATTATGCATTCTCAGAGCAAAACATGGAAATGAAATTTGCTTTTAAATTATATGATATTCCAAATTTTTGGAAAGCACCAATAGAACAGTTAATGACTTATTTAAGAATAAGGGTAAGCCATTCATTATTTTCATCACTTCATTTTATTATCATTTTGATCTGATAAATTGATAACTGACAGAGGCATAGATTAAAATTTTTCTTACTTGCACAATTTAATTTTAATGCTTTATTTGATGATATGTTAAAAAATGGATGATTCATTAAGTTTGTTTTTGCCTGTTATTATTAATAAACCTTTTTCTTCCTTAAATTATTTTATGTTTTTTGAAGTTTGATGGAATTGAAAAGAAAGTAAATTTTTCTTTCTGAAATCTGTTTGTATTAAAGAGGCCTAAATTTACAGTATTCCAAAGGTAACAAAAGTATTTCTTACTTTTGAAATATTAATTTACTGCCAGTTTATATTTATATTTGAATTCACTTACTTATAGTCATTTATTTGTTATTGTCATAATTTATCATTTACTATTATGCTTATTTTCTAAATTTTTAGCTTTTTAAATATTTAATAAATTTAATTAGGTTAATTAAATTAGATTAATTAATTTTGAAATTTTACAACCTTTATTTAATGTTTCCAATAAAAATTCATCTTTTTAGGCCTTTATTAAGAAATTTTCCTCTTTTCTATAATTCCTATAAATGCAAAAAACATTTCAATTTCAGATTTTTCATCCCTTTTGTTTTAATGCTTATTATATTTCTAAGAATTGTTATTTTTACTGTTTTAACTAAAAATAATTTGCATAATCTTCTCGCCACTTCTTTTTTTCATTTATTCAAATTTTTCTTACTTTATTCTTTTAATTTTTGTGTAGCAGTTGTATCAATGAGCAGTTAGTTTTGCTGCATTGAATTAGCTGTGTGGTTTGGTTATCAGTAGCTGCTGTTAGTTAAATTTATAAATTGAAGCCAATCTTGTATGTTTCAACTTTGAAGTGTTGAACCAAAAATTAAGATTTCATTTGTTGAAATTTGAAATAGATGGAATCTTCGTTTTTCAATGAAATATTAGAAGTGTTTTTAGCATTTAATGAGTTCGAAGATTTTAAAAACTTAGCACATTTTTTTTATTGTTTGTCGATAGAAATTGATATCTTTTATCTCTAACTTATTTTAGCATTTTGCGATTTCCATTTTGAAACAGTAATTGGATTTTTAAAAAACTTTATTTGATATGTTTTTATTCGCCGTTTTGATAGTTATTATTGTTTCATTTACTGTATGATAAGTAAAATTCTATTCCTGGTACTTCTTCAAAAATTTCAGGGTGTTAGTAATAATCAAAAAACGGGTCCATTCAAAGAGATACGATTCGCTTGTAAGGTTTTGACAGATTATATGCATAATTTTAAAAGTAAGTAAATCGCATTATTGTAAGCAAGAATTTTTCATTCTTCAAAATGAAAAATTAAACGGATAGTTTCTTTTTCAAATGTAAGCTATTTTTTTCAATTTAATTTTAGAACAAAAAAAACGTATAGCTAAAAATTATTTAAAAAATTTTTTGTTACATTACTTCGTTTCTTTATTTTAGAAAAGCATAAAATTAATTAATTTAGAAATTATTTAGATTTTAACGGGACTATATATCTCCAGTATATGGATAGTTTCACTTACGACAAATATCAGATAAGATAATTCTAATAAAAGAAATGTGAAATTATTATTAATAATATGATTTTATTCAGAAGATCACAAAGCAGAAGCGATTACACTGAAAAATATGACACCGGTATTCATCAGATTGATATATTCAGACGTGAAATCAAGGAATAGATCTCATGATTCGATCAAACAAGATGAAGCAGCTCAATCTAGTGCTGAGTTTGAAATAGAGTGGATAAGATCTAGGAAGTTTTTCTATGGGAGTATCTTCTCAGAATTTCAGAGGATGAAGAATTTTCGGAAAATAAATATGAATAGATCGACAAATAAAATGAATGACGAAATGATTGCAGATACTCATGAGAATGATGGAAGAAACTCTGAAATGATCGTGATTACTTCTAAAATAAAGGAATTATCTCTAAAGCCAGATGAAATACCTTCCGAAGTTGCCCTTGAAGAAAGCACAGTGCCATTTCTTACAAACAAACAGTTATCGTGCATCGAAGCTAATGATGGCGAAGTTGCATCAACTTCTGGAATAAATGAAATGGCATACAAAATAGAAGAAATGGATTCTGAAGCTCAAGCAAAAATAGAATCTAAGAAAGCAAATATTACACAAACTATAATAAAATCCATAATTACAAGTAGCGATTCTGTGCAAAAGGTCAATCAAATAGCTCTAAGAAATGCTAAACTATTATTACATGACATTCGTCAAAAGAAAGAAATCGGTGAGAAAATGAAATCCAACAATTTACTCACAGAGGAACAATCACAATCCTTGGAAGATGAATTTAATTCCTATATTAGATTCGCCTGTGACATAAAAGATTACATTTATAATTTAATCCAGCATGTAGATGTAATCGCTTCATATGTAAAGCTGAGCGAAAAGAAATTGCTGTCAAATAAAGATCAAGCGGTTCAACATCTAACTTATTTTGAAAATCAACTTTGCGGACATCTTTTAAGTTTTTACGAAATTGCTCTTGCATGCGAAAAAGCGCGAGAAATGTTTGAAAAAACGAAGCATGAACCGATTGCTACATCCATTACTCCCGAATCGATTGAATATGAAAGCATGTTTATCAATCATTTGTTAAATTTTGTAGCCTTATCACCAACTTTTGAAACAGCTTGGGATGCTAGTGATGCATATCTTGACATATTGCATTGCTTGTTCATTTTGTTGGTCGATGTCGAAAATGTTCCGGACAATTCTCTTCAAGGATCTAATCTTGCTTTTTTCAATAAATTCAATGTCAAAACTCTTCATGAAACTCTGATGAGTACCAATGTGTCCCAAAAAAATGTTGCTACAATGCCAAAAAAATCCAAAGTTCAAATTCCGGAACAAATCACTTCGGAAGAAACAACCACTCCAATAGCAACACCGGAAAATAAAACGAAAGTATCACCGAAAAATAAGACAAAAGGAAAAACAAATGTATGACTTTCGATTGTTACATAAAATCTCTTTACAGTATCATTTGGTTCAAAACTTCTTCGTTTTAATTTTGAACTTTTTTTATCAAAAACAATATTTTTTTTTCTTTTAAAATATTGATTGATTTAGGATATTGATATTGCATAGAGTCATATGTATATATACATAGACAATAAATATAAAATTGAAATGATAATCTGAAAAAAATTGATCTGATATGTTTTTGAGTTTATTTTTAGTAATTAAATTTCAATTGCAATTTGTTTTTAATATTTGCAGAAGTCGAAAAAGAAGAAACGAAGATAAAACAGATAAGACTGATTTATATGGCAAATATGTCAGATTCGATCAAATCGTTTCTTTTGGAAAAGAACAAATTTAAAATATTGTTGTCTGATTTACATACTTGTTTTAACTATTCAACTCTTTTTTTTTTAATGAAAAAAGAGAAATTTAAACTATTATTGTTTAATAAGGAAAACTCTTTGAAATGTCTATTTTTTAGGACGAAGAAATTCGAAGTATTGTCGAATTTAAAAACTTTCTTTTTTCATTAATTTTTTTCATTTCTTTTTTCAATAAAAACATAACATATAAAATCTGCTAAAAATTAATATAGCTGCTGGGATATCATGCTGTTATAGGAATTTTGTTTAATAAATGGAAATATCATCATCGTATAAATATAATTTAAATAGGAAAAATAGAATGGTTAGTGTATTATGTTTTACTGTAACTAAATTAGCCGCTCTCTATTCGTGTACTATTAAAAATTATCAAATTCTGAAATTCGTTATGATATGATAATTTTGATCATGATGATAATATCCTACAAAAGAGGTTTAAAAAAGAACTGTTCGCTAAATTTTAACTAAATTTATATGAAATTTTTTATTATCCTTTTCTTTGTTCGCTTATTATTTTATTATTCCTGTTTTCTTATTGCAAATAATTTTAACAAATTGTATTGCAAAATAATCATTTTTAACATTTGGCGAATGTCTTGCATAATTTCTTTTCTGGACTACATTCTATCCAATAGATAAAATAAATCCAATTAGCTGTTTTCCGTTTGACATATGAATAGTATTACATACCGGGTTTGTAATTTCTCGGAAAAAATTTACATTAACTTTTATTTTTTTCATTGATTTATATTGCGCATATTAATTAATCCATATTAATCCTTTCTCCGAGATATTATACGGTTGAATTCAAGATTTACGAAACCTTTCTGAAAATTTTGAAATTTTTGTCTTTTTATAATTGTACTGAACATAAGAAGAAGATTCGAATGAGGTAGATTATTAGTAGGTTGTTAGTTGCTTGAATGAAAGTGTTGTAAATAATTCTTGTACTTTCATATTCGTTAACCTTTTTCAAAAGGACAATATCCGTTGTCCATCAGCAGAACATCTTACAAAATTACCTTTTAGATATTTTAGGCATAAAGGTACCATAATCTTTTAAAACATAATAAAATTAGTAAAAAAATTTCAGTGAAATGGTAAAGAATTCAAAAGAACAGTAAGGAAAAGAAGTCGATGTTTTTTCCTCAGAGAAATTCCAATTTCCTGTAGATATAATTTGTTCAGTGATTTTGTCACACTTCTGATATATTAGTATTAGAGTACAATAACAGTCCAGTTGCTTTAGAGCAAACAGGTTGAATAACTTTTTCTCTCTTTTTAGCTTTATTTGTATACCTTATGATGTATTGGTTATAAATAGATTTACTTATATATACCCTACGAATGGTTCTCCTCCAATTTTTTGTAATACATTTGGCTAAATTCGAAAATTTGAGTAAGAAATGATCAAAAGGAATGAACGATTTAAGGTTTGTTAATTTAATTAGGAAAATTTCATATTTGCAATTTTTAGTTGGCTTCAATAATATGAATTTGTCTTTTAATTGAATATTTTCTTTTTCTTTTCTCTACCTTCTCCTTTTCTTCTTTCTTAAAAGTTAAAATTTCATTAACCTTAGTAATAATCAGGACTGATAACCACCGTTAATATTTACAAACTGTTACCATGAGAGAAATGTGTGATTACCTTCACGACATTTGTTATATCCTTGTTTGAATAAATTTACTTCTCAATTTTTTCAATTTCAAAAATTTAATTAATCTATCATTTTAGGTCATTCTTATCAGTCTATATTAGAGAGGATTGACGAAGTGGGAGAAATGTGTGATTGCTTAGAATGACACCAATGATACGACCACCGCAATACATTGCAAATCACATACCGTTTCTAGCTATTCATTTTTCCGCTTATAATATTGTTAGCATCGATCCCAAACAAATCTAATTAAATAACCTATTAATTTCGAGTCCAAAGATACCGAAATTTATATGATTTATTCACCGAAAGCTAGCTGAATTTTATCTTTTTTTCAAATATCGTTGTTGAGTACACTTTGGTAAAAGCCATTTTGCAACGCCTCAGGCAAAATAATCGAAATGCAAATTTGCTAAAGTATAGAGTACAGAATTGATCAATTAACGCTTTGAAAATTAGCTATAAGTAACTTTGAATAATTTTTAAAAAGCGCAAATGACAGTGGAAAAAAGATATAAAATTTGAAATTTCCACAATTCAAACGCTTCGCGCTGTTTAATTAGAATTTTTTAAGAGTTAAATTTATATTCATTTTGTAGCGCAGATTCTCGACTATACGTTCATCATAATTTCAAATATTTAGCATGTAAAGATCACGCGTTAAGTATTATTTTGTAAGTGCTACTTACCAGCAGGCAATGTATGTTTTGGAGTGAATACGACCATAGCGAGGAGTCCCAGCGTAGTCGTCTCATCGCTCTTATATACAGCTGTTTCTTCATCACTTTCAACCATTTCTGGTGAAAACGTTTCTTCGGGTTGGTTGTTTCGGGGTCTTCCTATACATTGAATCGGGATATTTTGACCCTTTCATGTTGTATGACTGTATATAGAAGGTTACGTTACGTGAAAATATACAAACTGGGTTTTTTTTGTTATGAAAATTGCAAGGATTTTGTATCATTCGTTTGAAAGAATTTCCCAAATCATTACTGCCATATTGAAATGGAATTTTTTAAACAGGACTCAAATTCGGAAATAGCATTCGAAGTTTAAGAATAGTGAAGTTCCCTGTAAACTTTTCCTCCTCTTAAAAGATTTCAGGTTGTATTTATAATGCGAAGTCTTTTTAGATGTTCAGTTTTAGAGCCTTTTCACCAGTTATATATTCATTTAATATTTTAATATTTGTAAAATTTTCAATGCTTAAACAGAATAAGAATATTTCAAAGAAATAGTAAAATTTTTAAGGATTTCTGAATACTTTCTTTGCTGGCAATAAAATGATATTATAATTGCGTGATAGTTGTTTAATGCTTACCAATTAGCATTTATCATGTACATAGATTGGTTGTGAAGGAATCGAAGTCTTCATATTTACATGATTTTTACTATTTTAATTTTCAGTTACATCATTTACTCTTTTGTAATATGGCATTTATAGTTTTTAGTCTTTTATGATGGGCCATTGAGTAGGAATATAAGAGAATAGGAGAGTCCGATCCTTCGGGATACCGAGGAAGTATGGCGGTATCTATTTTTTTGCATCTTCTCTTCCTTTTCGAACCGTTAAACTACATTTCATAAGCTCATAATGATTTCGATTATTTCTGTACCATTGTATTGGTAGAAAGTATTTTCCTTACATTGCGTTTTGTATATCGTAAAGTGTTTATTTCCACGTGATACTTTTATGTGTATTGCGTATTTCCGTTAATAACTATTCATTTCATTGTAATTTCAGTATTTTCTCATTTCTGACCAATATATCTAACAAACAATGCCAGCTACTGAGGAAGTTGTTGCTGCCCCGAGTGCAGCTACTGGTGATAATCTCGCTGTCGTGGTACCATCCAACACTGGCGCATCAATAACTGCACCAATTGGAAAGAAGAGGAACATGGTGGCAAGGATGAATGTCAATGTTCCAACATCAAAAGCTCTGAAATCGCACGCGAAATTGCAACATAATCATCCGCCTTACGGAAATATGATTAAGGAGGCACTGCTGGCTACGCAGGATAAGAAGGGTTCGAGTCGTGCGGCAATCCTGAAGTACATCATGCAGAATTTTGCGGTCGGCGAAAACCCCACTATAGTAAATTCTTAATTTTTCGAATGATTTTATTTCAGAGTTATCAGTGTGGTTCTAAAATGAGTGTAATGATTGAAACTGGCGAAGTATTAGTATACAGTAAGGACCGATGATGTTGTTTAAAGTTTGAAGTGCTAGATATTATTGTGGATCCCTATGGAATTCGTTAGAAATTCCAGATTACTGAAGATTTCTAGCATATATACTTATAGGCGATAGTAAGGCACAGAATAAAAAAAAGCTAAAGTTGCATTTGCCAGTTTTGTTATTGCTTTATCTTTCATGCTTGTGAGTTTTTTGAACAGTTTTGCTGATTGTGATGCATAATTTTTTTTGTAAATCTTATAGGCAAGCAATAATAAATGAATTTCGAAAATTCAGGTTAATGCACACCTTAGAATGGGATTGAAACGCGGCGTAGCATCAGGAGCTCTGAAGCAAATGAAAGGAACCGGTGCCTCTGGATCATTCCGTTTAGTTGATGCAAAATCCGAACAGCCCAAAAAAGTCAAGAAGTCAGCTACTGCAAAGTCTACTACAACTAGTGATATGAAAATGCTGTCACCGAAAAAGTCTATGAAGGCAAAATCTAGCACAAAAAAGGTTGTTTATTCATTGCCTAGGTAACTTATTTTGGCATCGATATTAAAACCTTGATGTTGATAATTGATGTTTAATCTGTCAACCAGTTAGATCACTTGGTTTTATCCACCTGCTGATATGTGGCAATATATAATCGACTTGCTTTTTGCCGAGATATGTACAAATTATCATGCATCAAAGTTTGTGACTTCCCTACGATTTAAGGTAGCTTCGCCAAAGATCTCGAAACCAAAAGCTGCATCGAAGAAGAAAGCAAGTACTGCTTCTGCAGGAGGAGTTCGGAAGAACAAAAAGGCCGCTGGCAGACCGAGAAAGACAAAAGCTTCGCCGGTTAAATCGAAAGCGACAAAGAAGTCGACAGTGGCACACGCAAGGAACAAGAAGGTTGCGGCTTAAGAGCGATACTTACCTCATACTCGATCTCATCCAACTTGCTACGTTTATGCAATGTAACGCATAAACATTTTAAATGACTACAAAATTTTATGGAAGAGGATGTATTGTCATCGACAAAGTCCAGTCCTTCTTGTATGATTTTCTACACTGTATGATGTACATGAGTTCTTCAATTAATCTATTGATAAAACTATAACCGTAATGTCTCTGGTTACATTCACATGTAAATCTTAAGGATATTTCTGATATGGATCATCATTGCCGACACTGGATTTCGCGATTTATTTAACATGAACTGAAGAGCTTTAAATCCTAGCCAATGAGGCTAGACATCAGACTTCAAGAAATACGGAAAATTTGCTGCTTTGTTTCTCTAGACTAAAAAAACAGATCGCGAACCAATCTAATATTATCTACTGGACTTATAGATTATATAGACTTTGAATTACGATTGGCGGAAAAGGTCTGCCCATTTTTTGGGTTTCTTACTATATTGCTGTGATTTCAATTAGAATTGAGAATTGTGGCTCTACCAGTTCATCTTATTCTTTAACCAGCTTTAATTGTGAACCTAAAAATACCTCTACAGTAACTCTTCACTTCAGTTGTATTTCGTATACCATGACATAATGAAACATGGAGTTTACACAGCAGTGTTATTTTTTGATATTCATTTTTAAATTTCAATTTTTATAATAGCACATTGGACAGTGACGAGACGCCGAGTCCAAGGAGTTATTGATTTCCAAACATTTGAGCTATTGCCTGGATGATAACGAAGGCACTAAACTAACAGCAAGGCAGTAAAATAATAACGCACTGAAAAAATCAATGAGTAGAACTAAATGATCTTTGACTGCATAAAATCGATTGCACTAAGTGGTACAAGAAAACGAATAATCACCACCGCGGTAATTTTAATGATTTCTGAATATAAACCGACAATTCATCCCAGTTGCTTCTCTCCGACTGGATGTCATCCGCAAAGGATTGGTATTCCTCACCAAAAAAATGCTCCAAACATTTCGTTTCTAAAAAACGCAGGCAATTAAGGAAAAATGCCCTTGAAAAGCACAGGATGAAACTGAATTTAAAGGATAAGCATGCAATGAGGTTTGCAGAACTAAAATTAAGAAATTAACCTTAAAATTATTAAATTCCACAACATTACACAACAGAGAGAAAAGAATTTGGCAAAAATTAAATCAAACGAAAAACAATTAGATAACTACAAATGAATAATAGACTAACAGAAAACAAATGAAACCAAAGCGAGTGTAAAAGTGGACCGGAATTTTTATCCCAGAAATTTGTTCTCCCGATAACTTATTCAAGCTAAGCCTGCTAAGTTTCTTAACTTTTTTAGATATTTTTTATTCAATAGTGGGTCAAATCCTCGATATTTTTTGTTTAATAGTGAGTCAAATCTTCCTTGACCCTCCCCGAACATTTGATTTGAATTGGATGACACCTGTAAATTTCTGCTTTTAATTAGATGTAGTAAGGAAAGACTTGGAAAAGATGAAAAAGTAAGGCAGCTATTGGTAGCTAAAGAAATTGTGGCGAAATAGGACAGCATGAAGTATAAAAATAAGAAGTGCACTTACAGTTAAACAAAATGACAGCTGAAAAAATTAGGAATTGAATGTAACGAAATCGAATTTTCATAATGAAACTATATTTATGACTTACTTCACATTACCATTTACGTACATGAATAGGATGAAATTTACAAATTACAAAGTAACAATTTAGAATAACGAACGACCAATAGCGATATTCCATTGATTCCGCAACTTGCTATTGGCCGGCTACATATCAAAGCGTCCCACTTCAAGCAGGTTATAAATCAATATTTTCTAGTTTATTGGAATACTGGACACAAAACTCCTAAAATTGTAGTAAAATGAACCGAGCACCACTGAAAAATTTCCTCCGCTGAAACTGGTTTCCTTTAATTTAAGCGTAACAAATAACATAGACTAAGGACTTTTCCTTCAAACAAGTACAAAAACTAAGTTGAGGATGTAACCGTAAGAACATATTTGCAATGTAAGCAACGCTAGTACGTTCGTCTTGAAATCATACATTACCAATAGTCGAAATTAAGGAAAAAAAGCATTTCTGCTTGATAACATCTTCATACATTTAGAACAGAAATTCACAATTATGATGAAATATTAAGAAGAGCGTGCTGTTATTGGGAAGAAATGTAATCATTCACAGGATAACAGTCTGAAAATTTCCAACTGTCATTTTTATTACTGGTTAATTTTGTGAGTCCCATTTATTGAGACAAGAGCCATAACTAGATTTCAACCCGTGCAAATGACCAAAAATCATGCGTTTCGCTGGAAAATCAAGCAGAACTCAGATCTTATGTTGGTAGTTCCTTAAACACAAGTTATACTAAATACAAAAAAAGCAGAAATTCAATTACTTGGTTTGCTGTGCCTTTGGTTGAGCAGGCTGAAAAACAGCACTTGAAGCCATTAGATTCTGAATATACTGCCCAAGCACCTGATTTTCAGATCGTAATTTTAGGCTTTCTTCCTTGACACTATCGACGCGCTGACTTAAATCTATAAATATTACTCTTAAAATATTAAGAATGAAGTTATGGAAGACTTAATAATTGCATCAAAAAAGTGAGGCTGAAACAAAAACATTTTTTTTTTGACTTCGTTTTCGCAAATTATTTAATTAAATTTTTCTTACGCGACAGGAATTTGAAAAGCTGATAAAGACAACTGGAAAGAGAAAACTGATTTCGTAGGTCCAAATCCAATAAAGATAGGTTTATGGAAAATGTCTCTTCAATTGATAAAATTTTCCGCATTTAGCCTTAACCATTGATGGTATATAATGCAGAATAATATTTTAACACGGATGGAAGCAGAAAAGGGATGAAAAATTGCATGAAAAATTAAGCGATGAAATTACCGTCCAGAGTATTCTGAAGTTCGAGAACTTGTGATATCAATCGCGCTTTTTCTTCTTGATCATCGGATTCTTCCCTTGGTAACGGTTGTGCCGGACGAGGGGTACGACCTCCTGTATCTATTGAACTTCCTTGAGATTCTACAAATCATTTAAAGTTTTAATAATCGAAAGAGGCTTTCTCATGAGTTTCAAACTTCATACTGAAGCCTACCGTCATCTACAAGCGGGAAATCGTCCGTTTCATTGGTAACCTTCGTATCTGTGGACATTGAACTGAAGTAATTAGTTCCAATTAAAATAATCCAGTTCTAAATAAGGAAAACATATTTCCTGACAAATAACAAATCTTGCACAATTTTAACGCAAGAACACATATATACACATATGCAGATCTAAGAATTCGCAAGATATCTCGGGATAACGTAGTATCACCTTCCAACAATCTAGATAGGCCCTACAATTACTCTATATAATACTTCCTGCGATATCTCGATAAATTAGCTATTTAAATGATTTCTAAAATCTCATTTGACTGCCTGATCTTGATGAAATCTGTAAAAAGTATGCTAAAGATATGGAATATGGAATTTTCAGTAGAAAAGCGATGTGATTCGATGTGATTACGATAGGAAAGAGAAAGGAGAGGAAGAGAAATCGATGAATAGAAGGGAAGGAATGCTAAAGGACCAAATGAGAGGTCTGTTAAAGCTTCCTCAATTGATTTCCAAATAATCTCTGAAACAAAAGGCTCAGTCTGCACAATTATTTGTTTTAACACTTTAAGATTCAAAACTATGTGTACGAAAAATTAACACATAAATTCCTTCCCCTATTACACTAAAATTAACACTATCTGGAAACAATCCTCATATACGTGTGTCTGTTACGTCACGTATACACGAATGTTAACTATTTCCATGGCTTAGACGAAGAAAAAATAAGGAAGAAAATAGATCATCTGATTCAATAAACAATTTTAACTTACATAGCCTCTATACACAAAGAACGATTCACGTTGCGTCAGAAAGAACACCAAAGTTTCAAAAAGGACACCAAAACTTTTATAAATCGAACTTGTTAATATATGTTCAAATAAGTGCACATATACGTATACTTCTTGTAACTATAATGTAATTTACATTTTATGCGTAATTCTTCCTGTACGTGTGCTTGACTCAGTAGATAAGGTAAACTGATCATTGAAGGATGCATGGAATGTAAAATAAGTCTTCCAGCTGTTCAACAATATGAAACAGTACAGCCTTGTTTTCATCCCAAACTGATCTCAGAACTCTCGGACCGCTTAATTAGTAAAAAGCACCAGAAGAAATTTAATATGAAGAAAAAAATGGCAAAATGAGGGAGCAGCAATAGATGGGAGACATATTATTGCGAAGAGTTTTATGGGACTATCCTCTCCCAATACTCTTTCCGCTCGCTCCGCCAGCACTCTCTCCATTTCGCCGTCACCTACTCACTCCTCTTTCTTTCCTCCTGCCAACTCTTCCTTTTCCCCCGCTACTCCCATCATTCCTCAGACCACTGAACAATATGAAATCCATTTTGGCCGAACCACTTTATGCGAAAGTGTAACGGCCATCGACACAGTGTAACCGATATTTGAGCAATTTGAGATAATGCGGGGGTGTAAGAGTAGTTTTGGATTCGAGTTGGTTCAATATCACTTTCATATTATTCAAGTTATTAGAATATTGCTTCTCATTACTTATTCACCTTTGATCTCATGTTATAACGTATTTTACTAAGAAGCTATATTTTTTTTCTTTTTGTAAGTTATGGTGTTTTTTTCTCTTCCATTGTTATGACTTTTTCAAGAATTCTTTTGTGAGGGAAAGCTTTGTGTGGCACAGTTGAATTGTATTGAGGATTTAGTATTTGATAGAATGTTTTATTCCTTCTCGGTGTTATAGTACAATTATCAGAAGTTATCAAAAACAGTGTTAATCATTTTTTAATTGTTTTTTATTTAGGTATGTTTGCTGAGGCAGTGGTTCAGAGGACTGTAAGATGGTAAAATCGTTTCGTTTCAGGGCAGT